TCTTGAGAAGATATAGAAAAGACGGGGCTTTGATGTCCTGGCGTCTCGAGGCGTGGGCCACCAGAGGCACCCAATGAAGAAGTGGTGGATATTGCCGTAGTATGGGAATTTCGTGACGCTTGCAGTGTTCGTCTAGAGCGGCCGGCGTTGCGGATGCTGCTCGGGTAGATAGGTGCTTGTGAGGGCACAACATCCCCGAGGGTAATGATATCGCGATTGGCTTCATGGATAAGAATGTACGGAAGCATTCCCTGTCGGCGGCTGGCTGGGTTCTGGAGTCGATCTTCGCCTAGTTGGTCATCGCAAAGTTGTATGGGGAGACTTGTTCCATTGGTCTTGGCTACAGGAGGAGAGGTCGGCGGTGGCTTGGGCGATCGAGTCACGATTCGACGCAGATATGCCAGTGCGGAGAAAGCCAAATATAAGACGACCCTGGGAATGCGGAAGAGGAGAGCCACCAAGTATTGTGGCGCATTGCAAGTGGCCTTCAGTGATCGAAGGGAGAGGAGGAGAAAACGCGTGAGGGAGGGTACGTTCATGACGGTGTCGAGTGAGAAGGAAGGAAGTTAGGGCCTTTGCGTCGCAGATAATTGGTAGGTCATTTTGGCAGGGCACGAGGCGCGGCATCGGGGCTCAGCTGGATTGGAAAGATAAGCGCCCAAGACCATCTCGAAGAGACTATGAAAATGTGCTTCATAAGGCCGCTACAAATTCGAGATTCGAGAAGAACCGAGGTGGCCCAATCCAAGGGGTTACAATGCATGACTCTTGAGGGATAAATACATACCAAATCAACGACTTGAGACCATGTCCGCACCAAGTGCGCATATCCAGAAGCAGCGCCACAGTGTCAGAAATTCTCACGAGCACACTAAAAAAGTGGACACTGACCGCAGCAAGACCGCAAATGAAGTCCTATGGCTTCTTGAACTCTGCCTTCGAGGGGCATGTGATGGAGTCTTCGAGATCTCTGGTTAAGGGTAGAGACTGACAGCCGATCGATCAGAGGAGGCAATGCAGTATCATTTCTGCCAGAGGTAAGGACAAAAACAACACAACGTATGAAGCGGAGAAACGAGAACAAGAACCTTCGTCACTTCGCCAAATCACGCCTCCTCGTATATCATTTCCAACACCATAACTTTCAGCACCTCCAACCTCAACAAGATCCCTATCCCCAGCCCCAAAATCCCACCTCCAAGAAACAACCCAGCCACAGACAAACGAACAAAACACAGTCGCGATAAAAAGGTCTAGAAAACATCAGTTGCGAGAGAAATAGACACTCAGACAGGTGATGCAGTCGAGCAGAAAGGTTGGAGTAGCCGGTGGCGACGGCGAGGATGAATGGCCCGAAAGGAAGTGAACAAAATAGCGGCAAGTCCGAGCAAAGGGAGGATACAGATAGCGACGATATGACGGCGATAACGATGACAAGGGGCCGCGAGTCTGCAATAATGGTGCTGAATAATGGGCAAGGGGCGGAGTGGTCGCGAATAGTCGAGAAAAGCGTGGGAGCCTGCGGCATTGATGGTGAATATGCGATGCAACTGAACATGTTGGCAGTCCAGACTCGTTGAAAAGGAAAAGTGAATTGTCGAATGTGAATGATGAGTGGGTTGATCTTCTTCCTCCTGCCGCCCTGTATCTCCTACCAGCCCCTGGCGGCACACTTTCTCCATGCAAACGGACGCACCGCGCCCTTCCTCATCTCCCATCCCATTCAGCCTCCTCTTCCCTCCAGCTGCCTCCTCCCGACATCCCTTCCATACGCTCCTCCCGATCTCCTTTAAACCAACGCGAAGTTAGGTTCATCGGGCAACAGGAACACCGCCTCGGTATGCCGGCTGGATACGAGGGGGTTGCTGCTGAGGGACTCCATTCTGTCTAGCTGCATACTGCTGAGCGACCTGAGGTTGGATTTGCTGCACCTGCTGTGTTGCCGGTCCGTTCCTCTGTATAGCAGCGGCCGCCTGCTGTTGCCTCGCCTGTTGTTGTTGCTGCTGAGGAGGCACAGGCTGCTGATGAGGCCTCTGGACCTGACTCTCCTCGCCTCCACTAGGAGCGACATACAGGCCACGGTCGATGTTCTGAGGGATGGGTTGGATCTCCGTACCAAGCTCCTGCTCGATCTTATACAGATTGAAGCGGTCCTCGTACGTGACCAGGTTGATAGCGAGACCCAGGTGGCCGAATCGACCGGACCGACCAATACGATGGAGGTAAGTTTCGCTGTTCTTGGGGAAATCGAAATTGATAACGACATTGACGGCCTGGATATCGATGCCACGTGTTAGGAGATCGGAGCAGACAAGATTGCGGCATACGCCATTGCGGAAGTCATGGAAAACGCGGTTACGATGCGATTGCAGCATTTTCGCATGCGAGTAGAAGCAGGAATATCCGAGCTCGGTAACTTTCTTCGCGAGGAGCTCGACTCGGTTGGTAGAATTACAGAAGATGATAGATTGATTAATTTGAAGCTGCCAACGACATTTGTTTTAACACTGGACCATGGTAGTAAGGAGACAGTGTGGGGACGAACCTTTGAGAAGAGAGTATTGAGACAATGCACCTTCTGTCGTTCTTCGACATAGGCATAGTATTGTGTTACACCACGCAGGGTAAGCTCGTCCATGAGGTTGATTTCATGAGGAGTTTTCATATGTTTGTCCTTTCGAAAAGAGTTAACACAAGAAGGGAAACGTGGTTGCCGACATACCTTGAAGTCTTTCACGATCATGGGGAAAGTAGCGCTGAACAGCATAACCTGTCTATCAGCAGGCAGGAAAGAAAGCAATTGCTCCATAACAGGCGCGAATTCGGGGGAGAGAAGTTTGTCAGCTTCGTCCATGACGAAGACTGGGCATTCGCTAAGGTCGGCTACGCCTTTGCCCGCCAAATCAAGGATGCGACCAGGGGTGCCAACGAGTACGTGTACGGTTTCCGACAACCGCAGGATGTCGTCTTTGAGGGTGGTGCCTCCCGTGGTGACCATGACCTGGAGGCCCATGTGCTTTCCGAGAATCTTGCAGACCTGCGACGTCTGCAGTGCAAGCTCGCGTGTGGGGACAAGGAGAAGCGCCTGGATCTTGGGCTTGGAGATATCGATTTGTTGGAGGGACGGGATGACGAAGGCGGCTGTTTTTCCGGTGCCATTCTTTGCGCGGGCAAGGACATCGCGTTTGGTGAGGGCAATGGGTATGGCTTCCTCTTGGATGGGTGAAGGCTTTTCGAAGCCTGCCTCGAAGATGCCCATGAGGAGTTCGCGACGGAGGTGCATGTCCTCGAATTCGAGGCCCTTCGTGGCTGTTACATCTTCTGTTTGGGGGCGGATGTCTTTGGGTGGTGGACGGAGGCCGGCTTTCCAGGAAACATCATTGTTGGCGGGTCTGTGTGAGGTCGGTCATCATGAGTTTTCTTCGAGTTCTACGGATGAAAATAAGGTAAAAAATGGCGCACGTGGATGAAGAAGAGGTGGTTGCTTGTGACATTCTGGAGTTAATCTGGGATTCGAGAAGGCGGAAGTATCAGGGGGAATAAGACGTGGCCTTTGTATAGGTTATGGAGGTGGGTTGGGGGTGAAGGAGCTGATATTTGACGGCTTGGTGGGTGATGTTAGACGGTGAATAATAGACAGAAACTGTCTGAGGGCGGAGGTGGGTGGTTGTGGTTGTGTTGGGTGTTTTTGCGAGGTGGACTATGGCAAAGCGTGTTGGACGTGTTGTTTAGTTCACAAAAAGCGAGCAACTTGTTCGCACGGTCCTTAGCCTTTATTCATCGCCAACCAACTTGCTCTTCAAAAAAGCCTCATCCCCGCTGCGCCTATATGGCACCTAGGCCACTTATCCTCAAATTCTTTCATTCAGTCAGCGCAAGTCAAGTCAAGAGCATTTAGACCAGCGTTAGACGACTAAACTTACTGCAAGAGCGTCGATCCACACAAAATGGACTATGCGACCTCTATGAGCTTGTGCCATTTCTCCATTTTTTTGTGTTAAGGTTGTCGAAAGCATTCTCACTTGAGTGATTACTCCTACGAAGCCGCGCAGTCAATGTCACTTACATCAGAATTTAGCAAAGCGGGCCTCGTCACACAAATGTGATCTTCAAAGTCAGACTGTCGCTCTGCTTCAACCTCAGTTCAACTACGAATACTACGATATCCGTGCCTACCACCTTTCACCCCTTTTTCAGCGCTCGCCAATTTCCCACCTGTCCAAATCAACCTCATCAGCACTTTATCTCAGTAATATGCATCTCCCATCCTCCAAAGACCTGCGATTTCCCCAAGAACTGATCGAGTCATTCATTGATCACCTCGCTGCAGCCTCAACAATTGAGGACGGCTCAACCACAAGCGATGTCGACACCGAAAGCCACAAAGCCCTTCTTCAATGTCTCCTCGTAGCTCGATCCTTTCACCATCGAGCACGGCATCACCTCTTCTCCGAAGTCATTGTCGTCAATCGAACGAAGTTGTCAAGGCGTTTCTCCACTTTCCGAGACCTGCTTCATGACGTCTCTCCTTCGATTCCCAGCTTGGCCAGCACCATCACCTCGATCCGGTTGATCCAGAGCTACAGCGACCTCTCAGAAGAGCCGCTTGACAGCGGAGCCATGACCGCGATCATGCGAAGATTGCATGGTCCCGATTACGGTGTCAGGAAGTTTAGCTTGGAGTTGTATGGCACGCAGTGGATAGACCTTCCGACCGACTTCCAGGACGCGTTGCAAGCTCTCTGCCATTCTCCGCATCTGAAGAATCTACAACTGAAGCAACTATACGATCCTCCCATGTTACTCTTTACGAACACTTTCCTCGAGAACCTCTCTCTCCGAGAGTGTCGATCCCGACTGAACTGGGAGAGTGCCCTCACAGGCGACGACGAGTTGGTACCTAGTGACGAGGATGCTTTTCCTCGCCTACGCTCCTTCGACACCGACTTCACCTACCTCTTCCCAAAGCGAGACTATGCCCTAAACACATCCAATCCAGCCATGAGCCCACATCTCTTCTCCCAGCTCCAGCATCTCTCCACTGTCTTTGAGTCTCATGAGCGTTCTTCCTTCCAGCTCATTGAAGGTTTTTTGTCCGTGGCGTCTAACTCTATTCAAACACTCGAAATGCACGTATGGTGTGGATTGTTCGGTGCGAGGCCTTCCGTCTTCCATGACTCTTCACTTGTGTGATTGACTCGACGCTTTTTCTAGTCAATCCAGTGCATGATCCAATAATGTTGATCTCCAAGCCGATGCGACACTTGTCGACGGTGAATCTTCTCTTCAATGAAATCCGTACGCCGGGTGTCCCGCCCATATCGAACCAGCTGACCACTGTGGCCTTCATATTGGCGGCCTTGCCATCCAGCATGCCGTCGCTCCGGAGCATCACAGTCGAACTTAACTTTCAGATTGGTAGAGAGCAGTCATGGAATGTTGTTGTCGACCCTACTGGCTTGTGGACGACCCTCGAGCGCCGACTGTTCGACGTAAAGTTCTGCTCTGTAAGCGTTATTAACGTCCTCATTCGTCCCGTTATGATACCGGGGGAGGTAGCGCTTGAGCAACGCCCGGAGTTCGAGCGCAAGGTGTCTACCATGGATTCCCTTCTCCTGTTCGCCTTGAAGTCCTCCTTGTTGCGGTCTCTATCTTCCGATCGTCGGTTCGCATTGAACGTGAAAACAGGTATTGAGTATAGTCAATCTTAAGAGGTCGAACAGGATGACCTAGGTAGCTGCGCAAATCATTCTGGTGCACATACATATATCCATGATAATCATGTATGATGAGTTATCTTTTTGTACACGTTACCTATTGCTGCATATTCTATTGCAATCCCATAAATGCGTTGGGGTGTAGCAATGGTACTTCGCGATTGAATTCACTCTGGTGCTGGGAACCTCAAGACTCTCGTCGTCAATCTGGGTGATCTAGCCTAACTCGCAAACAGGTCAGCGGAATGGGCCTATAGTAAGTGTCACCGTCTTCTCTAAATTGACGCCGCAGACGACATTCGTCTCTGAGTCCTAATTTGGGAATCCGCCTTCCAAAAACGTTCGCCCCAAAAATACTCGTTCACAAGTCGTGGGGTCAGTGCTTATGTGATCCCCCCCCAAAGAAAGTGAACTTCGAGAAGATATATAAGCCGCATCCCTCTGCACGAATGCCTCTTTCCTCCGAATGACCACCATCTCTTTGTCCAATGCTCCTCTCTCGCCTCCATCCTCACTAGCAGGCGCCTTGAGGCCATCGAGGCCATCTTCCGCTCCCGAATTTCTCTTTCTTCGGAATTCTTCCCCTTTACGTTGAGCTGGGCGGCACTGGAGCACTTTCTGGACCCCTTCGCAGTCGGTATTATCTCTTTCTGGGGCGCTTTGGTGGACGTCTGAAGGAGGTCGGGCGTTTGAAACAGGCAGCACTTGGGCTTGCAGTCGATTTTTAGTGTGGGGGGTCTCCTCCAAAAGGACCCGCACCTCTGTGCTGGCTTTTCTTAGTACCTATCTCTTCAGTTAATTATGTCATCAAATATAAAGAAGTCTAGGAAGGACGACGGCGCTTGTGTAAGTACGACACAATTTGCAACTAGTACATACTTTACCACCAACCAGAGTCCATGTACATAATTACATCGCCGCCGCTTGAGAGGTGCAGGAGCCATTGCTGTTCACCAAGAACACAGGCTATCACAGGTTATTATCCAGGAAAACTCGCTCGAGCGCTGACGGGCTGAGCAAGGGCTGAGGTAGGCATGGCCTGACACATCTCTGCTGGCCAGTGCTTCGAGGGTTGACCAGGGTTCGCAACAAATAGGGTGTTCGTGAATAAAAGACCTGTACAGTAAACTTACTGTAGCAGACTGTACACATTACCTCGTATTCCATCGCGAACTCCGAAGTGTGCTGGGGTCCAAACAGGTCCAAACCTTACATAGGATCGAATACCCCATACGACATCTACAAGGCACTCGTATAAATCAAGTCCTTCGAGCACACATCCCACGAACTCGCATATAGTGAAGGCGTTCATCCACATCTTGCGAACTCATGCTCAGTCTTGATCAAGCGTGGAAGATGAGCTAATGACTGAAAGAAAAAAAGGCAGTGTGTCCTCGGACACATCAGTACCGAACTGATCCATTCAACCACAATATCTTCTGGGTCCATTCTTCCAACGAAAGGCATCTGCTGTGATTGACTCGAGATGCCGGTTCTTTGCGATGATGCTCTTTCGCGCAACTCGGCGGTGTTGTGAGAAAACACGACACACGCCAAGCAATCTCTTAGCGAATCAAAGCAGGACTTCGAGGATTTGGGTCAGGAATACAGCGACGTTGTTTTCGATGTGCGCTCGATTATTCTGAGGCTCGATCGACGCTGGAAGCGCTGAAAGTGGAGCTGGCACGTTTTTTGAGACTAGCCCTTGTTTGGGAACAGCCCCAAATTAGTGTGCCATGTGGCGCCCGATTGGGTGCGGACAAGCCGGGCTTGGCAAAGGCAGCAGAGGGGTTCCGAGAATGGCGGTCAATCTTCTCGAGTTCTGATGAAGTGATTGATAACGCCCCAGAAGACCATGAATGTAGAAGAGGGCATCGTGGTGAGCTGGGTGGGCTGTTCGGTAGATGCGCTGGTGGGCGGCGATTCGGATAGGGTGTACAGGTGGCGGTATGTAAAGCTCTGACTTGTGTATGCCTGATTTCCCTTGCAAGATAAAAGGAATCGTAGGTCCGGCTGAAACACAATTTCTTTGCAGGATGAGTACTAGTAGACATCAAACACTCGAAGTTTAGCGTGCCGTTTAAATGTATCACCGGAACGCCCATGTGGTCAGTCCCTGCACGACCTGCCGAATCCGAAAGTTCGTCTGCGGTGTCGAGCTATTTACTTGAGCTCAAGGTCTTTTCGACTGCGTCTCTTGCACTCGTACGCATAATATTTTGTTTTCGTGGCATGATGATGGACGCTGCGGTCAAGGAGTGGAGGATGAGAGCATGGGAAAGTGCCTGATCGGGTGACGAAGTTCCTGGATCAGTCACAGTCACAAACACGGGCTAAGCTGATTCCCGTTCCATCAGAGAGAAATGCGCCCCATTTCTCAAGACTTGTCCTCGCTTATGTCCTTGCTTCAGTGACACGACAGTCCATTGAAACTCTTCCTTACTTTCCGGTGCGCACACTCTGACACACTCTGTTACTCTGACGCGCTCACACTCTCCGCAGATATACATATTGGAAGTCAGTCGGGGACATCACACCTTTTCCTTCTTTGCACATCAGCTGCTATCCACACTCGTTTCGCCGGACGCTCTCTTTATTCCCCTTTTCTTTTTTACCACCCATCATGTTCACGCCTCCACCATCGCCCCTTCCACACAAGATCGTCGCGCCGGCCGTCCCAGAGGAGTCCTCTGAGGTGCAACCCGAAAAGCGCATCGAGGGCACATCGCGGGAGGCTATCAAGCGTAGGACAGGACGACGCTTTCGCCTGGCAGTCATGGTGGTGCCCCTCATTGTCATAGCTCTCACTCTATCCACAAGCTACTCGACGAGTTTCGCTTTTCAGGAGTCATCGCACCTATCATCGCCGCTGTCATGGCTTGCAGAGGGGGCAGGTTTGCGGGTACACAAGCGAAGCCCTGAACCGCAGGCCGATTCGGCCTCCTCAACGTCGTCGACGGGGACCCCTACAGCCAGCAGTTCGACGCCAGCAACCTCGCGGGCATCGGCGGTAACCCAGACCGCACCGGCCGTTCCCTCCACATCCCCAACCCTCCCAACGCCATTCCCCCAGCCTTTCGACGACAATCTTGCGCAGAACTTCTCTAGTGCCTCGTGTGCGAGTTTCTTCGCGAACATGACAACTTCTACCCCCTTCCGATCGTGCCGCCCATTCTCACTACTATTCCAGTCTTCGAACGAATTTATCAGTGTACGTCTTGCAACTCAATATATCCAATGGCCCCGTCGTATCTAACCACTTGACCAGGCTCAAACTAACCTCACCCTCATGAACGCACTTGTTTGGGGAACATGTAACACCAATACGGCCTTCGACCAGTGCAAATTGAATATGAAATGGTTCGCGTCGGATTTACAGACAGCATGCGCCGTGGAGTTGAATTTACAAAATGCCGTGACTGTAAACACACTGACAGGTAGGTTTTATCCCAGATGGTTTTGAAATTGTGCCTGACTTCCTCCCCTAGGTCTGAACGCGTTCAGTCTCATGCACGACGTTGGCTGTGAAATCGACCCCACAAACAATGCCTACTGCTACCTGAACGCCGTGCGGAACCAGAACCCCACCGATTCCTATTACTACAACCTACCACTAGGCGTCAAGCTACCCCGCACGGCCCAGCCGACCTGCTCCTCGTGCAGCAGGACCATCATGGGTAAATACGCTGCGGCGCTAGAGGACTCAGCGCAACGCTCTGCGCTGACGGGCCTGCTAGCGACGTACGAGGCATCAGCGGAGGTCAGTGTGCAGCAGTGCGGTGCGGACTTTGCGAAGACGGGCATCGTGAGCGGCTCTGCAGCGTTGCGAAGCGAGACGGCGCGGACGCTGACGATTGGCTTCGCCGTCGTTGCATGGTTACTTTCATGACCCGTTCAAAGTGCACCCAAGAGCTTCCGCCTACCCCCCTGTTTTCAAAATTTCTTCATTATGATTCATGGGTTCTTAGTGGGCGATGACTGCATCTGCAGCCGCGTCCGTGCCCGCGTTCTATCGCTGTTTCACCAATATTTCCGTTCTGTTCTCAATGCTCCATGTTCTCATTCTCGTCTCATCTCATCTGGGGATTTTTGGTTGCTTCTCTCCCATTCGGATCCGTGTGTTATTTACTTTCTGCGTGCCTCTTTCTTATTACACTAACTTCGACTAACTGTACGTAGAAACCGGAAGAAAAGGGGAAATGAACGTGTCGATCCATACTCACGGGCAGGCGTGCTTCCTTTCCCTTCCAATTCCTTTCGCCCCTCCTCTATTTTTTTCTTTGGGGTTCTTGCGTCGTGTCGGGCTCGTTCGCGGTCGTCTGCTGTTCTTATTCATGCTATTTATCGGCATTTCTATCCCTATCCTCGTTCTCATCTATCCTTGGCCATCCTTACGACCTCTTGTTGCCCCCTTCCTTACCACATCGCACACATCCACATCACTATGTACCTGCCTTACTCGAGTTCTTTTTCCCATCCCTTCGTTCGCGTGAGCTCACTGCGCACCGTTCATTTCACAGAGCAGTCGCTTTCTCCCATCTTTCGCCTTCGACGCGTCCATCTGATTCAAGACGTCGATGTCGTCAGACCCGCATGGGTGATCGTCTGCCCGCCCGCACTCGCGCCGACGCTTCGCTGTCATTCAAGTCAATGCCAGCGGCCCTTTGACACGGTCAGCCCAGAAGGCTCGTCCCGACGGCCACTGTTGAATATAATGTCCATCGAAGGATCCTTTCACAACGTCAACCTTAATCGTCGACTTCCTCCCAGACGACTGACTGCCCCCGGTCGTCTGTCGTCCCCACCCTATCACATACCTCAAGTCTCCGTGAATTCGACTCTTCGAGGAATACCCCGTCCCGGATTCCGATTTCCCGACCTTGCCTATTCCCCCTTCAATCTCCCCCCGCCGCCTTCTTCGACCCTTCGATCAGTGTGGCCCATCACGAAACGGCGTCCACCTGAGCAGGGTACGCACACGACACGTACGTGCGTGCTAGCGCCGGCCTTCCTGTTTATCCATTCGAGAACGTGAAGTTTTTTTTGCGCTGCTAGCGGGTCTGGGCGCCGTCTCATGCCCGACGGCCACATCCGTTTCTCCTCAGTTCTTTCTTCTATGGGCGGGTGTCGATCTTCCTGGAACACGGTTGAGACTTGGGAGCGGGTGTTGGACGTTTTGGCATATAGCTATGAAGGTCGACAACGTACCGTGGTACACGCACTCTGGTCTCGTCAAGACGCAAGATGCCTTATTCTTCCTTCGGACACGCTTTCACTTTGGACAATGACGACGGCGGAACTTGAGAAGCAGAAGGACGATTGTTGAAGCCTCTGATGGTTTGTTCGACTTACATCAACCCCAAGTTGCGACACCCACCACCCACTCACTATTGACACAAGAACGAGAGTGCCTGTGGAATATCCTACGTACAAGTCAACACCATGCAATATGCACCGTTTGTATTTTTTCCCCCTCTGCACAGTGTTATACCAAATCCATGCGATTCCCCCTTGCCTCGTCAACTCGCGCTGAATCACCGTTGGAAGTTCCGTGAGCGCTGGCGCGGATGATCATGATTCGGATTCGGGTGCATGATATGTGCCCCCACAGGTCTCGTAAGACCCCCGTGGATCAGCGCCTGCCTCGCCTATGTATCATAGAATGTCATTCTTGCGTAAGTTCGGAGATGTCTGCGGCGCGCAGGAAATGGGGTACCGGGTATGCGTATGAGAATCGACGATCGTAGGCGGTTGTGGCTGTCACATCTGGATTCTGAATCTGCGGCAGGATTTTGGGGTTTGATCAGGTATGCCGCGGTGTGCGACACGGACGCTTGCTAGCCGATCTGTCAAACTCAAACACAGCTTGTTTTCAGTATTTGGGTGTCATATTGGGGTTCAGAAGTGAGAGAAGAGTACCTCCATTGACGTTGTACCGGTGCGCGGCGACGCCGAGCGAGCGCTCGGGGTTTGGGAGCTTTTGGGAGGGGACAAAGGAAGGAGAGAAGAACAATCACCGCTCGCTCGCGCTTCGCTGAGTCTGAAGAAGCGACAGCCTTATGATATTTCAAGACTATCTACCGTGTAATACCCCAAATTTGCTGCCCTGAGTGATTTTTTTGGAGGTTTTTGGAGGGTTTCTCGCGTTTGTGGATACTTTGCACGAGCGATGGAAGCCGGCGGACCGGAAAGCTGATGCACAATAATGCCAATCAGCCACGTCGCGTCGACCATGAGCCTTCTCTCGAGTCTCAGCTCCTGCTTCATTCTCTGCTTCTGCCTTATTCTCTGCTTCAATCGTATGTTTTGTATCTTTATCGGAATTTACGCTTTGCGCTTCGTTGCGTCAATGATCCATGCAGGATGAGCCCTCTGCCAGCGGATTCCCAGTTTGAACCCAGAATCAACAATTGGCCATCGCGATTCTCGAACTCGTTCACTGCATCTCATCTGCGAATTTCCAACATATGACCGTCTGGAATTGGGTCTCTCTAAGCAGGCCTGCTCTCCGTCACTACACCTAACACGCATATTCAGATTCGCCCAGAATGACGAACTCCGTCTTCGTGCTTTGCACTGACCCCAACTGCCTTGCCCATATGATGCGAACTTCACACCTTTGGAGAGACGATGAATCGTCTCGGTGAAACCCCAGACCTCGCAGCCCATTCAGGTATACTCTTGGTGCGTGTTGTCGTCGATGGGGCGGCAATGTGCAGCTTGAAGGAACCGTTTGGGCTCTTGGTCAAGAACGGAAAGCTGATGGGCATGGAACTCGAATCGTATCGCGATTTTCCATGCATGGAATACGTGTGGAATGAGCGGGCAGCTTGATCAATGGATTCATGAGGCGCGAAGCCTTTTTAGAGGTATGTCAAATTGATTGAAGCCTGAACGTTCGTGCTGATCGTGCTGGCTGTAGATGTTTTTTATTCACCGCCGAATTGAAATTGTAAACCGCCGTACTGCGTATACGAAAGCTAGCAATTTCCCAGGTCCCCGATTGTGCTTCTCTACCACTGTCTGACCATTGTCCTGAAGCCTAGCAAATCTGCGTCATTCAAGGTGACGATGCCATACCAATTAATCTATTTTGAACGTGTCTCATTAAACTCATCAAACAGATTGCTTCATCTTTACAACTGTTGAGTATTATTATTACTATGTTTATGGAATGAACAGGTGCCGGAAGCTTGAAGCTTGAAGATACCGTACGTCCGACAGCATCATGGACGGGACGTGGCATTAAGTAGATCGTAGGCCCGTGCTTTCTGCACAACACATGTACAAGGTGTACCTCAACAACTACTAATTAATTTTCTTCTCCAGCAATTTCCTTCTCTACCGCGTCAGCCAATTCTCCCAGCGTCTCAAACCTCCACGTCCATTTATCTTTCGCCCCAGGACCTCCGGGGGTCACATTACAAGTGACAGCGCTTTGCCTGTCGATCCACACGCTGCGCAACCCGATCTGACTGGCCGGCTCATGGTCGTGCACCAAGCTCTGTGCGACACTCATCACCTTGTCCTTGACCTGCTCTTCAGCTGCCTCGTTCAACCCGAGGTCGCCGAACAACTCCGGTTGGGAGCGGACGTAGTCCAGCGCAGTAAGGAAGCCACCCAGGGCGGGCTTGTAGCATCCTGTATCCTGCGCCGTTAGGATAAGCGTGAAGGGGGATTTGGAGTTGGGCGTAGCCCTCGGGTGCCAGTACTTGTGGGGGTTCGGCTCAGGATAAGTGTACACCGAAAGATCGGAGGTGATGGTGGAACGCGTAGGGCCTTCAGCGAGCAGCGAGTGGGTGTGTCGGAATGAAGTGCGGTCGACGTTGGAAAGGACGACGAGCTTGAAGTGCTTGGAGAGGCGTTGCAGTGCCTCGCAGGTGTCCGGGAAGATGGCCCAGTTTTCGATGGACAGCCCGAAGGCTCTGTGGGCCTCTTGATCAGCGGCTGGATCTCCGGCGAGCGTCGCGCCTATCGCTCCGCCTTCGCCTGGGTTGGTGGTAGATTGCGCTTTGAGCCTCTCTTCGAGCACCTCGTGCACCTTAGCCAGGAGATCGGAGTATAGCATGTCGGGGTATTGGCTCTGGAGATCGATCTCGACAGAGCCGAAAGCAGCTAATGCCTCCTCGCGGGTCCAAGATTGAGAGGCAGGATACTTGCTGAGGAGGGGTTGGAGAGCATTGTAAATGCCTGTCTCCCAGTCCTATATTAATGTTCGCGTAAGTTCGGTTCGCGATGCTGTGATAGCGACAGTTACAACATACAGCGAGCGTTCCGTAGACGTCAAAGATGAGGACTTTGGCGTCGGTAAGCTTCTTAGTCGACGAGGGTGTAGACATTTCCTTTTCTTGTTACTGCTCTGGAAGATGTATTTGTGTAAGATCGGGGATGGTACTCCGCATTTTGACGTTGGGGAGTCATGAACTGGGAGGCGGTTTTGCCGAACAGCCGAAGGTCCACTGATACGCAGTACTTATTCTACGCAAAATCAAGCAGTAGTGTACACTCAGAGCTATTAGCCGAGAAGTCTTCATCTATTCGATGACATTCGATGCTGATTCTACGCCGTCTGATTGGCAAGTGCCTGTAGGTTTTTAAACTAGTTTCCGTCAGTGATTTATTGGATCTATCTAATCGCACAAGTCCCCACTTGACGTCAACGACGTTATCTTATCACGGAGTCTTTATCATGTGTTCAACTTTATGTTGAACGTTACTTCGACCTGACCCTTACTGGCCTTACTCAAGAATACTCAAGAATGAAGCCACGCGTTCATTTAGACAAGTACGGACTTGGGTGAGCGAAGCCGAGCGAAGGGAGTCTGGGCAGTAAGTAATAGCATACCAAGAGATGAGTAGAAGTTTGTATCATCTCAGAGCGTGTCTATACTTTTTCGGATAGGTTATTCGCATGAACAACCCATGAAATTTTGTGAAGAGTGTAGCTATAGGTCAGTGAGGGAGTTGCATGTCCTCTGCATGCCAAGGGAGATAAGTCCCCAAGCCGAACGGCTCTTATCCTCTCTTATCCCTGTTTTTCGGCTTGGCAGATGAGCCAATAGTATTTAATCTGCGGAAGGCTGACCATCTCTTTCTCTGTCCTTGACTCCTCCTCTCGCTCCTCATGGGGATCTTCAGTCAGAAACAAGGTGTAAAACTTGGCAGTCGAAGTGGCACAACCACGTCGGTCACTGTGCCGCCCAACAACCCCGACTTCTCGTCTATCGCACCTGTTGCACATACTCTCACCCCCGAGCAAATTTTCGCGGACCTCGGAACGAACCCCGCCGATGGTCTCTCAAAGAATGAGGCTGCTCGTCGCCTCGAGACCTATGGAGAGAACCTACTTGCGGGTAAAGGTGGTGTTTCGGCATGGAAAGTATTCTTTTCGCAGCTGGGTACGTACCGAACCCTGCTTGGTGTTATCGAAAGTTTTGACCATTAGATTACAGCAAACGCCTTGACCATGGTCTTACTCGCTGCTTTGGCATTGAGTTTTGGTGTTGAGGACTTCATCGAAGGTTCCGTCATAGCTGCAGTCATCGTTCTCAACACGATGTAAGCATATCCTGCGGTCGCTTCGTTTCTACTAATCATGTACGTTATTCAGTGTAGGGTTCTTCCAGGAATACCGGGCGGAGAAAACTATGGACTCTTTGCGCCAGCTGTCTTCTCCCACCGCCTTCGTCGTTCGTAATGGAGAAAGCATCCCTGTTCCCGCAAAGAATGTTGTTCCAGGCGACCTTATTCTGATCAAAGCTGGTGACGTCGTGCCCGCCGACGTAAGTCCCAATCTTCCCTTTCTGCTGTCTTCTGAACTTATGACCACTTGTTCAAGTTACGTTTAATCACGGCGTCAAACCTTGAGATCTCTGAACAACTTCTTACTGGAGAATCTGTTCCAGGTATGCTATCACGTTTTTCTTGAGGATTTTTCACGATTGTACTCACTGGGGCGAAGTCGCTAAGAATACCGACACTTTCGAGAGCAAGGATCTCGATATGCCCATTGGAGATCGACTGAATCTATGCTACGCCTCTACTATCGTCACCAAAGGACGGGCCACCGGAGTCACAGTTGCTACTGCTATGAATACTCAGATTGGGCGCATCGCCACCGTTCTCAGCGGTAAGACTGCGTCAGGAGAAGCCGTTGAGGATAATCGTCCATGGTACAAGCGTGCCTATCATAGTGTCTCCGAATTTTTGTTAGTCTTTTCCTTCTTCGCAGCCTTCTTGCTCATCATTCCATCCAGAGGTCTCCGCTCCGGAACACCCTTGCAAATCAAGCTCTCGAAGCTGGCGTTCTTCCTGTTTGGCTGTGCTGTGGTTCTAGCTTTGATCGTTTTTTCCGTTGCGCGCTGGAAAATCACGGATGAGGTCGCCCTCTATGCTATTGCTACTGCAATTGCTATCATTCCGGAGTCCCTCGTCGCGGTTTTGACGCTGACGATGGCTGTCGGAACCCGGAAGATGGCGAAGGAGAACGTCATTGTGCGCAAGTTGGATGCCCTGGAGAACCTTGGATCGGTTACGGATATCTGCAGCGATAAGACGGGTACCCTAACTTTGGGTGTGTCCTGTTGTATGGAGCCTCCTTTTCGTCCTGACGCTCTCTTGCAGGAAAAATGTCCGTTCGCAAATTCTATGTCGCTGGAACACCTGACAAGGCTGCGGAATTCACGGCCGAGACTACCCAGGACGCTATCCAACCAGTTGGTGTTGTTCGTCGGGACAGCGATGATTCTGTTCTCGAACCAGGTTCAATCAAGGAAGGTCATGCAAAGGCAATTCGTATTGCCTCGTTGTGCAACGTTGCGAGGTATGTCGGACTACGTTCATGATCATCAATTATCTGAACACTATCAACAGCATACATAAGAACTTGAAGGGTGAATGGAAGTCTACTGGTGACCCTACCGAAGTCGCTCTTCAAGTTTTTGCGTCAAAGTTGAAACTCGGACGTGCCAGCCTGACCTCTTCCAGTCTCTTGGACAGCGACGAGAAGACGGGCCGGTCTGCCATGGGACCTATCATCGAGAACGAAGAAAAGGAAGACCGGATTCACTTCAACGACGAGACGTCCAAAGCTCCAAAGAGATTTGAAGCTGTTGCCGAATACCCTTTTTCGAGCGAGCTGAAGCGGATGACAGTCATTTATCGCGACAACGAGCATCCAGATGAGGCCCTCGTTCTTATCAAAGGAGCGGTATGTCGTGCTTTTGTCCTCGTCTTTCTGTTAGCGTGTTTAACTCTTCCTTAGGTTGAACGCATCCTGGACGCATCTATTTCTTACGCACCAGACCCAGAAGAAAACCCAGATACTGTTCTGCCGTTGAGTCAGGAAATAATGAACACCTTCCTCGTCAAGGCAGAGGAGTTCGCCTCGCAAGGCCTCCGCGTCATCGGCCTCGCATCAAGGACTGTACCCGTTTCCTCAACCGGAGGTCTTTCACGCGAGGATGCCGAAAAGGACTTCGTCTTCCGCGGCCTGGTTGGTATCTTCGACCCCCCTCGTCCCGAGACCCTTGGAGCTGTTCGCGCGTGCAAGAGAGCAGGGATCGTCGTGCATATGTCTAAGTCCCACTTCACCTTTGTGCTGCCTCTGGTTGACCGTTCTGTGCAGGTTGACTGGCGACCATGTTACTACCGCGCGAGCTATTGCTGAGGCTGTGGAAATTATTTCGCCCGATGCGCCTGCAAGTGCGGTCATGACGGTACTGTTCCTCAATGTCCTACTTTCAACCATTTCCCCTGACACCTGGATCTTAGGCTACTGAATTTGATAGGCTTACGGACGAGGAGGTTGACGCTCTTCCGGAGTTGCCTCTTGTTATCGCTCGCTGCGCTCCGGAAACGAAAGGTTTGTGGTGACATCATTCTCGACTAGTTCACAAATTTCTCACTGTTCGTGTAGTTCGAATGATCCATGCAGGAAAGCGGCGCGGAAAGCATTTATCCATGTCCGGTGACGGTGTCAATGACTCGCCTGCGTTGAAACTTGCTCCAGTCGGAATTGCGATGGGCATGGCAGGCTCTGATGTGGCCAAGGATGCATCTGATCTTGTGTTAACGGACGAGTAAGTTGTCTCTACCATTACTTGGAAAGGTCTCATTTTTTTTTTGGTGCAGTAACTTCAACTCCATTGTGGTTGCAATCAGTGAAGGTCGACGTCTCTTCACGAACATCCAACGATTCCTCTTGCATCTCCTGAGTGTCAACATCGCCGAAGTCATGGTCCTTATCATTGGCCTTTGTTTCCTGGATGAACGTGGGGCCAGCGTCTTCCCCCTCAGTCCCATCGCGATCCTTTGGGTGAATATGATCACGAGTGGACCGCCTGCCTTTGGTCTCGGGTTGGAGAAGGCGTCTCTTGATTCCATGAGGAGACCTCCTCATCCTATCAAGGATGGCGTCTTCTCGTGGCCCGTCATCATCGACACGGTGGCTTATGGGATCGTTATGGGTATCACATCTCTCTTGAGTGTGGGTAGCTTTTTTTGCTATGATCGCCAGCAACTGAACATCAACTTTTAGTTTATTATCGTTATCTATGGAAAGGGTGGAGGCAACTTTGGTCACGATTGCAATCACGACGCACTCGACGTCTGCAGAGACGTTTTCAGAGCACGATCGACCACGTTCGCCACTCTGATTTTCTCCATTAATCTATACGCTTTGGAACTCAAATCTCGTACGTCTAATTTTCATACTGTCTTTGGTGTCTGAATTCCGACGTTGGTCTCTAGTCGATCGGTCTCTCTTCTCTTTAACTCCTGGTCAGTTCTTCGTCAAGGATCTTTTGGCAAATCCTACCCTACTTTTGGCTGTACTCGGAGGCATCGTTACCACCGTTTTGCGTCAGTCGAATTGCTTTTAGTTATGTTTCAGATCGCTCATCAGTCCATTGCCTCAACAGCCATCTACGTCCCAGGCTTTAGCAACAAAGTCTTCTACCAGAGTGGCATCACTTGGGAGTGGGGGATTGTCCTCGGGATGACCATCGTCTACATCTTGTGGTGTGAAGTTTGGAAGCTCCTTCGCAAGCCCTTGTACAAGCGATGGACGCCCGAGGCCAATCAGCCCCTACCGTTTGACGAAGTAGTTGAGGAGAAAATATCAGAGAAGAGAGCAAGTGTCAAGTCTGCGGTCACTGGAGCCCAATGACGACATTGGTCTGCTCGCATAGCGAGCGCACTGGGTGGTTGGGGTGTCCGTGGGATGTACCTAGTTCTCAACAACACCGAGCACATTCCTTGTTCGTGGCCGCCTTTTCTTTCTCCCGGCCCTGTTCTATTCCAAGCCGAGGAGATTGGTACAGTATCGGTTCTTTGTCCTTTTTCTTCTCCTTTCTTTTTCCCTCTCTTCCAGAATTCTTTCTTATCTTCTCGAGGTGCAGATCAGTTTGCGTGTTCGAACATTTTGTACTTCTTTCTTAGTTTTTCCCTCTTTATCTCCTCGCCACGACATGTTGTTCTGTGTACTCCAAATGTTATCGTTTTTCGATGTGTTGCATGAGTCCGGGATCACCGCTAGGAGATTAGCTTTCGTTCCGGAATCGGGATGGAGTGGCGCTGAACTTCAACAAGCACGACCATGACCAGCAACGTCTAGGGCCGACTTCTGCTCTCTTCTTCAATTCAACACACTTTGTGAGCGTAGCTGGGCTAGACGTTCCCCCTCTTCTCTTCCTTCCTTTGCTTGTACGTCAAGTCATCTATAATTGTCACTGACGTGGTTCATGAGTGCAGCTCACACTCCTTACTTCTCCGTGTGTGCTCCATTTTTCTTTCTACAAAGGACGAGATTGCTCACAGGTTATGTTATATTTTTAACCAATCGCAGTAACTACCTCTCGATCGTGTACGAAACATTTGGAAGGCGGCCGTCATCCAGGCTGTATTGCCCCTGCTACCCACTCCGAGACTCCCATATACATTCGTTCTTGCCTTTCATCGACCAGGAGATCCAGCTGTGTCAGTGCTACTGACAAGGAAATCGCTCAACCACTGAAGACATTACCAATTTGGTTGAGTCAGTGTCAACCAGGCGACCGAACGTTGTCTTGTGCCACACCTCGTACGACTTTTGTTACCCATCGTATCCCCTCAAAAGGGGCTGTTTCATGCCATAGCCTGCACTCTACATCATGGCACCTCGTCTACGAGTCCTTGCCGGCACCTCTACATCCACAATGATGCCTATGACATCCCTGATCAACACCTCGACACCGTTCGGACTGTCTTCGGATGTTTTTGAGGGTCAAGTTGTGGCGCATATCAAAGGATTGACGGACGAACATGGAGAGCTGCGCGACTCAGAGTATTTCGATAGGAGCGATAGGAAGGGCGTCACCTGGAGTATTCAAGTGCAAGGTGTGTAACCCTGGTGTCTCATTTTGTTATGACGTATTGGTGTGGCGTTAGGCCGGTTCCTCGCACCGTTTTCAGCCGATGACATTCTCTTTGGAAACACCTTTGACCGCCCTCTGATACTCCCATGGGGCACTAGCGCTGTGCTGAAGTTCATGCAGTATGTTTCTCTTTCTCTCATCACTTTCCCTTCTTTACAACGCACTATGAAGCTACATCGACCCAACCCTTCAACATGATCTCATGTCTTCAACGAAACCTTGGGCATTGTCCCCATTAATATCGACGATGCCATACTTCGCGCACACTCGAGTGTCCAGTTGTGTTCTTCCTCCGTCCTCGTCTCCTTCGCCGCATTTGTTGCCATCCGGACATAGGTCAAGTCCGAACACCGTCTCCAGTGCCAATATACCCGCTTTCCCAACGATGCAGTCAATACAAGAGTCAACTTCGCAGCTGTATCTCGCAGTTGACAGTGCGCCATCTTCCCCGTCTTCCTCCTCAAGTGGGTCGGCCTTTACAGACCCTTCGCCCGGATCCTCCGCGACGTCTCTCTCATCGAGCAAGAGTGCCAAGTCGGACTGCAGGAAAGTCGGCTCGGACCGTCTCAAGCACGCCATGAAGAAAGTCACCAAGCGGAGCCGGTCACCCTCTCAAACGGAGCGAGAGGTGCAGCAGTTCACGAGCAGCTCGCAGAGGCGATCGTATTTTTCCAACCCAGAGAAGCGGAAGACCGTTAAGTTCGGCCCAGACGATGTAATTACGACGGACTTTTGCTATGGGTTCATCAACTTCGCGCCGTCGTTGTCGTTGCAGCTGCCAGGCGGCCTTTCGTTTGACCTCACGCGGTATTGGGACGGGCAACCTGTACGGTTTATGTGTTGTCAGAGGAAAACAGAAGGGGATGAGGGTGGTGATCCGTGGGGCAGGGTATTTTGGTGCATTGCTATCGAGATGGTGACTGACGAGGATGAGGAGTGAAAAGGAGAGCTGGAAGGGAGTGGTTGAGCCTAGGCGTGGCATGGATATTTTCTTGTTTTATTTGGGACGTAATCTGAATCATAGAGTAGATGGTATCATGTTAATGCGTATGCGTATGCGGCTACGATTGCGTTATGGCATTCCGTCCTTGACGTTGAGATATGGTGTGCCGCTCGATTGGGCAGCAGTGGATTCGGACGGGATCAGCTCTGAGCGCCGAAGGGGATACATGCTACATTGAACTCCGTCATTTCACCAGAACAGTGATAAGCAATTGACTATTGTGCATGAAAACATCCTTCTGGCCCTGTTTCATATGTTGAGTGTGAAGGTGCGTTCCTCGCACTTGACCATCGAGATTCCCATGGGCATATATTATTAGCGTCCATGAACTAGCGACCCGATGAATTGACGTATCTTTTATTCTTGAATACCCACTTCATTTTGTGAAGAATGAGTCGAAATTACACAAGTGCCTAGCCCAAGAAGAAAAAGGACGGAGGTGCATTCTTCTACGAGTATGCCGGGCACCTATGATTAGATGTCAACTGCTCGCATAGCTATGTCTAGTCGCGCCAGAGTTCTCGGTACCAACGGTCATCCGCCTCCATGCGCTTCAGACAATGCGAGATCGCTGCTCGCGCTTCCTTCATTCGGCGAGGGAGAAGAATGCATGCCAGATGGAAAGCATGGATCTTGGCTAGCTTGCCCGTCCGACCTGTATGTTTTTTGGAAGAATATGGGCTAAATAAACACCCCAGGAGCACCGTGAATGGGCTCTCGTCTGACTCTGGGAGGCACATAGGATGGCGGTTAGACAATCGAGAGGATGCCGTCGGGTACAGCCAGTGTGGTTGACCGCAAGCTTTGCGTATGACAACTGTCCGGAGGCCTTCCGTGAGAGTGTGAGAGTGCCACGCAGACATCAGGATTTGGCCAAAACGGGGACATGGATAATTTTAAGCGGGTAGGTCCTCTTGGTCTTGTCGCAGCTATCATCATCTGTCTCTGGGGAGTTGTTGAGGGTGTAGTAAGAGCAGTAGGGTCCTATGATCTCGGATTCGAATAAGAGGGAGATCTCTGGTTCTGGTCGGCTGGCAATAAAAAAAGACGAGGCGTCGATTATGTATTTGAATGGCGGCGGCAATCTGGTGAATTGTGCTGAAGACCTGGTAATAGGCGACTCTGTCGGTGCATTCGTCGAGGGCGTCAACGAAGATTAGGGAAGGTATATCGTCTTGCTGCTGAGAAGGGCATTGCAACGGTTCGGCTATGAGTCGTAGAGCCTGGGTGTCCGTGGATTGTGTATAGACGATTGGGTCGCATTCGAAAGCGTGTTCTATCGTCCGGTGTACTGCAGGGATGGCGCGTGCGATCTGGTACGCCAGCATGGTGAACAGGAGCTTTGCATTGTTGCGCGTTGGGCCTGAGCAACCAAAAAAAAAGTCGCGAAGAGCAGTTTCTCCTCTCCTCTTCTCGCACAGTTCCGCAATTGTTTGAGTAGCGGTTCATTGAGCCAAAAAAAAAAAAAGAGGGCATCGACGTCGATTTCACCCTTTACCTAGGACATGGTCCTCTTCAAAGTCGCTTGACGGGTATGAGAGTGGAATTTCGGGGTTTGGCGTCATTCGCCTGCACTGTAGAAGGCAGCAGGTGCCGTAGCATCCTGGAATGCCTTAAAACCACCTGTTGGCGAAGTTCGTTCATTCTCGATGCCTAGGAGATTTACTCTGTATTTTCACTCACCTCGCTTGTGATTCTCGTTATAATCCAAGTATGCTGTTGGAACGCAGTGAGGTGGCATTTATTCGATGCTAATTCCCCGCTCAGCGCCGCAACCCAAGGAGGCATCCGAGTCATGGTCGTATTAATAGTGTGTCAAAGTGGAAGGGGTTCTCAGTCCGTCGGACCACATTCCCAGGACTGTGCATGTCATTTGTCAGAGATGTCGGCGGTAACGCAACGTCTGGAAAAGGTGCAAAGTGGTCGAAGGTGGTCGAGAAAGCAAACAGGCGCAGTGACTGTGGCCCTATGTAAGCTCGTGTACATCAGCGATCGGAGTCGCTCTGACCCCGAGGTTCACTACTTACGAGTAACCTCCAACCCATTTTATTGCCTCCCAATGCAAGGGAACAGAGCCTCCGGGTCAGTAATCCCTCCTTACCGGCGGACGAAGGCGAGCTAAGTACTGGTGACGGGCAAGTACCACTCGACGAAGCTCGACTGAATGCCGCCATATTGTTGCCAATCCACCCTCCTTCACGCTGATCCCGGACACTGTATCAACTACTGACACGGTCAGTCTCGGCCTTGAACAACTTTATTCCCCGTTTGCATTTACTGACACCCCTTTACCCAGTCAATGAGCCAGTTCCCCAAGGTTCAGTAGCTTACTTTACGAAATTTCTTCGCCCCAAGGAATACTACGTTGGAATGCTTGGGGATGGGCCCCGACGGCCTCGCAGCAGCAGCTTCCGAATGACTCGATGGACTCGTCATTCTGGCTGACGGTTCGAAGACCTCACCCTCGTTTCGTGGTCTAAAAGAGACACCAGCAGCTTTCATCAACATCGACCTCTCGAGATGGTAGCAAATGCTCTTCTCAGGCCTATCTCGCTCGGCACCATCGAGCTGAACAACCGCATCGGCATGTCCGCCTTGACAAGAAGTCGCTCTCATAGCACATATCCCACCGAGCTGATGAAAGAATACTACGTCCAACGCGCCGATGCTGGCCTAATCGTGTCAGAAGGGCTTCTGATAACTCGACAAGGGTAAGCGCATGATCTTTCGAATACATTTTCTCCTATACATGATGTTGACAGTACCGAATGGCCTCGTGCACCTGGAATCTGGGACGAAGACCATGTTGAAGGATGGAAGAGCATCGTCACCGCGGTTCATCATGCGGGCGGCAAGATGTATGCCCAATTGTGGCATCGTATGTCTTTTTACATCGCTTACTATGTCGTGAACTAATTCTCTTGTTCAGTTGGTCGTTTATCCCATCCAGATGCGCCAGAACAGAAGCTTGCCAGCGTGGTTCGTATTTAAGGCTCTCTGAATGGAATAGTATTTTATTTACTATTTTTATTTCTTCTAGCCTGTTTATGGACCTTCTGCAATTGCTGCTCGCGGCGGCAAATTCCGTCACCTTCCGGGAACCCCTGGATATGTCAAAGTTTGTTGTATCCTCCTCCTGAGGGCTAATGGCGAGGCTCTAACAAAACGACTCGCAGCCAACAAGCATTGATGACCCTTGGGTTCTCGTTGCCCAATTCAAACAGGCTGCTGTAAATGCAAAGCAAGCTGGTTTTGACGGTGTGGAACGTAAGCCCATCTTCGTAGTGATCCTCTCAGACGCTGATCCTCTCGTAATGTTCAATCTAGTCCATGGTGGCACCGGGTACTTGATAACACAATTCTTAGACAATACTTCGAACAAGCGCACAGACCAATGGGGCGGCAGTGTCGAGAATCGATCCCGTTTCGGACTGGAGGTTTTGAAAGCGCTCGTTGAAGTCTTTGGCCGTGATGTCGCTGTCAAGCTCAGCCCCACTGGAGGTTACAACGATGTTGGGTGAGTCTTCCAGTTGTTGCACAATGTTCGACCCCAGCTAACGACCGCGATGTCAATACAGGATGCCCCTTCAAGAGACTCTCGAAACGTTCACATATTTCATATCAGAGGCAGACAAACTCTGCCTCTCATACATCGTTCTCCTCCGCCATTCTCCTAGGTACGATCCGGTTTATGAGGATGGTATGTTCTTTGGTCAATCTTTACTTATATCGAGCTAATCGGAACTAGGTGTTCATCGTGCTACAAAGCACGACGTCCTTGAATCCTATGGGCACTTAATCAAGCACGCCAAGGTTTATATCAACGGCGACGTAACCCCAGGGGAAGGTCAAAAGCTTGTATCTGAAGGCAAGGTCGACGGCATCTTCATTGGCCTCGGCTACATTGCACACCCTGATCTCGTTAAACGCATCGAGCACGGAATGCCTCTGGATAATACCGCTGATATCGAACACTTCCAGACAGAAGAGGATGACGATGACTCGAGCAAAGGCTATACCGACTATTCGACGCGTTTCTAAGCACATGGATGTGTTCGCAGTACATAAACGGGCCCCGTCGTCCAAGGGATTTTTGGTCATATCAGCAAATCAGTCCTCGAAATTTGAAATGTTCTTGTCGTCAACTCTTGTACCCGCGTTGTGCCAGTTCTTTTGATGTGGAATCAACTTCATCCTCACGGGAGCTCAACGAAGGTCAAAGGCATCCTGTAGAATGATACCACGTGTGGCACGCTGTGTTGCACTTAGCCGCTCAAGATGAAGTCTCGATCGCTTTCTAAGCAACGCTCATTCTCTACTTTCAGCGCCATTTTTGACGCGGTACCAGCACTCCTATCATTGACACCGAATTTTGCTGGCGATAGAGCCTTATGGCCCCTCAAGAACTCTAGGCGTCTTTAGGCACTGGTCTCTGAGAACCAACTCCTTTTATGAGGACTCGCGTTGGTACTTCTACGATCAGGGAACAAGTGATGATCTCCTCTCACAGTGTTGCATCCTTTTCTCTAAACAAGCATACGCGACAAACTTTGGGAACCCCAGCTGCTGACTCAAGCGAATATCTGGGCTCGCCCAATTTCGCTTACGACCTCCTCTTTGAATCTTTGCTTTTTGCTTACATACAGACTACGATGGACGGACGTGTAACTGCTGGGCTGTCACAGACGTCTATCAGGGAACGAGTACAAAAGGAAGTCGTCTATCTGCCAGGAAGCTACCAACGACCTCCCGAACACTCGACTTTTTACTATCTCTTGAACAGCAAGACGCGAAGATGGCTACCCGCCCAATTCTCAGGACCGTCCATGTCGGTACCCACATGCTGAAGAATCGCGTTGGGATGCCTGCCTTGACGAGGAACCGCGCTCCGAGCACCTACCCCACCGACTTGATGAAAGAGTACTATGTCCAGCGTGCGAATGCTGGGCTCATTGTGTCGGAGGCCATATTAATTACGCGTCAAGGGTATGCTTAATTCCCTTTCAAGCCGTTCTCCTATACTTACGTGGTCTCTATTCACAAGAACGGAATGGCCCAATGCACCCGGCATTTGGGACGAAAAGCACATCGCTGGGTGGAAGGACATCGTCACTGGGGTCCATGAAGCTGGGGGTAAAATTTTTGCCCAGCTCTGGCATGGTACGTGGTGTTTTCTCTGCTCTTGAAAGCTAGTTAAAGTGAGTTTGCGACTGCAGTTGGCCGCGCAGCTCATCCAGATGCACCGGAGCAGAAACTTGCTGGCGTGGTCTGTGGATGCAAATACACGAACACCGAGCGTTTTTGGCTAACATCGAGCGTCCCTTGCCTTCAGCCTGTATATGCGCCGACCGCCATTGCTGCACGTGGTGGAAGCTCCCTGGAGAGCCGGGATACGTTACAGTATGCCTTAATATCATCTTCCTCGATGGGAGTCTGTTATCTAAGTTTACGTGTGCAAGCCAACTGCTATCGAAGATCCTTGGACCATTGTCGCCCAGTACAAGCAGGCGGCTCTTAATGCAAAGCAGGCCGGCTTCGATGGAGTTGAGCGTAAGTAACCCCACATTCTCATGCATTGAACGCTGATGCTGATTGATGCAAACTAGTCCACGGCGCCGGCGGGTACTTAGTTAACCAATTCCTCGATAGCAGCTCCAACAAGCGTACCGACCAATGGGGAGGCAACATCGAAAACCGTTGTCGCTTTGGCCTGGAGGCCCTCAAGGTGCTTATTGAGGTCTTCGGGCGTGATGTCGGTGTCAAACTCGTCCCAACTGGTGGCTACAACGACGTCGGGTAAATATTTGACCTCCTCCGTCCGTTTTCTTTATTGACGATTGTTGCTGGCCAGGATGCCACTCGAAGAGACTCTGGAGACGTACTCGTACTTCATCTCCGAGGCCGATAAACTAAACCTTGCATATATCTGCCTGATGCGCTATGGACCCAAGATGCAATTCGAGTATGAAGGTACGACCCTCCATTTAAATTCCATTTACACCTAACTTATATAGACCAGCAGGTGTCCCTCGTGCAACAAAGCACGATGTCGTCGCCTCCTACCGGCATCTCATCAAGAATGCGAAGGCGTTCGTCAATGTCGACGTTACTCCGGAAGAGGGAGACCAGCTCATTTCCGAAGGCAAGGCCGATGCTATTTTCGTCGGCTTCAACTGGATCCCGCACCCTGACCTTGTAAAGCGCATTGAACATGGAAAGCCTTTTGACAATACACCTGACTTAGATCTTTTGTATGCAGGCCGAGGCGAGGACTGGAGCAAAGGCTACACCGACTACCCTCCGGCCTCTTACTGAAGATTGCATAGAGAGGAAACATGTGTTTGACGGGAGTACTTCTCAAACTTTTTCATATCTATGGGGCCTCTGAAATGTTACTGCGATGTCGAGCGTAGCGTCCAAATCTGCTTTAACCGGACACATAGTAGAACCGACCGAAGTTGTTGCCTGGCCAACCTGGCCTTTGCCTCTTTCGACCCCACAGGCCGCAAAAGACATCCACAGGAATGATCAAAACGCCCACCTTTTGGTCACGCGAATGCACAACTCCGCCAAAGCTCAAATCTGGCTGTCAGAGCTGACGCCCACTGCCTAACATTGGTATCGCCCTTGACCACAATCAGATTTCTCGCACTATGTACTGGACATCGCCCCTGAGCAAAATTAAGATAAAATAAACGCAATATTGGGAGTATCTTATCGACAGCAACTGACCCGCAGAAATGACTGCGAACGCTCTCCTCCAACCCCTCCAAGTTGGAGCCATCATGCTGAAGAACCGAGCCGCTATGTCCGCCATGACGAGAAATCGTGCACCGAATGGTTACCCATCAGATTTAATGAAGGAATACTACGTCCAACGTTGTGGTGCTGGACTCATCGTCACAGAAGGGCTCTTGATCACTCGGCAAGGGTAGCTAGGTGTCTTGTTTCAATTTCAGAAATTCGCCCAACCTCGTATTTAGTACCGACCACCTCAACGCACCTGGCATCTGGGACGACAAACATGTCGCGGGTTGGAAGGACATTGTCGACGCCATTCACAAAGCAGGTAGCAAAATTTATGCCCAACTTTGGCACCGTATGTTTGATACTTTCACCTCTGCCTTCTTAACTAACACTTGTTGACCAGTCGGGCGCCTATCCCATCCCGAAGCGCAGGAGCAGATACTCGCTGGAGAAGTCAGTTGCTTGCCGGTCTCGTCGGACTGTGCGATCTAATCGTGTTTGCAGCCAGTCTATGGGCCGTCTGCAATCGCTGCACGAGGGGGTAAATTTCGCGACGTACCCGGTTCACCTGGATTTGTTACGGTGCGTGGTCTGTTGCCTGAGGCATCCTGAACAATGGAGGTCATGAGATATACCAGCCCACGGCCATTGAAGACCCTTGGACTATTATTGCGCAGTACAAGCAGGCAGCCATAAATGCAAAAGAGGCTGGTTTCGATGGAGTCGAACGTAGGTTCCCAATCGTTTCATCAAGCCGACGTTAACCGACGTTGTTGCCTCCTAATAACTAGTTCACGCAGCAAATGGTTATTTGGTGATGCAGTTCCTTGACAACACGTCCAACAAACGGACGGATGAGTGGGGAGGCAGCGTCGAAAATCGTTGTCGTTTCGGCCTAGAGGTCTTCAAAGCGCTCATTGAGGTCTTCGGGCAAGACGTCGGGGTCAAGCTGAGCCCCGCAGGTGGATACAACGACGTTGGGTACCTGAACTTGACACTTTTCCTCGAAGTCTTGCTAATTCACATTTATTGTCTGGTTCAGGATGCCGCTCCGAGACACTCTCGACACGTACTCGTATTTTATCACCGAGGCGGACAAGTTAAATCCTGGGTATATTGTGCTAGTACGCTATTCCTCGATAACCGACGAACAGTTCGATGGTATGGTTTGTTTGACCTATCCCATGCCTTCTGCCTTCTAAACCGGCAATACTCCAAGGTGTCTTACGTGCGACTCGACACGACGTTTTCAAGTCATACCGACACCTGATAAAGAACGCCAAAGTTTTTCTAAACTCCGGAATTTCTCCAGAAGAAGGCCATCAACTCGTGTCTGAGGGAAAGGCGGACGGCGTCTTCTTTGGCTTTAGCTGGCTCACTCATCCCGACCTTGTCGAACGCATTAAACGCGGATATCCCTTAGATAATGCCCCTGACTTCCTACGCCTTATACCAGAGGATGGCGAGCGGGATTGGAGTAAAGGTTATGTTGATTACCCTGCATACGCTCATTGAGTAGTTCACGAGGGCTCGATTCCATGGGTCGTTATGAATTGATCTTCCTAAGCAATCGGTCATTACAAATTTTAGTTGAGTCAACTCCACTGCTGAGAAGAAGTGTGAATGGCGCTTACATTTCTTCCAACACGCGAAGGCGTCCCCAAGGATTATAGTCTGCCTATTAGATGTCGACTCCTCAGGCCGATGCGGGAGAGCCAAGCCTTACTACCCTGACGCCATAATTTCCGAAATCAAACTGTTATCCAGCAAAGCAAAAAGCTGTTAGATTTGGTAAAGCTATCCGCTGACTGAAACTGAGATTTCTTCGATCGTTAGTACTTAATCCTGCTGATATCTCGGTAAGAGCCCACTTATTAGAGATAGAATAAAGGCAGGTCGGGTGTTTCAGGTAAAGCACAGTTAGACCCATCTACACTGAAATCAAAGTTGACAACAATCGTTCTCCTCGGACCTATCCAAGTTGACAGCATCGAGGTCAATAATAGCGTCGACATGGCAGTCACAGCAAAAATTTGCATGCCACACAGTTATTCCCAAATAAAGTCATGAATACTACATTCAAGTTGGGCGTGCCGGTGTGGTGCTCATCATGCTTGAGAAGCGGGCCCCAACGGAGTGTTTGCAGTGTTTGATACCGCCGATATCTTGGCTTGGGGTAAGAGATATAAGTTGCTGATCACTAGATTATAAGACTATAAATAATTATTTTCTGCTTTTAGATCGATTTTCGACGTCCGTGTGGCGTCAGCCCCGATTTGGAATCGTAAGTAGCGGAGCGGCCCGGTTGCGATCGTTCTTCAAATCGCGGACCGGCATCTCCTTCCACCCACCTATGCCACGTTCAGTGACATTTCGGAAAACTTATTCCTCTCCATCAACAGAACCGACGTAGCGACGGACTGAATTCGCCATCTCTTTCTTTGCTATTCTATCAACACAAAAAATGGCGGCCAACGTTATTCTTCAGCCCCTCCAAGTCGGGACGATCGAGATAAAGAATCGGATTGGCATGTCTGCCATGACAAGGAACCGTGCGCTCTACACTTACCCGACTGACCTCATGAAGGAGTACTATGTTCAACGTGCTGCTGCGGGACTCATCGTATCGGAAGGGATTCTCGTCACGCGTCAAGGGTTCGTGCTCTCTCATCTTATACCGTATAGCTCAACTTCGTGATCTCAGAACAGAATGGCCAAACGCGCCGGGAATCTGGAATGAGGAACATGTCATTGGATGGAAAAAGATCGTGGATGCTGTCCATAAAGCGGGGGGCAAGATCTATGCGCAGCTCTGGCATAGTACGTCTGCGGCGATTTCTCTTTCAAAGTCGAGGTTGATCATCGCCACAACCGGACGCGTCTCACATCCGCAAGCAGCAGAACAAATACCCTCAGAAGAAGTCAGTGCTGCCCGTCCACGTACTCGGGTCACTCTACTCGGTCTTACACCACACCTTCTTTTAGCCAGTTTATGCTCCTTCCCCGCGATATCGCAGCTCGTGGAGGTAAATTTCGGCACATCGAAGGGACACCAGGTTATATTACAGTGAGTGCGCCGCTTCGTCTTGGTCATCGCCTAACCGTCATTCTCTCAGCCAAGGGCGATCAAAGATCCATGGACACTCATCGAGCGCTTCAAACACGCTGCCATCAATGCAAAGCAGGCGGGCTTCAACGGCGTGGAACGTCAGATTATTTTCATTTCTTCCATATCGGCCTTACCTGACTTCCTGCTGCGATAGTTCATGGTGGGAACGGATGCTTAATTATGCAGTTCCTAGACACAGGATCAAACAAACGCGAAGATCAGTGGGGTGGAAGTGTCGCGAATCGGTGTCGGTTCGGGTTAGAGGTCCTGAAGGTCCTAGTGGAGGTCTTTGGACGTAATGTCGCCGTCAAACTTAGCCCGGCTGGAGGCTACAACGACGTGGGGTAAAGAATCCATTTCAGTGCTCTTGCAAACGAACCTTAAAATCAATTACAGTATGCCTCTTCAAGAGACAGTCGATACGTACTCGAATTTTATTTCAGAAGCGGACAAGATGAACATCGCGTACATCACGCTCGTACGTTACTCGCCGAAGTCCGATCCCGTGTACGATGGTAAGCAAAATGTTGCATTTTTTTTCTCCAACTCACCGAACGTACAGGTGTCTCCCACGCCACAAAACATGACATTGTTGGCACCTATCGGCCGTTGATCAAGAACACGAAAGTGTTCGTCAACTCAGGTGTGACACCAGAGGAAGGCGACCGCCTCGTCAGGGACGGAAAAACGGATGGCATCTTTATTGGCTTCGATTGGATAGCTCATCCCGATCTCGTGAAGCGCATCGAGGACGGAAACCCTCTGGACAACAAAACCGACGTCGCACATATAGGCCCAAGGAAAGATGAGCTGGACTGGAGTAGAGGCTACACAGACTACCCCGTCGCTACTTGAAAAGCTGTCCTCCATGGAGCATCAGCTCGCGTAATCCCCTCTGCGGAAGCAGGAGGAAAGGCGGTTCGGGATGAGTTAGCCTATTAGAAAGCAAGTGCGTAGCTTCCTGCCAGGCTATTCGGAGGGTAGTGTGCAAGATTCATACTCGTATCGCAATGACAGGTTTACGAAGCTAGTGCTCTTGTTACTCCGTAATTTACCGCAGCGCGCTAATTGCGGGTTGAATCTGACAAGTCATGTGTCTTACGAGCGCCTATTTATCGGATTAGATGATGAGAGCGCAGTCGTCGGAGAAAATGTGAGTATAGATCCGGGGAACTCCTATGCTGATGTCAGTAGATATTTAGAACAGCGAGGTGGGTGCTCCAAAGAGTTCGGAGGAGGTAGGTGTGTGGTCGGCGCCATGGTCCTTATACATTCCCACAAGGCCGCTCTTCTGCCCAATGAGTGCCACGAATCTCGACGGTTACCGCATATCTGTAATCCCCCTTCCGGCGTCCTCTCGTGGCTTGATGCATGAAGGCCATGTCAGAAGGTAGATAGGGCTGTGTTCACTAGTAAAGGGTGGTGGTGGGGTTGTCTACGCGGGCAAAGAACTGGTACTGCGAGTAGTCCGCCCTATAAAACGGGATCTGTCCAAACGGAACTGTTGCTCGAACTACACCTGTGCTTTTCTTCATTCTCTGGTGCCACTCATACGCGGTTTTACATGGTCCTACATAGTCTCGTTCTGAAGGTATATGATGCCGTATATCGCACCCTTTTGTGAGTTGCAATTTACTTAAGCTTCTAGACTACATCATCTAACGCACCTCCAGGGTGAAATTCTTCATTACCTTGTACACCTTCGCCACACTCGGTGTACCCAAGCTCTTTGCTTCCGAGTTCGCCTTCGTACAGCATCGGCCTACACCATTCCACTCTCTGCTTGATCTCGAGGCTTCCCTCGAGCCCGAATTGTTACGCCATAATCTCCACAACTCCCTTCGCATGTCATATGGCGGACAGTGGCGAACATTCGTGAAGAGGATGGCGGACGTATGGAAAGCCGCGCTGGGCAGCTCTCTATTGCTGCTACCGTAGGCTCCTCCCGGCTTAACTTTATCTTTGGAGGACTAACTTAATACTAGATTGTCGATTGCCTTCCTCCAAATCGATAGGATAGATGCTGATCTGCTGGCGCGCACGCTGACACTGACTACCTTTGTGTTCGCCGGCGGGGCCTTGACCTCTGGATCTGTACTCGTCATCATCAGTGGGACGGGCAAGCTCGACGGTTATCGATGTGCAAAGAGGTGGAAAGTTTTACACAAGTAAAAAATGACGTGATTGACCGACTCACCACGGCGTCTTTTGCGAATACAGGCATGTCAATACCCCAATCTCCTCTCGTCCCTCGATTTTTGGGCCTGCCTGGCTCTTCCTGTATCGTCTGTTCTTTGGTGAGTATCTGTATTAACCCTGCCCGAGTCGGAAGCGTTTATTATATTTTTAAATGCGCAGGTCCTTGTTATTTTCAATCGGTGTGGTCTGTGTCTTGGCCTTCGCACCGACGCCGGGGGGAACATCGCGGATCGCATCGGGGCCGCAGTTGTCGGAGTAGCGATTGTCGTGCAACTCGCGCATCTGTACAGACTTGTTAGGCTTGTCAAAGGCGCGTGATTTGCACTGCCCAGAGGGTGAAGTTTTACTGTTTTCGTTCCTCTCCTTCTCTTTCCTTTCCTTCGGCACTTGCTTAACGACGAAGTAACGACTGAAGCGATTGGTTACGAATTTCTTTCGGCCCTGTACCTTATCAACAACCCTTCGCACGCCGGAACGGTACTATGTAAGAAGTCGAGTCAAGAAATGTATATAGAGTATATAGAGAGATAGATCATTACCGTCATGCGCCGGAGCACTGCTTTACTTCCTGTGCCTTCTCAATAATTTATAAGAATAATTGACAAGAGTTGATGCAGTGCACGTGGCAAGGTCAATCACACAACCAGAGCTTCCAAGTTGGCTGAACTGTGGTTTTTATTTATTTAAGGCAGCAGACCTAGGTTCAGGTTTGATATCTTAAAACACCCGGATTGATGAGTGGAGGGAAGCATGTACTGCAGCGTCGGACTACGAGTGCCCTTAACTTTCAGGAGCCGACCGGCCATTTGAGGCAATTGCGCCACTCACACGATCATTTCCACCCAATATCAAGGGGATAGTACACTCTACGCCATGGTGCCAGCCCTTACAGACGGATTGTAGTAGAAATACTACTTTGGAAGGCGCAGAAAATCAACATTCTTCACTGAGAAAAACCGCTCCTTGACGAAGGCTCCTTCGAGAAGGGTCAGCGGTTCACTCTGGAGGTACCAACGCTTGGGCAAAATTCGGCGTTCAAGATAGAAGTTGCCATAGAAAGTGATAGCGGACAAAGCGACTGGGTGCGCACTCGTGCACAGGAGGATGGCGAGGGCGTCAGGGGTGTCGATCTGCAGCCAGGTGATCGCGGCGGCGCTCCTGAAAGAACGCAAAACTGGGTCAGGACGCCATCTTCGCACTTGAGGGCAGACATAGTCAAATCGAACTTACTCAGCCAGGAGGAAAAAATAAAGTATCGAGGCGCTCCAGAGTTTTCGAGGACATAACCAAGATGTCGCGTGTGGGAATCAATTCCTTGTTACTTCGCAATTCCAGGTCGTAAAAGACTGAGAACCTCTTCAACCGCTGAAAAAGCGACAAAGGCGGCGAGAGTCCTTCAACTTCTGCGTCATTCTTATTCTTCTTGGAGCCGTTCAAGACCCATGCTCGAGGAAAAACATTAGCGTGATCCGTGTCGTACGTCTCTAAACAGGGGAAAGGACATGTCTGGGGCTTTGTCGGGGATTTCGGGAACATCTTCGTAGGTCCCTTAGGTTGGGAATGAGGGCAGGAGAGTCGCATACAAGGGTTCGTCCGGAGACATCCCTCCGAGTGAGAGGTGTTTCACATGCGTCCCAAGGAAGATAGTACGAGAGGGCGTAAGTGAGAAGATACTCACATCCTCGAGGATCGGAGAGCGCAGGAGGTCGCGCAGCGACGTCTCGAAGTCCGCCGAGAGCTTATCCAGGCGGAACTTGAGGGACGTGTCGAGACGGAGTTCCCGGATTTCCCGCTCGTTCGCTGAGCGCAGCATCCAGAGGAGGGCGAGCAAATCTCTAGCATTGCACAGCAGGTCCTGCATCTCGCGCGGCTGGAGTCGCTCCAGTTACCATGGTCGAAGCTGAAAGACAGGTGGAAGACCTTGATGCACGACACTAAACTCCTGAACGTGTCTGTAATGGAATTGGCCAGCAGCCTGTTGAGGGAGATGACTCGTTGACCAACTCACTCCATCTGCGTCCTACCACGACAGAACGGGAGAATATGTAAGCTCGTGCGCGTACACGACGATCTGGTCAAGGATTTCTTGGGGTAGAACTGGCCTCAACTCATGTGTAGATGGTGGTTTCATGGCAAGAAGCACGCACATCAAGGCCCGCCGGAATCGTTGTTTATTTTTCCAATCTTACATGCAATGAGGTCGTCCTCACTAGTACGGTACTCACCTTCCCAGTTCTCGATCCATTCGACTCACAGATCAGCAGTGCAGAATACCACAGTGACCATATCGTACCAAACGTCGTGAAGCGGAACCAAATGAAATAATAAAAAAAGATGAAAACGAGGAGAGGAGAGAGGAGCCAGTAGTCGACGAGGAATACAGAAACCAACAAATGAGTGTGCGGGTGGGGGGGATGATTAGGATAGGAGACGTATATAGAGGCTGGAGCGCGAAGAACAAGGCGAGATATGTCGTAGAATATACACTCAAGACGAGGTGGGTAAGGAGAGACGAGGGTAACGGGTGGGTAGGTGGTGGGTGTGTGATTTGGTAAGGTAGGGGACATTACATTAGTCCGCCCTTGCCTTGCATGCATTGGTCCTCATCATCTGCTATCCTTTCAGCCCATCTTGTTGTCCTTCTTCTTTGGCTTGCGCGGCGGCGTCACAGGACGCCCCATGTTCATCCCACCGTATGGGTACTTCGCCTTCTTCTCGGCAGGCTTCAGGATCTACAGACGGGAAAACCCTGTCAGAAAAGTGCTGTACGATAAGAAGCTGCCAAGGGCTTACCTGGAAGGAACACAATAGTGTCTCGTCCACACTCATCATAGCACCCGCGTTGTCGAACTCGCCACAGTAGTTCGGCGCTGAGAACAACGTCACCAAATGCCTCTTCGCAAAGAACTCATAGCCATCCTCGACGACCTGCGAAGAAAAGTGCAAATGATAACGATTTTTTCATCAGTATTGTGTTATCGCGTGACTGGCTTAAAAAGGAGAATAGAGACGGAATGGCCCCATTGATTGCTCAATGTGCACAACAAGTGTCGTTCCGTGCATTCCGTCTCCACAAAAATAGCACGCGAATACGAGATGGATGACGATGACTCACCTGATGTGCCCGACATATCAAGTCCATGTCGTGCTTTTGTAAGAAGCGTGATACCACGTCCGGCCCAAATGTAAATGATACTCCTCGGTCGTTCTCTGACCAGCCTGTGATGTCCTTGTCGGGATCCGACCACAGGAGATCGCAGAGCAGGCCTACGAGGACGCAGGGCGAGGGAGGAGAACAGTCGGTCAAGAACCGTAATTTGCACAGCGTGAAGCATGTTGTACACACCTGTATCCGGGACATCCGTCGGTCGCATGACTCTCCGTATTTGTTCCATGGATTGTAGGTCGGGACTCAGTCCACCGTGCATTGTGAAGATCTTCTCGTCGATGATGGCGGCGATTGGAAGGCAGTTGAAACAGTCCGTGAAGGTTTTCCATAACTTAATGTTATAGCGGCGTTTGCCTGGCCAAGGGGAAAAAAGGCGCGAAGGATGTTGAGCAACGAGGCAAGTTCCACGAATGATGCGAAGAAACATGAGGAGATGGTGAAGAAGAGGACGTACATTCATCATAAAAGCCGTATATCCTATTGATACTGGCGCATTCGTGGTTGCCTCGTAAGATAAAGAAGTTTTCGGGGTACTTGATCTTGTACGCAAGGAGAAGACAGATAGTCTCCAGAGACTGCTTCCCTCTGTCTACATAGTCGCCAAGGAATAGGTAGTTTGCTTCTGGTGGGAACCCGCCGTACTCGAAAAGTCGCAAAAGGTCGTAATATTGGCCATGAATGTCGCCTGGAGGCCGTCGAGGTGGTGGGAGGGAATGCAAAAATGAACAAGGAGCGAGCTAACCGCGACATGAGTCAGCACTCACCGCAAATCTTGATTGGAGCTTCGAGCTCGAGGAGAATAGGCTGGTTGATGAAGATTTCGCGTGCTTTTGTACACAAGTACTTGATTTCGTATTCCGCCAGTTGGACGGGCTTGCCAGGGCGGTTGCCACGGACTAAGGGGTTTCAACAAAGGTTCGTCAGCAGGGGTGTTCTGCGGGCGTGGGGGCCAGGAGGCCACAGTGACGACGCCTGAAGATATCCTAGGCCCTTCGCAGCGGATCATGACGAAGGTTCGTGGCGAAGGTGAATCATCAACGCAGCCAGACTCGAAACATCCACCGCAGTGCGGGGTCGGCCCATTCCCAGCATCGCCCAGCAGCACTCGCCGCCTCCTGACCGTCCAACGCACCCGCCCCGCCCACCGATAGCCCATTCCTGGCGCCCGCAGGGAGAGCAGCGTGCCAGCTCACCTTCAAGGAGTCGGTCGATGACCGAATCAAGATCGATCTCTGTCGCTATCTCTGCCATGCTGTGGGTGGTGGAAGGAGGTCGCTACTCGCTTGCGGGGCCCGCTGTTGTCGTTCTTGAAGAAACTGACGATGGTTGGCGCCCGGGTGTGTGTGCTGGGCCGGAAAAAGAGAAATGCGGCGGTGCGTGAGGTAGAAGTGCTGGATGACCCTGACGTCAAACAAAGAGCAAGTGGTGTGCAAATACGAAATTTTTCGTGAGTTTGGAGAAGAAAAAAGACGGAGAGGGGGAACGGGGGCGGTGGGGACGTCGGTGACGGTGTTTTGGGGATGAATGAATATCGATGGTGGGCGGTGCAGATAACAGCGGGCCTTCAACACGGCCTACTTCGGGCCCACCGTGGGAATGTAGAGGAAAATAAATTCATTTCTTATATGCTACATAATCCCGCTAGTAATGTCCATTTCATACCTTCCCATCATCACCGTCCCGCTGTCATCGTCAGCGGCGCCGTAAGCTGCGTCGCAGACACTGGCGTCGGGTCATTAGTGTTCGTTGTCGCGTTTGTCGTCGCAGTGTTGATCGTTCCGGGCTGTACACGCCGCCGTCTGCGCCGCCTAATCCAACCATGCGTCTTGTCAACAACACGAGCACAGAACAATCACGAAAATTCCGAACCTTGGGAAGATGGGGCCACGAGGCATAGGCCGCTCATCCAGGTCCAGCGCAATGTTCGTCGCGGATTGAAGACCCTGCAACAACAACAGAACAACAGTCAGTCAAACATCTGTCTCATCGACCAGGAGCGCACCTCAATCCACGCAATGACACTCTCCACGTCCTGCGCCTGCAGCAGGAACTGCTCGCCCTCAAGCCTGACGCGAATGACGTGTTTTCTCTTCATGTAGTCGCTGCCCAGCCCGCTCTCCGCGTTCTGCATCGTATACACCCGGATCAGATCACGCTCGTCGGGATCGGGCACACCGTCCTTCTCCTTTTCTTTCTCCTTTCCTTTATCCTTGCTGCTGGTACTTGATCCATGCACAGAAGAACCAGAGGCGTTTCTCGCAGCCAGTGATCGCGCATGCGGACCTCCGCCGACGCGGAAGCCCGAACGTGAAGCTGAAGACGTCGAGGCCGATGGAGACGTAGCACTTGCCGTCGTGATAATGGAAGGAGAAGGTGTAACCGGACGAGAGTTGCTGCTCCGTATTGAAGACGAAGGGGTAGTAAGAGACGTCGACGCCGTGAGTGCAGGCGAGTGCAACCGCAACGACGAACCATGAGGGCTGCTTGCCATCGTAGGCGTCGTTCGCCCACTTGCACTCCGCGGGATGTTCAGAGATGGGCGAGGTGATCGAGGGCGAGGTGGGTTCTGAGAAACGTCGCTGTTCGACCGTCCATGCCGTGTACCCGGTTTAAGCAGCTGTACAGCAAGGTTCAGCGCAGACCGTGCCGCAGGGAGAACGGCATGGTGTTCATGAGAAGGCCGCCCTTGTACTTGCTGAGGTTGAGACTGTAGATACGGGTGCCGCGACTCTGCAGCAGGCGACAGAGGAGGCTGCACCCGAATTTCCTGTGGCGACGTCGGACTGTCCGCCTGGAGCACCGGCTGGCCCGAATCATACCCCTCGCCGGACTTCCTCGACAACGTTAGCGCCCTCTCCAGCTCCTTCTGCTCCGCCGCAAGGATCGCCTGCGCCACCGTCGTGCTCGCCGTCGTATGGAACGCGCTCGTCGTCATCGCCGTCCCATACGCCACATCGCCGACACCCACCCGATTCTCCCACCACTCCCCAATCGCCGACACCCCCGACGCGCCTGCGGGGGGCTTGTACACCCGGAACACCGTCCCTTCCAGGACACAGAGCACCCGCCGCCACTTGCGGTCTTTGGACTGCACGCCAGGTTTTGAGAACTCGAGCTTGCGTGGCATGATCGCCTTGAGGTAGACGTCGTTGCTGTAGGGGGGAAGCTTCTCCTTACCCTCGTCCTCGCGTGGCTGGATGGCGGCGCCGAAGCCGGAGGCGAACTGCTGGGGATGGAAGTCGGGGTAGGGCGGCGGCGCTGTCGTCGCGGTGAATGTGGGCATGGACCGCCGCCGCCGCAGAGGGTGGGGGTGCGAGAGGGTATCATACGCAGGGGCCATACTAATTCTTTTGCTCTGTCGCCTGCCCGTTGTCCCACCTTCAACATCCGGTACGCCCAGGGTGGCGGAGGAAGCGTCGATAAGCTCGCCGGCACCCTCCATAACGGCATCTGCAGAATGTGGCGGCTCCGCGGTCGGATCGCGAGGACCATCGCCAACACTGGCATTCCCATCCACAGCAGCTCCATCCACACCCACACTCAACTCCTTCCCGTCCTCATACCGCGTACCCTTGACCACAGCACGCATGCTCATCCTCAACGCCCTGACCCTGCGCTTCCTCTCCTCCTCCTCGGCGCCGTCCTCCTCCTCCTGCACCATTGCCTCAACGCGCTCCTTCTTCTCGGCAGCATGTACGTCGATGAGGCTACGGGACGCGCGCTTGTACATGCCCGGATGGGCCGAGAGGCTACCCAACGTAGCCGAAAGACGCGCCTCCGACAAACGAGAGACCATACCGGGCATCGGCGAGTGCTGGTGCTGGCTAGCCGCGAAGGAAAGCTGGTAGTCGCCCGGTCGCGGGGTCGTCGCTGGAGAATGCTTCTTCGAACTCGACGTCGAGGTCCTCAACGTCCGCTCAGACATCGACCTTTCGCCCATATGCTGGGGTGGCGTCTGGTAGAAGTAGTCCGTCACACCACCCGCGACACTCTTCCTCCCATGTGCCTGCGCCCACGAGCTTGCCACCGGCGTCCTGCCCGCATCCTCCGTCGTCCCCCTCGCCTCTCTCGCTCTTGCCTTGCCCTTGCCCTTCCCAGGTGACGGCGGCCTGTCCAGAAAGCTCAAATCCAGATCGAGACGCGTCGTGTCTACATGCGGCAGGTGTGGCGTCCGCGAGAAGCGCTTCTCGGGCGGGCGGGCGAGGTCGCCGAAGTAGGGCTCCGAGGAGTCGGTCGTGGGCGACCCGCGTGCGGTTTTGTACGACGAGGAGCGGGAAGGCGAGCGTGATATACCTCCGTCGTTGTCGTTGTCCGAGTCGTCGACACTGTCCATCGACGAACGCGGTGTGTCTGTATCCTGCGAGCTGCTGCCGGTCGGGGTGCTGCTATTATCCCTAGGCGACACGTCCTGCTCCTCGTCTTCCTCTTCCTCGTCTTCCTCATCTTCTTCCTCTTCCTCCTCGTGGCCCCCAACACCCCTGCCCGTACCCTGCAGAGGCAGCGCCGGCAAGTTCTTCAGCCCAATCCTACTATTCCTATCCCTCGCTCCATTTCCACCCATACCCACACCCGCCGCACTAGCACTCGCCGCCCTCCTAATACCCCCCGCACTGCCCAGGACGCTCCTCTCCCCTACCCCCAGAGGCGAGAGCACAGGGAGGTTCATCAGCGGCAGCGGCGGCGGGCGGAGGATGACGGTAGGCGAGAGGCGCGCGCCGGCCCCTCCAGGGCTGCCTGGCACCCCGAAGAGGCCTGAACCGGTGAAGCTGAACCGGTGGTTCGTGCTTGGGAGGGTGAGCTGGGGAGGCGAGGTCCATTGGGTTGTTGGAGTGGATTCAGCTGAGGTGGAGAAGGGTCGGGTTGAGGTCGGGGGTGTTGGTGTGGGTGGGAGGAAGTATGAGCTGGAGGCGGAGGAGGAGGTCGGGGTTGAGGAGAAGGAAGAAAAGGTGGAAGAAGAGGTGGAGGAGGCGCGTCGTGGTACGATGGGCGGGAAGAGGGAGGCTTCAGGTTTGCTGGAGGAGATCGAGGATGCAGATGTCGATGCAGATGTAGATGTGGATGTGGAAGAAGAGGAAGAAGGGGCCGGACGACGATACGAGGTCGGCGCGAGCGCGCCATTTGGTATTCGGGGTGTCGGTTTCGGTGTAGTATTTGGACTTGCCGTCGTTGTCGTCGAAGGAGGAGTAGGAGTAGAGGTAGAGGACGAGGAGGAAGGCATCGTGTTTCCCTTCGAACCAGGTCCTGAGGCGGAGAAACGACTCGAAGACGGGGAAGACGAGGACGCAGTAACCCTTAACGTAGGCGTCGTCGTACTCGTGCTCGTACTCGCTGTCATAGTCGTCGTCGTCGTAGCCGTAGCCGTCGTAGTCACACTATGACTCGTCTTTGCACCCTCTCTCGGCACTGACGTTGAAGTAGCCACAACAGACACGAACGGAGCGCGCTGAGCAGGCTCGGCGGTGCCCATGCTCATAGCCTGTGATGCGCTCGTACTCCCACTTTCACTCGCACTCGGAGTTGCGGCTGACACAGACACAGACACGGACGAAAAATGCTGTTGTTGTGATGGGGGCTGAAAATGTGACTGGGAATGGGACGAGCGCTGAGGTTGTGATTGGGGCTGGGAGGCCAAGGGTGATTGTGTTTCGGGCGGGTTCGAAGGCAAGGACGGAAGAGGCGGTGGCGGTGGTGGTGGTGCGCGCTGGGGTCTAGGCGGGCGCTGGGATGGAGGGTGGGACTTGGGCGGAGGTTGGGGTGGAGATTGTGATTGCGATTGTGGTTTGGGGGGAGGTTGCGGCGGGTATGGGGTCTTCGATCCGAGGAACGCGTTTGCGTTTACGTGGATGTTCGCGGACATGTTCGAAGATAGCGATTCCATGCTCGCCATTGACGCTCGAGTTGTCGTTGGCGTGGCACTTGCACGACTCCGGCTCGTCAGGCTCGACGAACGCGATAAACTCGCGGTCGACGTCGACTTGTTCGAACTGGTACTGGAGGTGATGGTGGTGGAAGAAATGATTGGAAAATACGACTGCAACTGTGGTTGCGATTGTGAAGTCCGATATGCCTGGGGCTGCGTCTGGGGTCGGGGAACACGAGGCTGATGCTGAGCGCGGGGCTGGGGGTGGGACTCAGACACAGACAGGGTGTCAGACCGAGGCTGAGAGTGAGGCTGTGGTCCGGGCACCGAGGAGAAGGAAGACGAGGCATCGGGGGAGGAGGGCGACAAGCCGTGTCGTGTATGCGCTTGGCCTTGACCCTGGGCGTCCGCGTCATCCTCTGCTACTCCGAGGCGTGTTTCCGATGTCGCTATCGTCGTGCCCGCATTTGCCGTGGCGAGTTCAGGTGCCCTTCCAATCTCCTCACCACTCACAATGATATTCCTTCCCCCACTCACACTCCTCCTACCACCACCAACCATTGCCAGCCCCGCTCCGATCCCGCCCACACCCACTACCGCGCCCGCGCCCGCGACCGACCCCGATCCCTTCTTCGCGTGTTTCTGGTTCGACGACGGACTTTGTGGGCTCCGTGGGCTTTGTAGGCTCTGAGAGCTCTGAACCCGAGGAGACGACGATGTTACCACCGAAGCTGAAATCGTAGTCGCAGGAGGCAGTGGAAGTACAGAGGAAGGCTGAGGCGTCGGCGTTCTCGGGCCTGCGTTTATCCGCTCAGTGCCGGCTGGCTGTGGTGGTGGTGGTGGGGACGGCGACGTCGGTCTTTGGAGGGGTTGTGGGCTCTGGACACGAGCTGGAGAAGGTGTTGGAGGTGTTGCGGGCGTAGCCGTAGCCCGATCTTGAGCTTGAGTCTTGGCCGTAGTCTGAACATGAAGTATTGGTGGTGCTGGTGGCAATGGAGCCTCCCTCCTCGTCGAAGGCTCGTGCTCCGTCGTCGGCGAGGGCGACGACTGGTCCGAATCGTCCTCGTATCCCAAACCCAAACCCAACCCCAGCCCCAGCCCCAGCCCCTCGAACGACCTTCTCCCCTCCCCCTCGCCCTCCTCCTCGCCCAAGCCGAGCGTTAGGCTAAGCATGGGCTGCGACATGTAGGGCTTCATCGCCCAACTATTCCTATTCCGTCCCTGCGCGTACGGATCGTTCACTCTCGCCGACACGGCCGTAAGGCCGCTATCGTAGTTCACGCTGGCGACGCCGATGCCGTTATTGTCCTGGGAGAGCCCGTTGGGAAGGGGCGCACCACCGCCGTTGCGCGTGTGCAGCAGCTGGTTGTGGCTCGCGGAGCGCGTGTGTATCGCGGACGCCGGGGCAGCAGTGTCGGCGCGCGTGCGTCGGGCGCCGGGGAGGCGGATGATGCCTTTGAGCGAGCTCAGGATCTTGCTTGGGCGGGGCTGGTTATCGAACATGAAGACGACGATGAGGCGATCGGGTAGAAGCAGAAGAACGTGATAGAGTGAAAGGATAGAGAGCGGGGAGAGGGCAGGCAATACAGTCAGCACGGGTTTCGCTATCGAGAGCATTGCACAGGGAGGAAGGGACGTACGGGTTTCTGCACCTGGGCACGAGCGCCCGGCGCTGGGGACGTCTTGTTGTGTGCGTGTATTGGCTCCTCCATCGCGCTGCACTCCGAGTTGGTGGCAACAAGGGGGCAGTGGCTTCGGTCTTGCGATAAGTTAAAAGTAGGAAGGGAAGGGATGGTCCGGGGGTGTTATCCCGTAACGTGAACGTGCAGTTTATAACCTGTGCTTTATCTTATATATATAGCGAGCAGCACTCCTCCTCGCTATCGCTAATGAAAGATGACTTGCGTTCGTTCGTGGGTTAGCTGGGTCTGATGAAAGGAAGGCCGCGGTGGAGAGAGGGAGAGGGAAAGAGTGGGACTGAGACTGACGGGAAGGGACAGATGGAGAAGGCGTGCCAGTGCGGCAGAGTGGTGAGAGCCTGGTGATGCGCGGTGGAGAGACAAGTGGATTCGAAGGCGTTTGTTGGTAGCGCCAGGATGATTAGCCAAGCGAGCTCGCAATCGTCGGTGCCGCTCGTCCAAGATGGTTAGAGTTGAAAGAAAAGAAAGGATGGGATCAACAAAGGAAAGGAAGTAGAAGACACAAGTCCGAGGTCATCGCCAGCAGCAACGAGGTCTCATCACACGGATTAACCGCAGCCTTCCAAGTCAAATGGGATTTTATCAAACAATACACTTTCTGTCTTACCACTCATCGCCTTCAATTCCGACTCGCCCGCCGTCCGTGTTCCGCCACGTTTTCGTCTCGACCTCCCTGCAGGATCGGCTCGAGTGCCTTCCGAATCAACAACTGCGCGCAATTTGGTGGTTCGAATTCGCAATGAATTGAATTGATCTTCCTCGCAGGATCGACGGATCCTCTCACCCACCTCGACTCTTGCTGCGCTTCACCAACCCCTCACCCCTCTCTTCAAAATTATCCTCTCACAAAGATAGCCTTGTCCTTCGTCGCTCGCCGATTTCCATTTTCCATTTTCCTGTTTGTTGTTTTGTTGTCAGACAAAATGTTGCGGAGAGCACCTACGGTCCACGCGCCGCGGCGCCCACTCGCTCAGGATCTCAGATTGATGACGAGGGCGGGGAAGGACGCATATATATGACATCACGGTGCGTCGATGAACAACGAAGCGAAGCGCTGACACCAGCAGGCAGGCTGCCTCGATGCTTTGATACAAGATGATCAACGTTTCACATTCTGCCAGCGTCACTATAGAGCATTCGGCCAGTCAATCAGGATCAGAGCGCTTTATACAACCCCTCACTGATACAGTCGGCGCTGTGGTCATCGCCGTCATACTGCTCTCCCGCCTCCTCCACTCCTACATCATCGACTTCAAAGGTTCGACCCTGAATTCAACAACAACTTTTCCGTGTTCAGAATATCCTGCCCCACCCCGGCCTCGACCAATAAAATCCATGGAGCCCTCATCGACCTTAGTCTATCATTGGCTTCCCGTCCTATATTTACCATGACGGCCGAACGCTATCAATATCTAGCCCTCATCCTTCAAGTTCGCTACGTAGCGGAGAGAGACCTTCAAGACCCTCTGTCAAGGTCACAAACCGACCCGCCGGTCGGCTAGGATTTCTGGCAACATACTGGCCGGCGGCTGAGCAGGAGACGCGCCTCTATGCTCCTACGTACCAAAGCGTCGGGAGCTGGATATCGTTCCTGCAGCCCTGTTGATCCTATCCCTGTTTAGACTCCAGGCTCTTCTACCACTTATCGACGAGGCTAGTTTCAGTATCTCACCACTGTACGTCATTTTGTGTACCTTAAAACCGGGCTAGGAGTGGGCATGGACGGTCCGCAACGGTGTGCTTCAGACGGTCTCTTTTGCGCAGGTAATGTTCGCAAGGCATCGTTCGCTCTCTTCCTCTCACCCACGGACATGAAGGGCGTGTTGTAATGCTTGCCGGGCGCCTTTTATAATTAGATCGCCCTTGTCGACTCTGCACCCTACGGCCCGGGAGGTCACCACGCCATATTTCGTCGAACCATTCGTCCCTCTGTTGGATCTGTACGCCGACATGTTCGGGCTCTTGTCTGCTGAAGTAAAGTTGGTTCCAAGCGATCAGGGCCCCTTTCTTGTCCAGTTAATTTTCGGTCGAGAAGAATCAAACACGAATAGGAAGGTGCCGCACTTACTGTGAAAGAAAGAGTCCCTCAACGCCGCGGCATCCATCGACCTCTTTACTCTCTTTGTTTTCGAATATAGCCTGATTTTTGTCGCCCCGGCAAACAAGGTGCGGAGACCGCCACCGCGACCGTCGTGTCGGCTATTTCCGATGTCGGCATGGGTAGTGGGCGCTTGTAGACCAACGGCGAACGTCGAGCCTCGATTTGCCCGAACGACGAAGTCGCCTCAGTAGAAGAGATGCCGAGTCGCCGAGCTGCCGTCGGGTCGTTTACAACGGTGTAATCTGAAACCTCTTGTGTCGACTCAAACCACCTCTTGCATTGGCGCTCCATACACTAAGTACTGGAAAGCCATGTCCGCCATCGATTCCCCAGGCCTCCCAACCCGGGTACGTTTCGTAAACACCTACTCTACCATAACACACTGTTCAAGTTATTCATCTGCGAAATCAGGCGAGCAAAATGAGCAGCATCCCAAGCCTCAGCCCTCGTCGGCAGCAGGGTGACTCGGACGCACTCCTCTGCAAAGGACGCTTCGGGCTCGAAATGCTCTCGGTCTACTACTATGAAGGACGCAGTGCAGTTCGTGCTGCTGTCCTGTTCAAGACGACTTTCGTCCTGCCTAGTGACCAGAAGCTTAGTAAGTGTATTGCTTAGAGCAGACTCCCACTACCTTTTCTCTAGATCTAACACTACTGCGCATGCGTTAGAATATGCTGAATGTCCTATTACCGTCGACACCCCGAACAACAATAAAGGCAGAATCGCAATTGTGGACTACCATCCGATTGAAAACGAGGTCATAACGTCTCCTCACTGGTCAAACAACGGGGCCAGGGGCAGAATGTCATTGCGGGCGGTAAATAATCGCCAGGCGCAACCTTCCAGTATCTCATGGTGGGTTTTGGCAGTGTCAGGCGTCGTACTCTCCAACCGAACTACATATGTCACTGCTAATCATTATTCAACTTGCAGGTTTTTCAAGAACAGCGCCGGTCCAGGGGACACCACCACCACCTACCCGAGCGTGCTCACGCTCCTCTTCGTCGTCGAACCCGAGCAATCGCCAAGGAACCCTTGGTTCGAATTCAACCTCAAGTTGACGAGGGACCTGAAGGTTGAAGTTCGCAGCGACAATTGGCTGACGAACCTCCGTGACCGGTTGGTACGGAACTTGAAGGACGGTTCAAGGACGTTCGAGATAGCAGGACAGTACAACCCGGAGCACGCCAAGGAAGCGTTGAAGCTGCTGCATAGTAGTGAACCAAGCGTCGGGCTGGGTGCTGCCGTCCACGGGGCGACTCGGACGGGCGATACCTCCGAAGCTGTAAGCTTTGATTTGTGTCTTTCTCAAACTTTCACTCCGTCTTATACATATCTTTCAGGTCTAGGGACGTCGAAAGTGCCATTGCTGTTTAATGACCCCTCTGCCATGGAGTCTAGATTCCAGTTCCCCTCGCAGACGCCACGCGTCTGTGCTGGGTGGGCCAGGTCGTCAACTGTCTTGCGGTCTTGTGTTTATACAGTCCGAGGATTAGTAGAGTATCCGTTGAGGTGGGTGGTCTGTTGATGGCGTCCTCAGTTTATCAGTCAGTTAGCTTGCTCCTTCGAGCTTATGCTGGGGTTTGAGAATACGTTATACATTTCCTCCTGGCGACGTGGAGGACGAGAAAGGATGAAATAATCAAGACGAAATTATCAGCGCGAGGGCTCGTGGAAGCATGTATGGACAGCTCCTTCCGAGAAGCATTTGTTTTTTTGCAAGGCGACGTCGATGAAGACAAGTTCAAAGACAACGAATTATCAGCGGGTATGATTCGACACAAATAGCATAGCGATCGGCCTCGAGGAAGAGAGTGGTACTATTCTCCGAGAACCGTGTTCCTCTACTAGTGTTGGTGAATTCGAGCGGTGAACACTGTCGCTAGTGTCATGTTGACGTGGGTGGCAAGGAGAATAAAAAACATATTGCTCTTGTGCAGACGACGGTATAATGTGACTCATGATCTATGCTGGGAAGAAGCCTCGAGCTTGAAGCTTGAAGGCGTACTGCTTCCTTCGGCATCGCCAAAAGAATTGAGCGATAGCATGACGAGGATCCCAGGTGTTGTACCAGGGTTGTGGCATTCAGCAGAAAAGAATCGAGAAAGATATCCCACTGTCAGTGGCCATCTGAATCGTGGTCTATCTACTCGACGACGACGCGACGGTTAAAAGCGAGCCTTAGTGCTAAGCGAGAACTGAATTACACAAGTTATACTATAGAGAAGTTATTCAATCGGAGCATGGAAGATTCCCGTAAAGGAGCTGAGGCTTTTCTTGCAGCAGCGGATGGTGCGCCAGAGTTTCCAAATTTGGATCCCTCCTGACTACATAGACCTGAGAACAAGGACGGTTGTTGCAGACAAAAATATCCTACAGGGATACGAAAAATTAGGTAAGACTATAAATGATCTATATATGTGTGATTCATGTCCAGGATTGGCGAAGCTCTACCAGGCGTCCTACCAGGCATCTGCTCTTTCCACTCAGGTTGGCAACTCGTAGAGTACTACAGGTGTCCGATTTCATGAGAGCCTCCTTAATCACTGCAAGACTCGTGCACCCATCTTGTTTTATACTCTCCTACTGTGGATTTTGGCCATTTCTCCCCTTGACCCCTGTCGACGCCTTGTGGGATTCACGTGGGATAATTACCGGGCCGAGCGGAACGTCTTCGTCGATTCGGATCAATTAATTGTGATCGGCCGATCATTGATCATATTCTTGGCAGAATCGCCGATCTCATGTAGTGCTGGGTTAGATTGCTCAGCGCCGTCAGATTGCTTCGGCCCCCTCTGTCATGTTAGATACTTGGGTTTCTAACTGTTACATTGAATTATGTAATCGACTTTAAAATCAAATAAAATCTCCCTGAATTTCCAGGCTTCCTGAAGCCAGAGCCCTCGGAGATGCTTAAACTCGATGTTGCGGTGAGATGAAGCGTCAATGAGCACCTTATTCCAACTTTTCCCTTGACATGCAGGTTTTCCGCGCCCACCATGATGTGTGCCAAGAGTTCCCAAGAGGGATTTGGGTACATTATCTCGACTTTTCTGGGGCAATCTGAACCCTTTCAGAGGAGATCAAATGGAAACTGCCCAGAAAGTGTCCCGAAAATGATGTCCGAGCGAGCCCAGGCTACCATATATAGACAGGTATCGAGCAGTATCTGACATGGAGTTTCGGATAGGCTCATCAAAACCCCACCACGTGAACGTGAGTGGGGCTTATAACAAGGTAGGGGTTTCATCAGGGCAGTGCAAAGTTTGGCACTCTAGACGCAATAGCACAAGAACGACTACACCCCGTCCTTAGGTTTATCATGAGACCACCTTTCATAATGTCTTCTCTCCCGTTTTATGATTTTTACAGAAATTAATCCATTTTATTTATCCTTAAAATCGACGCTGAAGTCGACAAGCCAGATTTTGTAGTCTTTTGCCTTTTAGTTGCCGGCGTCACAGTAGGTCACAGCGTGGGACAGCCCGTCAAATGGCATCTAATCTTGCCTCGTCCCCGTATCACTCTTGTTCTGCCCCATGACGGTCTCTTTGTATGCCTCCGAATTCACGGCGGTAAATGGTAACAAACCCTTGCGTAGTTCGGGAGAGGTGATGAGAGAGCGGCAAAGGGTGCAGGCACGAAGTGCCTGCTGTCGTGTTAAGAAATAGAAGATGATCTTGTCGAAGTCGGACAGATTTTGCGGTGCTTGAGGGAGAAAAGCAAGTAAGTCGGCCATCGAGATTTTCGAGTATTCCATCGGTCTAACCCACTGCGCCAGGTTTGGCCGGTCGGAGCACAAGTCTATGCCATGAAACGGTCGTGATTCTCCCATCCCGAGTGTCGTGTAGATGATCTCAAATGTTCGGGTAGAGCATGTCGCGGTGAGTGCTAACCATGGTACCTCCGTTCCGACAATGATCTTGAGTGCTGCCAGCTCGCCATAGTCTTTCCTGAACTCATCCTTCCAGGCCTCAATGACATGTGCTTCGTCTACGACCATCGCGACAAGCTTGCGTCGAAATTCTTCGGTGCGAAAAAGTTGCTTGAAACGATTACTTCGCAGCAAGCACTCGGGTGAGGCATAGCAGAGCCTATATTGGCCCTCTTCGAGGCGAGTAAACACTTTGTTGTCCTTGTTGTCTTCGTTGATTTCCACTGCTGTTAGATTGATCTTATCAATCCCATTTGCACGCACAACTGTGTTTGAGAGAGGACAATCACAATCCCCGGAAAACCTGCAAGTTCTGCTGCGAGAGCCAGAAGTCCGAAAACCAGAGATTTCCCAGCCCCGGTCCCAGCAATACCAATTGCATCATGGCCTTCAAGGACCTTTCTTGCCAGCTTCATCTGCCAGTTCTTCGTATCATGGCCGTTTATCTCCTGTGATGTCTCCTTGAGCAAGTGAAGAGGCACAGTTCGACCGATCCGTGGCCACGGCTCAACTCTGCAAACCACAAGATCCGTCCCTGCTCGTACCCCAGGCTTCTTTCGACGTCGAGGAGTAGTAAATGAGCTTGATGGACTGTTTAGTGCGAGGTTTCCGAGTGGAAGTCTTGAGACAGAGGTGAAACTGGCAGTGCCTCCGGAATTGGTACTCTGAGGAGTGGGACTAGGATGATTTCTGAGTGATGTGGATTGGTTGAATACACTCGCGTTTTCGTCTTGAAGAGCTGAGGGATCCATGCAAAGACGGGAATGTCGGCGCGACTCCTGTCTTGCGCAAATTATTCGTCTGTCACACTCTGAGTCCGGTAAATAAACATGTCTAATGGATTTCGATAAGGTCTACAAATCAAATGTAGTGTACGTGACGCCTCGCACTGTCTTGATCAGTGACCGACTTTAGTCCAAGACCGTCCACACGTGGACGATCTTGGTACGAGACTAGAGTTTCGGACCCCCTGCTGTTAGATACGTTATTAACATGTAAGTTACTTGTCATATACCCCCAGGTTACTAACATTGAACTAACAAACCCAGCACTAATCTCATGCGCTTCTCTCTTCACCAACACACATTCGACGCATCGCCAGTGCACTATAAAGTGGCTCTCCTGCTGTACAGGACAAAGCTGGGCTAGGGACTGGTCTTGGACTCCACTTCAAAACCTTGTGTAAACGCGGCCGCCTTACGAGGATTATTATGTTACCTCGTTCAACTGCTTCTAGGTAAGTACTACTTTGTTAACTCCCATGATGCTTTAATACACTCAGTCCAAACTGGGATGCCTAAGCACTGATAGCCTGCGTGCTGGATGTCTTTCTCGAGCTCCATAGGTTGCGGGAATGGAAGACTTGAGTCTACTGCACCCATGATGGACCCACTTGTCTTCCGGACCCGGTTCCTCTATAAGTACCTACATCTCAGGCAAGGATTGGCAGAGATAGGTATCCCTTGTTGATGAAGCAAAATCATCCTTCGATTTGACAGCTTCCAAAGACCATCCGAGCTCCCCGGACTCGAGCCAATTTATAGCACTCGGTAGCCTGGAGAATGTGCTTCTCCATGCTTCTCCCGCTCATGTCGTATCGCTCAAAAACGCAAACCTCTCGTCGGTCTTTCTGTTGTATTAACGTTGATGTTCTCTGAGTTCTTGGCCGACGCCGTCTGACAATATCCTGATAAGACTTCGGCATCAAGAAAGACTCTAGTACAAAGAGAGCATATGCACATGGCGTATATAGCCTTCTTTACCTACATCTCGCCGAAGGTATCACATACGGTGTTAAGTTTTCATGCTGAAGCCTGGAATACGCGAACCCGCTGTCCAATTCAACACCGAGCTATGAGATGTATGGATGAGACTTCCAGACCCGAATCTGGTGAGCTCACCTGTCTTCCGGTTCTCGAGGGTACTATCTATAGGTCTAAAGCAGATGGGCGTCGAAGGACAACGCTCGACGTCTCAAGTTGAAGACCATTTGGAACGACCTTCACATTAATCGCCAGCTCCAAACGAATGGGTATCATGTACATACCCAGACCGACAAGACACAGCTGATAAGAACATCTAAAGAATGCCGAACGCGTTATGGAATGGTTCTCATAAGTACGCCCAGCCCAGCTGCCTACATGAATCAGCAGGCCACCTCTGGGACCTCGGTGTGTTTTGCCCATTCCAACGTCCAAGCGCGCCAAATGGGTCGACGGAAGCAACGCGCCGGACCCATATGATCAGTGGGGTCAATAAACCCCCACACCCGGGCCCCTTGCGTCGTTTAGCATCGCGTGGCGTTTATGGAGGGTTTGTCCTGGGACAAGCCATACCGTGACAAGCATGCGGGGAGGTCCATCGAACGACGAGTAGCCAGGGCAGCTTCGGACGGGTGCACCCTAAGGCGAAGCGTAGGACGACGCACCATATAGCACCATATGCACGGCACTTCAGCGTCTCATATACGAGTCTACGACCCCCACGAGCCTCGCTGGGTCCGTGGGGCCGCCTCGCTTGACCGGTATCCGTCGCGTCTCCACATACCCGAAATCCCGGAAGTCACAGAGTCTGAGTGAAGCGTGAGCGAAGTCTGCGGCCTAAGACCCTGGACGAGCGCGATGGCATAGACTTCCAGCTCGATTCTCGACACGGCGGCGCCCATAGCCTATCGCCATGATAGACATCCACGTCCATTTGCCCTGCCTGCTCAGTGCTCAGCGATTCGATGCGAGATGGAAGTTTGAAAGATCAATGAAAGCTTGGATCCGAGCTTTCAGCGTTTTGCTCCTCTCAGAACGCGCTCGCCTGATCCTTGGCCGCACGGTGCAAGTCGGAGTCGGTCGGTGCCAGTGCGTGTAGGTCGGTGATTGTGGTGCCAGTTCGCAGCAGTGGAGCCGTGCTTTTTTGTTTGACAAATGACTGTCGGCGGTCGTCTCGTATCTACGCATTGTCCGAACGCCAAATGCATCCTCTAGCTGCCTCCGGGGCTCTGGGACCGTGCAGGGCTGTTTTGAGAGTAACATGAATATGTTCGTAAGGAGGAAGCAGAGCGCGCGCAGGCGGACGAACCTCGCAACAATTTGAAACTGGGCGTATTATCAGGAGGTGTCCACTTAGCTTACCGATTGAACGACAGAAGGAGACTGTGATCTTGATGTGCAGCTATGTTTGAAAGCTGCAGCGAGCTCACCACTCTTCGTATCTTGATAGCTTGGAAGCAAGTGAACATGCGGCCCGGCACGCGAGGCCCGGCTCGGCGCAGCGTTGCGGGAAAACATGAGAGCTTCGAGTATCGAACAAGTATCGAACAGGTGTCGAACATCGAGCGAGGGATTGCAGAGTCATGATTTTGATGCGTAAATAAAACATGTGTACAAGTACAAGAGCCATGAAGAGCCGTATGAATGTGGTGAGGTCGTAGAACTACTAGTTCCCGCGCCCACTGTGCACGCTTCTACCAAACCAAGAAAAAAATAATATCCAAGTAGTAGGCACGAGCAGTGAGGCACAAGGAAGGCTAGGATATAAACCATTACATATGTATGATCTGCAGTCGATGGTCTACGAAGGGCGGGGGCAGACGATGACAAGAGGGGGGTGGCACAAGAAGAGGATCGAGAGTGGGAACAGAAGGCGTTTAGGCCTTGGTCTCGTGGAAGGAGCCTGAGGACTTCTCATCCTTGTCGCTGTCGACAGCGTGGGCAGCGGCGGCGATCTGTTCGGCGGCGTCGTCACCGTCGAACAGGGCAGCAGTCTCCTCGAGAGTGCGGTTTTTGGTCTCAACAACGACTGTAGAAAGGTAAGACCGTGTGAGTGGATGAAAGGATGTTGCGAAGAAGGCGACTTACAGAACCAGAGGAAGACAGCTTCGAAGCATAACCATGCAACGTAAACGGTGTAATATTTCCAGCCGATGGCGTCTGCAAACAGAAGTTGGTTAGATTGGAGAACACGGGGTATCAGGGTGGGAACTCACCCAGAGCAACTGGATTGACGTATTGGTTGAAGATGAGCGAGAGCGAGATAGCGAAGTTGAAGACTGTGAAGCCCTTGGCACGGATCTGATAGGGCAGAATCTCAACAGTGTAGGACACGATGAGGGGGGTGAACGCGAGGTCGTAGAAGGCGTAGAACAGGAAGATGAACGCGATGACCGAGTTGGCGGCAGCCTTGTTTTCCGTGTTGGCGAACACGGCAGAGCACGCGGTCTGGAGGGTGAAGAACACGATCATGCCGATGACAGAGGTCATGAAGAGGATACGGCGACCGATCTTGTCGACGAGCGATGACGCGAGCAGCGCCCAGAACAGATTCCAGATTTGCAGGATGCCGTTGATGAGCAGCTGGATGGTCGGGTCGGTGATGCCGATGGTGTTGAAGACCTTGTTGAGATAATAGGAGACGAGACCATTACCGGACCACTGAGAGAAGAAGGCGAGGGCAATGATGATGGTCATGCGTTTCCTGTTTCCGGGGGTGGCAAAGAGGGTCTTCCAGCCGATGGAGGAGGAAACTTGTCGGTCAAGGTCGATGGCGGCCTTGATTTCCTCAAACTCGTACTTGACGAGCGGGTCCTCCTCGTTGCCGTCGGCGTGGTAGTAGGCGAGGGTCTTGAGAGCTTGAGCATGGCGACCCTTGTTGATCAACCAACGAGGCGACTCGGGTGCGAACCAGATGAGGGCGACTTGGATGACAGAAGGAAGAGCCTGGAGGATGGAAGGGAGACGCCATGCCCAGGTGTTCTGGATCTTGAAGGAGCCGTAGGTAGCCCAGGCAGCGCTATAATCCAAGACGATGAGGGGGCGAAGGGGCACCACATCGCAAAATAGACGTACACAATGGCGCCAGAGTACCACAGGGAGTTGTAGGTCGAGGTGAGAGGAGCACGGTAGGTAGGGTACGAGATCTCAGTGACCAACATGGGGGCGGCCGTGGCAGCGAAGGTAAGACCGAAACCAATGAGGAAACTGTCGGGGATTGTGAGGATGGATACAGCAAAGGTGGAATTATTGGGCGTACCGGGCACCAATGAACATGCCAACAGATGTGGAGGCAGTCTGAATGGCGGTCGCGACACACATGATACAGGCGCCTAGGAAGATGGAAGTACGCCGACCGAGGCCATCGGCGACGTAGGGGGAAATGGGGTAGGCGGCCAACGAGCCAATGTTCTGCGAGGCTCGTCAGATATTTTGTTGAGAGTGCGACGAGAAATCGGGACGTACTTGGATGGCGTTCAGGAGACCAAGCCTTCCGCCAGTGGGGTGATTGAAGTAACCAGCCCATTGGGTGAGGGACTGCAACCCGTTCATCATACTTCCATCGTATCCGTTCGTGGAGGACGTGATAAGGCTGAAGAGCTAAAATGAGTTGTGGTACGATGGGAGTTGCGCGTTGGGCTCACAGAAGCAGAATCCAGAAGTTGAGGTAGATAATCCTATAGAAATGCGAAGACGGCGGTGAGAATGAGAAAAAATGGAGAAAACGCGTCGACGTACCGTCTGTTGTTGTACCACTTTCTGTTGGGGTCGAGAAGGTGACCGTAGGCGGTGGTAGTGCCGGAAGATGCAACAGCTCCTGCACCCATTGTACTAAGCTTGAGGACTGGCTAGCCTGGGATGAATGGAGAGGTGGGAACGGATGGGGCATTGGAAGCTTCTTGGGGGCTTTTTATAACGGTATGGGACATGGCACACGTCGGTATGGAAAGTGTCCAGATGACCGGAGTTGGCCAGTTTTTCCAGAGGTACGCCGCCAACACTTTTCCAGGAAGAGCTTGGCACAACAAACGCATCCACGATCTTGCACTTCCTAATCCGGTAAACATCCGCCTCCCACGGTCATCACCCCCGTCAACCACGAAAATACTGTCCACCCTCTACGCTCATCTTCCCCAGGATTTCTCCGAGTTCCCTGTCCTTGAAATTTCAACGACAATTCTCCAGAAGGAGGCGGGGTCTAGGTGGATCTGGGAGACCCTGATCAATATCCCGCATGCCTATTGCTTCCTGATGAGAACCTGCCCCGAAATAGCACCACAGGCCCCGAGGTTACCCCGCATCCCCCACATCTCTCCTCCGAATGAATGTTTCTCCGGCATGGTCCATACCCCATTTTTGATCGCCATCGCCAACGATGACCAACACCGGTGGCACGATGACCTCCAATATCATATCCCCAAGCCCCTAGAAAGTCGTTTAATTCGCACCAGACGCGAGAGCTCGCATCGCTTGAGCGTTAGCCTCAAACGACTGCACGGCCACTAGCACTCAGGAGACTCCTCAGGCTTCGCCTACGACCGACAGTAGGCACGGCGAGTCTAAGATTTAAGCAGCCAATTTTCATTATCTGTAGATTCATTGCAATAAAAATAGCACAAATAGCAGCGAACAAAAACACTAAACCTCGATATAAAAACGTCGACGGGAAACAAGAAGGCAGAGCTAAGTCGCGTCAAAACGCTTAAGGAGCTCGCGAGCAGAGTTGTTGTTGGCAGACGCAGCCCCATTCGCGTTCTCGGTCGATGTCGACGACGAAGCACCAGGAGGAGGAGCATCATTTGCATTGGAATCCGCAACGTTTGTGCTCGCATCGATCGGCGACTCGACAGTCGTGGATAGGCCTCCCACACCCGCAACATGAGCGAGCTCCTTCTTCTTCTTCCTGCCGAACGACATACCCCAGCTGTTCGCGAGGTTCGCAAGCGTCGTCGTCGCGGTCATCACCGGTCGCGAGGGTGCCCCGGCCCCGACACCCACTCCCGCACCCGCAGCAGCCGCCGGCTTCTTCTGCTCCTGTGTGGCGAGGGGCGAGGATCGCGGGGTGTGGTACGACATCGTCCGCCTCCGGTGGCTCGCACTCGCGCTGGTGGTGAGGCCCAAAACATTGTTCATCGCCTCCGAGAGCGAGTTTTCCTGCAGCGTAGGCGTCACAGGCGAGCGGAAGGGATTGCCGTCTGGCGATAGGGGCGACGTTGGCAGTGGTTCTTCTGTTAGCGCCGTCGTTGGTGCAGCTTTAGACTGTGCAGACGCGACGGTGCCGAGGATAGGTAGACGGCCGAGAGAGAACCTGGATGTGGTAGAAAGCCGTGAGGCACGCGAGCCCGGGCGGAGAGGTGACGGTAGGCTCGGAATGTTAGCAGCAGTAGCGCTGTTAATATTAGTATTGACACTCTGCGGAGCCGAGCCGGTATGTTGTGACGGAGATGGAGGCGGAGGAGGAGATACCGGGACAGGCGACGGGCTTCTAATTTCAGGGGCAGAAGGACTCTGATTCTCTGCGCTGGCGCTAGGAGGTGCCAGTGGTGGTGGTGTCCGATTCTCGCTTTGGCTTCGACTTTGGCTATGGCTCGGGTGGTAGTTCGAGTTGTGGTTCTGGTTAAGGTTCTCGGACGCGCCAAAAGCTTCGGGGGTAGGTGAAGCCTGAGCAAGGAGCCGCGAAAGGGAGGACGGCCGCGCTGTCGGCGAGCTGCTCGAGCGTGGCCTGACAGGGAACAAGTGCGAGTTGGGCGGGTGCGTGACCTGGAAAGTGTCTTCAACCTCTGCCTCAGGTGGGCCCGGAGGAAGTGCGGAAGGACTGAGCTTCAGGCCCCCAGCCCCGAGAGGCGCCTGATCCTTTGATAGGAACTCCACATCACCACCACCTCCGGTCGTTTTTCGTGATGACACCCGCCGCTTGTTGTGGCTGGGTTGCGTCCAGTCTTCTACCTCCAGCATGTAATACTTGACTCCGTCACCTAGGCCATACGGGTTGCTCGTAGGGTCCTAAAATCATAATATGCAGGGACGAAAGCCATAATTGAATTTTCACGGAAGAAACTCGTATCACTCTCGAGGAACGCACCTTTTGATCGACGACACGCTCTGCGATGGATGTTATCCTCGCCACGATCCACTCACGCGTTTTCAGCTGCTCCGCCAGGTGCCCAGTCGCCTGAAGGAAATAATGGGGAAATGACACTACAAATAGGGGAAGTGTCAGGACAATCCTCGGATCTTTCAATATTCACTGTCAAATGGACAAACAAAGGGTCTTTTTTTCTTCCTTTACGTGCAAGAAATGGGAACGGGAACGGACTTCAACAAATAGACAAAGCAAGTACCCACCATTGAAGGCTGCCCATGGTTTGGATACCGAGTTCCGAGTGGGCAAGAATAATGCCAGGTCACCTTTGGCAAAGTTCCTGAACGAGATCTTGCCCTTCGCTCGTTCCCTGTACTCCTTACACTGTTTCTGCCACTTGCGGATAGTCGAGCCCGTCTTGCCCACTGCCTCTAGGAAATGGTCATGGTCGAATTCTCGCAGAATATCCAGAGCTGCATGTGGGTCAGATGGGTCGATGGGTGAAGGTTCGTCGGGCTGGCCGATGATGTTGTGGCGAAAACCAGTGCCAGAGAACGCGGATTCAGCGAGGTTATTCGACGTAGCATGACCACCATGACGACCCGTGTTCGGATGGGACGACATAGCCTGCGCAGTATGCAAAGCTTTCACATGAGAATTTCGGAAAGTTATCGCAACGTCGAGAATTTGCGCAATAAGTCGGCTGCTGTCCTCCATCCGCTGTTCGAAGTCGTGCTGGGAGGCCCGGCCTGCTCTGAGGTCGTCTCGAAGGAGACGCTCTACGTGGCGAGCTTCTCGCAGTTCGTGCTCCACTCGTTGAAGTTCCTGCCTGAGACCAGCAGCATCGGCATTGGCGACCTCCAATTCACCCCGAACATCCTTCAGCTGCCGCTCGTTGTGCTCCAAGACGGCTTGGAGCTCAGAGAATTGGCGGTCAAGCACTGCCCTGTCCCCGTCTGCCTCAGCAATATGGTCGCGGATGATCCTATCGTGCTCGGAGGCTTGGGCTTTGAGAAGCCTATCCTTCTCCGAACTCGCCTCCTTCAACGCTTGATGCACCTCTTCGCTCTCCGCACGAGCAGCTTGGATTTGGAGCTCCAAATCTTCGCCACGAGCCCGAGCCTCTTCCAGCTTTCTTAGGGTATTCGCCTGCTCTTCGAACAGGAGCATCGCCTTATCTGCATTGCGCTTCTCCAGCTCCTTGACCTCTTGGATCTCGGCCTGTACTTGGGCACGTTCTTGTCGAAGCAATTCAACCTGTTTCGCCTGCTCTGTGGCGTCGGAGAGAGCACGGGCGATTTCGGTCCGCTGCTTGGAGATATCCGCCGAAAGAGCTATATTACGCTCCTCTAAGACACGTCGAGCAACACCTTCGCTCTCCATTTGAGCACGGACTTGATGTAGCTCCCGTTCTAGACGAGCAGACCGCTCCTGTTCCAATGATAACGAAGATTCCGTTTCGATAAAACTGCTTTTCAGGCGTTGCATCTCAGCCTGCAGAGCCGAACGTTCCTCTTGGTTCTGCTGTTCCTGGTGCAGTTTGGCTTCTTGAACCGCATGTAGCTGTTCAGCGAGTTCCTGTATCACTTTTTCTTCTGCTTCTGTCGCTAAAATGAAACCAGCATTAATAGTCTTGCACCTTTCCCATAATCGGAACACATGATCACACTTACACCTTCGTCGAGAATGCGATATACGCGATTGAGAGAGAACTGCAAATTGAAATATGAATTAAAAAGCGGGGATATCATTATGAACCCCACGGAATGAAGGAACGGCAAAAACCCACGTGAGCGTTCGGCGATCTTATCGAAGCCCGCTTCCAAGTTGTCCATCTTGTTCATGAGTTTCTCCAGTGCGGCATGGCACTCCCGAGAAGCATTGAGAGCGACCGAGTCGCCACTTGACTGGGCATAATCTTCCAGATCAACGATGACTTGCATAAGCTCTGTTGACTGACCCGTCAGAACCGGTTTCGATCCCAGTAACCATGGAACATGGAACAGTGGGGTTGGAGAACCCGACTGACAGGTTTCCACTGACAGAATACGACGAACAGAACGTACCATCAACGTCTGACCTCTCGAACGAATAGGCAGCCTCGGTGCCTCCGGTAGGCGAAAAATCAATCGTGGGCACTGGATCATCCATGCCTCGCGTCTCAAAGGGAAGTTGTCCATGAACTTCGCTGCGATACACTTGACGGCGCTTCCGTTCACTTGCTCTTTGGTGGCGATTAGACTATCCTCATCGCAGCACAAGGTATGCACTCACGATACCTTCGCCATCACTTCCAGAATGCCCTGCGCGCGCTGGTAGAAGAACCTGGCTGTATGGTATGGATCAACCCCGGCCATATACGTGATAGTAAGGGCTTCCTACAGAATTCTTTCCTCCGAACAATTTCGATGACGGTCGCCGCGTAGGCGTACAGCATATTGTGTAATCGCTGTATGTGCGAGAAACTCGTCTTAGCACGGAAACTTGCCGACAGAGCCGATAATGCGGGAGGAAGATGAACAAGCTCATTGTTGAGAGCGCTAATATGATGTAGAGTCGCTAAGCATTGACGAGTGTAGAGATTCTGTGCTAGTATGGTGAGCAATGACCCATACGTACTAGTGTACACCTACCTTCTTCTCAGTTATTTGTTCCAGCTCTTGTCGATGCTTCGCATCGTAATGTCTCAGCTCTGATAAATTTATGATGGGTAAATTGAAATATCGCCGAAGTATGAGGTGCCATACCTTGCAACAACGATTCAGCGTTTGAAGCAGGACCTGAACGCGGGCACATGAGCTACGGAAATGGTATGGGAAAATAAAACTCAACCAACTTTCGAGTGTCGCCGCTGCATCAGTTATCGTATCAAGCAAGTCCTGGGACCGGCGTAAACACGAATTGGCGTCTTCGAAGACCCTAGAAAGCTATTCAACGAAATTCCAACAGAAACGGGGAAAAGATACCTACGCAATATTCCCAACGTTTGCACGGACAGAGTCTGCACCATCCTTGAGCTTGTTAACGGCCTCTTCCACCAGTGCGAAGCGAGTTTTTAGATCCTCTAATCGGCACGTTAACAGTCGTCAGAACATCATCACTCGACTTGCTCACCATGAGTCCTTGTACACGCATCTTCCACCTGCTTCATCTTCTGCTTCGACACATAATCTCCAAGCACTCGTTGGGGATCTCCGGCCTCTATCGCCATCCTTACGGCAGTAGAACAGAATTCGACGTCCACCTTCACCCTCGATATGAGTTCTAAGTCCGCATCGAGGCCCTGCAGCAGGAAGGCTTGCTTCTCGAGTTCTTTTCTTGCATGTGTAGCGATCCCGTCGAAAGTCTCGGATATTGAGAGTACGCTGTAGTCAAGATTCTTGGAAGCAATCTGCATGGCTTGGTGTTGTAGTGAAAGAGCTTGGAGCATATGTTGAATATGATCATGATGCATCTGAGAGGTACGCGCATAAGCGGCGGCAAGTTGTGCATGACGTATTGGAGGGGTGGTGGCAGTGAGGTCTATGTTCTTTGTTAGAGGGACAAAGTGGGAAGGGAGTCAAACTGACCATCAATGGCGGGTTGAAGCGGTGGTTCGACGTGAAGCTGGAGTAGAACATCCTCGATGTCGTAGTCAAGATGATCCTTGTTAAACACAAAAATGTACTATGAAGAGTCAGTATTGAACCGAGAAAAGCATGGCATGGCGCACTTGGTCTTGAGCACTTCCCAAGTCACGAATGTTCCCATTAGTTAACCTTCTGCCGTCCGATAGATATGCAAGCGCAGCCTCTTGGTCTATACCAATTTCTTGGTGAAGAAAGATTTCTAATCCTCCCGTTCTAGCGAGAAGCGAGTAAGACCGACCCAGTGCTCTAGCAGGTTGATTAAACGCACCCCTCGACATCACGTACAGACGCGTTGACCTACTCATGCAACTTCAGGATTTCGTCCAACCTCAAACTGCGATTTAAAGCTCACCTGGAACACCTGTCCGTCCTCTGCCCGACAAATCGTAATCATGGCCAAGTATTAGTGTTGAGTAAGGCAACGTCCAGATCCGTTAAATAGCGTGAATGTGATGTAAATGCAGAGTGTAATGATGGATATCGTGGGTAGAAAGGTACTGTTTCCCTTCAAGGGCAGGGTCAGAGCATTGGATGAAGTTACGCAGTGTTGAGGATGAGATGGACTGTTTGGGTATGAGTTGGGCGTTGTCCTTGGCCCAGAAACAGCCAACAACGTAATTGCGGGCCAAAAGATCTCTCGGATTCTACCGAATTTAAACTGACAGGATCTTTTCTAAATTTAGTAGCTATGGTATCTAAATACTTACCTGACCAGTGACAACTGCAGTCGCTTCTCTTCACAATCCAAATCCGAAGTCCTCATTGTTTAGGAAACGTAAACCGCCTGAGTGTACTTCCTATTCGCCATTATTTCGAAAGGCGATCCTGAAGCTAACTCTACATGACAGATGCATAGCCCTGCGAACTTGATGTGGGTGCTCGGTACACTCGTACCCTCTGGTCTTAACGCCCTGCGGCTACGATGACTCTTCGGACCACAGCGTTCAATAACGCTCAGTGCACCAGCATTAATAGAACGAATTTCACGATCCAGCAATACTTATACTTACATTCATAATGAGGACGGTCAGCGAGGTGAGGTACGCTGCATTTATTGGATATACTCAACCGACGTTTTCCCCTCCTTTTCTTCACTCGGGATCGGAAAGGTGGGTTAAAGGCATTGAAGGACGCTACGGCATCGGCTGCCTTCCACAACTCAGACGAACGCTATGACCTCCCCAAATGCCACCCCGCCACCCGTGATGCGATCCTCAACTAGGCTCAAGAAAATTATGTCCTGGGTCAAGAGTGACACCGATGCCTTCGTCTTTTGGCTCAATGGGACAGTTGGACCCGGCAAGTCCGCCATTGCTCAAACAACCGCAGACTTATGCGAGGCAGAGGGGTTTCTGTTTGCGACATTTTTTTTCGGTTGCCCAGACCCAACTCGCAACAATGCGAAATTTCTCATCACCACGCTGGCATACCAGATCGCACGCGCCATTCCTGCAGCACGCCAGTCGATCGAGCACGTCTTCGAATGCGATCCACTCATCTACACACAATCGATGGAGACACAGGCGTTGAAGCTCATGATCGAGCCGTTACAGTAGGCTGCTGAACAGCAAAACGAGATACCTCCACCGATTATCCTTGACGGTCTCGATGAATGCACCGACACAGCCACCCAGTGCAAGGCCCTCGACACAATTCAACGGATTGCTACCGCCATTAAAGCATGCAATGGGTGCCTCGTCTTTATTATTGCCAGCCGACCAGAACCAGAGATCTCCCTCTCGTTTGAATCCGAGACCATAGGATCCATCTCCTCTCACTACACCCTCAACGAAGCTCCAGATTCAAATGACGATATCCGTCGCTTCCTGCAAGATATGTAGTTTCGACAAGATCAAGAAAACCCATCCACTTAGATCTTCCGTATCTCCCTTTTGGCCCAGTGCCCTTGACCTTCAGGAACTCATAATGCTGATGCTGAGCACCATTCGTTTTGAACACGCTATGAATGCATCCTTTCTGTCTTCGCATCTAGAAAATGCTACGCTTCATCAAGACCTCGAAGACGCACTGACGCAATGGGATCCTACTGGTCTACTTCTCGATGCACCCCCTTTAGTATTCACACTATGTTTCTGCTGGCGTTGAAACTCCTCTTGTTCTGTTCTAGGGATTCAATACTATCAACACTAGCCTATACCAAACTTGGTTCAAGGCACTTGAGCGCCACCTTCTATCGGTACTAGAAAGATTCTACATCATCCCGGCTTATGTCCTTTCGCTATTGGGCGGGCTTGGGCTTCGACGACGGCGAATGAATCGAGTTGGAGAAGTATGTACCTCCCGTGCCCTGGCCCGCCTGGCAGATCGAAAGGAGGGCACTCTCGACCTTCTAACTCTCTTTACGCCTGCATTTGACACTGGTTTCTTTTAGGTGCTATCATCACTTGACCCTTGGACATCACGAAGGAGGTTCAGCATTCATAAGAAGTTTGCCCGGTGGCACAGATTCTATGGTCGCTCGGAGGTACGGTTCGAAGAGAAGGAAATTTCCGGATATGAAGTTTTTGCAGCGCAGAATTTTCTGTATCGCGTACCCTTTTCACCGAAGTTGTTCTTCCTGCACAAATCAACTCATCTCCTTGGGTATCTCTTTGGATTGGAGCTCTTACTCCATGTTCTAGCGATTGCTTCGAGGTCGGACGAACTCCGCGCGTATTGCAGGATGCACGCTTTCCATCTGGCCTGCATCCTCTTTCCTCGCCGAAACAGGAAAGCACGAGTAGCAATCTCCCAGTAGCTGGAATGCATAGAAGCAGAGGGCCGTAGGTACTAAGAACTCTGGCTTGACTGGACTATCTAGACATAACCCTCAATTAGTTACGAGCTGATCAAACTCAAACCCGACTTATAAACTCGTAGGACACTCTTTTTGCCATGGCCATCTTTTTCTCCTCGGGCCGGATATTTGCACAGTTTCGATTTCTTCCTATATGTAACTACCCGTGTAATTATGAACAACGAATAGTTATGTTAAGTTACCAGGTTGCTCGTTCATATGTCTGCAGTTCTAGTATCAGAAACAGTCAGGGTCACAGGTAATAATTCAGTGGTCGAGTGTAATAAACGCACCCAAGAAATTGAACAAAACCTGTGGAACTGGTACGTGCCGAACTACGGCGGTCCAACTTCGACCGGGGATCATCCTTCATCTGCATCTGGAACACCGCCAACGCACCCAGCGCGGATTCCTCTCTACATGTCACAATCTCTAGCCGCCCTAGTGTCTCCAACCGCAAAACGCTCTCGGATTTGGATAGTACCCATCGGACCGCCTTGCCCGTCCTGGTTGACAAACGCCTGAAGGCCTGACCGTCCGCACAGAGGAATAGCGAAAGATACCTAGGATCTCATCACCGCACACATATGTTTGGATGCTCGTGAAGTGCTCGAACCAAGGGCCCTGCTTGATGGTGGAATGGGCCGTATGCAGGGACTAAGGCCAACCACTTCAAGGAAGACGGACCGCCACGTTCCAAGTTGCGCAATTGGAACTGATCGGGGTTTAATATCGTCAGCCTTTGCAGGGACTTGCACTACCACCACAACACCACAACAGCAGCGAGACGACAGTGATGAGCCAGTTTATCGATGCGTAATCGAGATTTCCGAGTTCCGACGGATTTGGGTTGATGTACTGAGCTTGAAGCCAAATTCCAGAGAATTATTGGGTATATCGTGGCGGGATAGAAACTTGAACGTTAGTTGGGCTGACTTGTTGAATTCGAGAATGATAAAGGACAGGTAAGACTCGCCAAACCCATGCAGACACGCGCCAGGGTTCGTATTGTTCGACAACCATGGCTGGCGAGAAGGAATACTGGAAGAACACCAGAACAGTAACGCACTCGGAATCAGCCACGACACTCACTCTAATCATTTACTGGTCAATGACATGCACCACAACATAATTCGTGGACTCGCCTTGCGTACTAGTTCCACTGGCCCTTTGCTGACCCTCTAATCAATAAATCTCGGGAGACATGCAGAAAGGTAATGAGTAAGGAGAGTCGACATGAAAACTCAGGCCAAATAGGACAACTGAGATCACGAGAAAGCGCGCTGGCAGCCTCCTCCAATTAACTATGATCGCGTTCACCGGTGGTGCCAACCTTCAAATTGCTTGCTCAGACTATTGGTTCCTCACGCTCTCCTGACGATAGACATGCTTCTGAACTGTTGTTGGGTTGCTGAGCTGCGGGATACATGTTCGGACAGCCCTGAGGGGGGGTGTAAAGGTTCTGTGTATTGGATCTATAACTTGAATCGTGGCGGGAAAGTTACTCAGACTCCTGCGCCGCAGCGTGCTTTTTCTTTGAGAGCTCCTTCATCCGTCTCACGTAGCTGGGGAAACGTTATTTAGCGTCATATGAATTTCCCAAGGAAATAAACGTACTCATCGTATTGACACCTAAACCAAAGGAGGAGGATTAACCATCATGGAAGGGCTTGAGTGCGTCAACCACGTACTTCTCATATGTATGACGCTCGTGTTCACATTCCCAGATCTTGTAGGTGTTCTGCTTCCGGCAGACGTTGAGAGGTATCAGGAGACTGAGCCAGATGAACCAATTATAGGGAGGCAAGACGTTGAGCGGCGTAGCGAAGGTTCGGCAAGGTTCGGTGAGTTGCAGATGAAGGCCGTCAGTCCACCGAAAGTCACGAATAAATCACAAATTGCATACGCTGAGCAACCGTCCCTCCAGCCCAGTGGAATTCCGTGAGCCTTAAGCTCTTCTTGCGACGCTGTCGTTGAAGACGCCATTCTATGAGTGCGTGAATAATACAATGGCAAGCTTTGCCTGTCTTCAGTTGGTGGGAGTCGTGTAGAAGGAACAACTAGGAAGGAGGTTCTCACGCTTGCTCACTAACGCCAATCAACTTTTCTCTGAGTAGCAACATAAAGGACCTAAGAAGGCCCTCTACTCGTTCTCTCTGGGTAAAAAATTTCATTCACTGTGGATGATTTCTTGAAAAGTTTTTAAACTGTTTTACAGATTATACTTATCATGCTAATGCTACATATACACAAGCCAACGTAAGACGACGACGCGAAGAATAAAAAGTCTAAATAAACTCGTCAGAACGAATTCGAATGAATACGCAGGAGGTCGTTCATAGTCGTTCATCAGCTACCGCCGCGCGACGCGAAGAAATCTGGGAACCATTCCCTCCCTGGAAGGATGTGCGACCCGAATCTCGGTGGCATACGATTCGGCCCTGCTGGACTCTCAACTGGACACGTAGGATGATACTCGCCCCACACATGGTGTGTCGGAGGTGGCGTCATTGGGCGAATCTTCTCAACGGGAGGCGGCTTCGCGGACTTGCGTCCTGGAGGCGACACCCTCGAGTTGAGCCATGAGGTTCCGGAAGACCTCGGAAAGAAGCGCATTGGGTTGAAGATATACTGCCCCTTGTGCTTGTCATGCGAGCCTCGCCTACTACGCGGTATCTCGATCGGTTTTGACCCTGCTCGTGAATTGACCTCCGGCCAGACGAAGACGACTGGAGACTCTGGTTCTACTTCGTCAGCAAAGTGCCAGTCCGCTGGTGTCGTAGGCGAGTCTGGGGAATATACCGGTGCCTCGGCGACGGAATACACCGATGTGTTGGGAGAGGAATAGCGTTTCTCGGTCCTGAAACCAGTTCCGTATCGTGAAATGGGTTGAGCGGGATATGGTTTTGAATCTGTGACGGGCGTGGCGATGAAGACTGAAGAAGCAAATCGGTTTTCGTCGCTGTCGTCCATGGAGGATTGAGTGAAGGACGGGAATGCGAACATGCCGTCCACGTCGCAAGAGCGGTCGTCGCCTTCCTGGTCGTAGACACGATATGAGTCGACGTCGATGAAGGTACACCGGCTTTCGCTGTCGAAGTAGCTGCTTGGCGTGACGGGCGATGCGGGGTCGGAGGAGAGGGAAGAACGGTTCGAGCGTGCGTATGCGGGGGTATGCAAGATCCCATCGTCGTAGTCCATGCGACGCTCGTCTACGTCGTATTCAGACACTTGACCGTCCCAACCACACTCGTCCATCTCTTCCTCTTGGGAAGATTGGCCTGGAAAATGCGACCCCACAGCGGACGCTGAGGCGACGCAGTACGGCTCGATGCCCTCTGGAATATCTGGCACGGGACGCTTTTCGACGGCTGGCTTCGTTTCTTCAGCGCCGTTTCCAAGATCGAGACCTGCTTCCCAAGGACACCGCGCGAGACTGCCTTCAAGGATAGCGTCGCTGGAGTAGAATGTGCTGACGCTCTCGACAGCGTCTCGTAGCCGAGGGAGGGATAACCTAGTTCTCCAGTCGGGGTTGAGCGCTTGGATGAGGATGTGGTTAAGCTCATCGGATATGGGAAGGACGGTTGGAAGGAAATGCAAAGGATCACGCCTGTAAGCTTGGAATGTGAGGTCGTCTGGCGTCGCAGACTTCCAAGGATTCCGCCCAGTGACGAGGTTCAAAAGGATGATTCCAAGCGACCAGATGTCATTATGCATCGGTGAGTATGGCGGAGCCGTCGCAGAATCTTCAACCTGGCACTCTAATTTTTTGTTAGTACAGGTATTCAGCATTCGAATTGAAAGTCTTACCTGGGCTCATGTGATAGACGCTACCCGTCCGGAACTCCCTGCTGGACTTGTCGGTCGTCGCGAGACCAAAATCGGTAATAGCTACCCGACAACCCTTGTCGAAGCATAGAATATTCTCGGGTTTTAGGTCACGATGGTAGATGCCCAAAGAATGGCAATACTGAACGGCGTCGATGAGCTGCAAGAATACGTGTTTGATGAGGAAGTCTTTCCCAAGGTATCGGCACTGGTCGAGAATCTGAGCGAAGAGGTCGTGGTCTGGGGCGTATTCCATGACGAGGAACGTGCAGTCAAGCTCTTCGATGACGCGATGGAGGGTCACGACTGATGGGTGGACTGACGCAATTTGGTGCAGGGTGATTTCGCGGAGATGGAGCTGGCGACGACTGTTCGACTGGCTGTTGGCATTCGAAAGGCATTTGACGGCGTACGAGCGCCGGCATGGCGAAAATGTCTCGGTGGCTCTGTACACGACGCCGTAGCCTCCGACGCCCAGCACCTCTACCAGCTCTAGAGAGCCTCGGTCAATCAACGTGCCAACAGGAGGGTGGGCGGGCGAAGGCGATGCTGCGGCTGGAGCCTTCTTCGACATGGTGGCTGCTGTAGTGAACGGAATGAGGTCGTGAGTTCACGGTTCCTCTCCAGGAGAAGGAGTTCTCGCCTACGATTTTAACAGATACTTTCGACGGAAGAGGAACTTGTGCCGCAGAAAAAATAGGCTGCCAGCTGTTAAAAGCATGCTGGGCATGAGGCATCGAAACACTCACCAGCCTCGAGCTGCTGCGTCTATGTGCAATGTGCGAGTAAGTGATGTCGAAGGTGTGTTGTGAGACTGGGAAACTTCTAGAGATGGCGCGAACTCGGAACTCTTCCTGAAACGTCTTATGTTCAGAGTCTGTCGCTTCCGGTGCCACCCCTGTAATCCCCATCCCCGCGAATACTATGTGGTAGCTGCAATTGAATGCCTGTGAGTATTGGTCTCGGATAGCCACGTTCTGAAGTTAGGGGCCGAGGTGGTGCACTTGCGTTGGAGTCGAGATCATACTAGACATTTCTTGAAAAGGAAATAATACTGCTAACACCGCATGGTGCGGAGTTGTGTCGGGTCGGAAAACAGGGCTGAACTCCTTTCCTTGAGGCAAAATGGCGTGCTACAACTCCAAGGAGCGCTTCCTGCAACCCGCAAACCAACGCCTCTCTGGTGTGCCACAGATCTTCAGAAGCAGGGCGCAAGACGTAAGACACCAGACGCTTCTGAGCGTTATTGCATTCAGGTAAGCGCGCAAAATTCATTTACTGGAAGCATCGAACAATAACGATGTGGACAGGCCAGTGCGAAACATTTCCTAGTCCTGCGACGTGTTGCAACGCGAAAACCGGTATTTTTTCGAGCTAGTATAACCCTGGGTCAACGGCGGCATGACATGCGAACCTCGGGACCGAGAGGGCCCCGCCGATCGAGGAGGCCGACCCAGTTAAATCCGGGTTCTGACGTCACCTTCGCCAACGCCACGGCGGCTGAGGCCACCTACGACGCTCGGGAAAATAACTATCGAGGGATCTCAGGAATATAATAAGAGCGCCTAAACACGTATGAAGAGTATCGACAGAGATTGTGAAATTTGTAGGTTCAGACAAAAATGCCATCTATTTATACCAATTCACAATAACGCAGCCCAGCCCAACCCTAGTGGGCGCAGACACCTATCTGTACTTCCCTTTGACATAAATACGTGAAATCATACCTAAACTGTATGCCGTTTTGGACAGTATATACATGGAAATGTACGGCAGGCCCAAGTTCGTTGTCGAGGGCGGAGGATTACATCGGTACCGACATAAACGAGGGCTACGATCGACAATTTCAGCCCAAGCCAGGCATTTCAACACCCATCATCCCTCAGTACTCAGCGCCGAACACTCCTCCCCAGAGCAGTCGTCCAGAGCGGTCGATAGACTGAGACGTAAACGACCCCAGTCCTTTGGAAAGACAGTTTCTTATACCGGAGATTTCTTAGAGAATTCAGTCGCTCAGGAAGTTGTGGCAGTACAGTCCGTGGACCATTTGTCAAGTCGCCGAGGGCCAGAAATTGTCGTGCTCCGCTTGTTGAATCGAAGGGGGTCGAGGAAAATCTTGTCAGGACGGGCAAAAGAGGATTGAGGCTTTCCCGAGGTTGCATCGGACCAACGTAGATGAATATTGCGCGCGAATTGGACATTGCAAAGGCAGGGAAATGAAGGGTTGAATCCTAGAGACGAACACGAGATCAGGCATTCGGGCATGAGCCAACAGGTCCAATAACCTTTTGGGTTTGCCAAGTGCCGCCGAATTGAGACTCTCAACGGCCTCGACAAGAGAAGCGATAGAACAGGTCAATGGGCAAATTCCGTGTGCTTGTCGGGGAAGTTCAAGGATCGAACACTTTCCTCAAAACGGGCAATGTGGCATTATGCGTCGATGCGAGCCAGAGCTACGAGGGCAGTAACTTCGGGCTGACCCCTTCGTGACGAAAATCCTGGAGCTAGCTACGATCGAGGAAATCTTGAAGGGTAATTGACAAAAGTTTGACAAAGGTCGATGTGTCATGTATTCTTGTTTATTTGGGACCAGACTCCCATGCAGCGCGCCAAAAAGCCTCTTGTTCAGGGATGGAGGCGGCTCAGAGGTGTTGGTGCCATTGTTGAAGATCTGGGGATAAAAACCACTTTCTTTGTGGTGGATGGAATGTGTTCATTTGTCCATATAGTGAACTGAGAGAACAATTCAACTTTAAGGGATGCATCAAGAGGGTGTCGGGCGACCGCAAACTGGACATTCTTGATACGTCGCGTTACAAAATCTGACTGAGAAGGGCGAGTTGGAGAGGAGTCGTTATGTTGCTCGAGGGTTAGGGAAAGGCCAGGATGGGGATTGATAGGGCTGGTCTGAAGGTCGCGGAAGTCCGTCATGACAGTGCATAGGATACATAGGGTCGTCGAACTTCTTGCTGGGACCCATAGAGTTTGAACGTGCTTCTTCAGCCCTCTCTACCGAATCGAAGGAAGCAACCATCGAGCCAAAAGCTTCGCGTAAATGTAGAATACGGTCTCGGAGTGGTTTATTCTGACCCGCGTTCGGCGAAGCCAACCACATCTCCAGAGCTTGGACTAAATGAGAGTCTAGGGCCGTTTGACGATGTCGGTACTCGCTGTGCTGCCTCGATGATGCGGATGCCTCGATGACAAGGGAAGCGTAGTATACATCGGTGGAGGAGGCAACACCTTGACTGATGAGGGGAATGAGGGCTTTCGCTAATTGAAGGTGCATAGCTGGTTCTACCGTTTCTGTTAGGGCATATTCTGCAGTACCCATTGAAAGAATTACCCACCATCCGGAAGTTTGTTTGGAAATGCACAGTCGGAATACCAGTCCAAGATGTTACGGGGCACGCGGGAATTCATCAGTCGTATCTGTGATTCCCAATAGAATGTCCGAAGAGGCTCATTCGTCTGGGAAAACCTTTGCATCAAGGCCACATTCAGAATATCATGCTTGACTTCATCACTGCATTGAGTAACTGTGAAGACGTCCATTTCCGGCAGCACACAAGGCCAGTGCTTGCTACGCACAACTTCGATGGCCACCCGGAGAGGAAGATCATGAATACATTGAAGGACAATTGTTATATTTTCCGTGGTTTGGTTGAAGGTCTTCAAAACCCACTTCAGTGCATGTACAATGTCATCGGAGTCCTTGGAGGATTTGCGAGCGACTTCCTTCGACATGAGTCCTTGATCTCGAGTTTCGCGCCAGTAGAGATCGAAATCTGTCCACGACCAATGCCATGATGGAGCCAACAGTCTTGCAAAGGTTTTGTACTGGGATATGGAGTTTTTGAGCCGTTGTGGCATTAGCCTGAGGGCACCGGACACAAACCGCAGGACGGCGAGAGATTGCGGCGATTTGTACGCACACTGAGCCACGCGCAAGTAATCGTTGCCTGGAAAAATGAATTGCAGAGTGGGTAAGACGACAGTTGTTGCAAGGAAAAGTAGCATGAACCCCACGGCGATCGTGATTGGAATAGCCACCCTCCGATTGAGTATCCACAACATCTCAACAATGCCCAATAGAAAGAGGATACAGGCACATTGCAGGAGAAGCGGCAGCATTGCAACGATCCTTGGTATACTCCAATATTGCAGTCCTTCATGGCGCATTTGACGAAGTGCAAGTTTAGCTTTGGATGAGAGTAGGACATCACGCTGATATTCACGGAGCCATTGTGTTGCGATTATTCCAACAAGCACAGTTGCAAGGCTGAGGGTAAGGCTGAGGAACCAGTAAATGTTTATCCTTTCACTTGCACTTTGAGGGAAGGGATCAGACAATGTCGAGAGCTTCTCTTGGGCATTTACTGGATTGATGAAGGATTCGTACGTCAAGGTGAGAAGCTGTGAGACGTATGTGCCAGAATCGGGTTGCAGCCATTTGTAGGACTCGATGAGGAACGCAGTCACAGAAGCCGAAAACAAGCCCGCCTAGGAATAGCCTTCAGTATCAATGCACTACAAAAAGAGGATACTTCTTACGAAAATGAGGATATTGTCAATCTCTGCCTTCCAACTGCTGCAGATTTCTGCGTCGTACTTCGTGGTCAAGGACCGACAACGTTCCCAGGGATCTTTCTGCAGAGGAGGCCGATAGTTGTACTGGTCGCCACACTTCCATGAGGTAGAATCTATCTGCGAACCAATGGAGATTTCATCAATCACCGTTCGATCCATTAAATCATAAACGACACACCTCTTCTTGGAAAGGAGATCTAGACATTTTACTACTTCGCGGTCTGCCCATGTTAGGGAGTGCTTGTTCTTGCTGTCGGTGCTGGGGTGTTGGCATATGCATCCTAAGCTAAATGCCGTCAATGAATGAAAATAACCTCGTGACCACGCACGATACATTACCTGAGACTGATGTACAACCGATGGCCTTTCACCTGCTCCTTGTCGACGTCCCATGTCTTCGCACTCGATGTGCGCTGGGTTTCCGTCTTGGTCAATGGAGTAGTCCGGCTCCCAATCACTTTCCGTGCAAGCGGCATTCACCCTCGCCGGAACATACTGTAAAATGGAGAGGAAAGAGAAGAAAAAAAAGTCATCAGCAGCCTGCGGTTGTTATCCTAAGCAAGACTCAGCGAACCGCAAATACTCACTCCGGTCTTGACTTCATGTGAACCAGCTACGGGTTTCCTAGCCTTTCCCAAGCTCCTAACACTCCTCCCCGATCTAGTGCTCCTAGCACTATTTGTCGAACGAATGGAAGAAGTAGTTGTCGATCTTCCCATCGGAGTAAACCGTGCTGTTGAAACTTTCGCTGCTAGATGCGCAAACCCGGTGGAGTACTCAGCGATCAACAGAATATTGGCGGAGGGGACACGGAGAACTGGCGTAGCGAAGTTGGGGTGATTGACGCTCGCAGCAGGGGACTTTATCCCCTCCCCATATTAAAGCTTGCGTCCCTTCTGCCCCAACACGATGTCGAGCTTCTCGGGCATAATCTCTGAAGCTTGTGCCCTTCCATGGCATGGAATCGGGCGGCACTTTGAACTGCCCATCCTAACTAGCAGGACCCTATTCTCATACGACCCTTAAAAAAGGACGTGATGATAGGGCTGATGAAAAACATACCATGTACTTTCTAGGCGAACGTTCAGTTTTCAGGCGCCTTGCGGCCACAAGTTCTTAATCGCGCCAAACTACAGCTTGAGCTTTCGCCAATTGGGGGCATTCATGTTTTGCTAGGGCTGTGCGACCCAGAAGAAGAGGGAGTTTATTGCTCGGCGAGGATACTTCGAATGAGCGCCATGGGGTATTGCGGAAACCGGATACGCCGGTTTGTCATACCTGGCAGAAGAAGCCAGGTCTTTGGTGATATTGGGAAAGTTTTGGCGAGGTTGTGAAGTTTTCATGACACTGGGAACATTCTCATATCGAACTGTCGCCGAACAGGCAGCACGGTCGAACAAGAGAGTCTCCATCTCCAAGCCGAGCATGAGGCCAATTGAACCTTCTAACATTGACAGGTGATGGATATTGCGTGTCTCGTAAGGTCTGGCACCATGTCGAAGGCTGTGGGGCTTAGGAGGTTCGTACTTAAGATGCGAGTCAAGGTAAGGGTTCAGACTCAAGGTAGATAGCCAAGTTACTTCGATCGGACTTCGATCAACGTGCGGCGTGCCGTAAACCTTACTGAATCCTCCTGGCTGTTCGCTTTCATACATATCGATTAACAGGCATTTACACAGAGCAACCGAATATATTTATTGTCAATGCCAACGAACAATGCGTGCATGCAAAGTACTGTATGTAAGGGTGCGTGTGGGCGTATATATGCTATGGATAATTGGGGGTTGTATGTACGGTGGTGGGAGGGTTTGTCGAGTGCGGCGTGTAAAGGGGGTAAGGGTGTCGAGGCGTAGGGGGGTACGCTTTTCAAGGAAACCAAAAAGTATGACCCAACGACAGAGAAGATAAGGAAGAAAATGATCAACGCAAGAGCGATTAACGGGATGCGGAGCAGGCGCCCAACGCCCTACGGAAACCGAGCGGCACTCGATCTCGTCGGATGTCGGCATCTGGAAAAGAGAAAAAGATAGAAAGGAACGTGTATGCGTATGTGACATGTTGAATGGTGGTGCGTGTTGAGCGGGAAGAAGAATGGGAGGTAAAGTATGCGGAGGTTGGGAGGGGGGGTGGAGTAGGTGTCGGATATGCAGGTGGGTAGAGGCGTGGCAGTGTGGGGTAGCTATGTGCGATGAGGAAAAAAGTGGTAGTACAATCTACAGCTTATTTTGTTTTTGAGCCTACTTCAAAGCGCTCAGTCCGTCCAGTCCATGCAATGCAAGACGAGAATGTGAAGAGGAAATGAAGAGAAAAGAAAATGGTAAGGAAGAAGGGAAACGTGGGCGGCATGAAAAAGAAACCGAGGCAAGAACTGGAAGAGAACATGAGGCGAATGCACAGCGTAGACGGAGATGGAAGCATCGAGTGTCGTAGGCGGGATGTCGAACGCCGTTTTGGTAGCAGGTTGACGGGGGTGTCGGTGCGTCAGTCAGTGAGTTGGATCGGTTTCGATTTCGAGTGTCATACGTCGGATCAAGGTGGAACTGCATTGTACGCCGTACACTGCGATCGTCGAAAGCTGAACGAAGAAGGATAAACACTCAGTAACTACTCCCTTCAGATAGACAGTAGAACTCACCTCGGCGAAACACAGACGTAAGAGGTACAACAAGGGGGAAAGGCGGACGTCGGCAAACAAGCAGTGGACATGGGTGGGAGGCGGCAGGTCGGTGTAGGCGCATGAGCGTGATACCGAAACATGCTGATAGATAGATAGGGTGGGGGGTGACGCAGCGAACAATGGCAAGCGAACAAGAAAATCTAGTCGGACCCAAGGGGTTGGTTGGGTGGGGTGGATCGAGAAGCGGGACAGGAGAAGGGGAAACAGGAAAGCGGTGTCGAGGCAGCGTAAGGGGTAAGGGGTGCGGGAAGAGAGAAAGGAAAAGATGCGACGACGACGTAACTAAAAGACACAAGGAGATGTGGTAGTTGATACACTGGTCATGAGATAAAAAAGAGGTTAAAAACCAAAAACCTAACGAACACCCGTAGAAGAAAAGAAAGACGTTAAAATAAGAAGGGTGCTTGAGAATAATGAAAGGGCAATAATAGAATAGGATACCGTCAACACAAAATAAAACGTGAAGAAAAACACGGGAAAAAAGGGGAAAGGAAAAGATGTAGATATATAACCGTAGTCGTTAAAACTTTGAGGTTTGCGTGCGTGGTGGTACACTTGGTGATTGTTGAGTCGATAGACAGGATACGGGCGGGAGGAAAAGAGATTGAAGATCCAAAAAGAAAAAAAATCGAGGATGAGCGTGGCGTCCTCCGAACACGCGAAGGCCAGCGACCGCCCCAGCCACGTCGGAGATGAGCGCAAGAAAAATAATATGCACTCGCGCCGACGACCGGAACGGCCGGGGCAGGCAGATGAACGGAGGAGAGGATTGAGTCGACGGGGTGAGGTTGGGTAGGATGTAACCGCCAGCGCAACGTAAGCGTGTGGGCGCTGAGGATTTGGCGGAGGTGTAGTAGGCGGGAGGGATGTTGGTGCGGCTGCCCAAGCATGCATAGCAGGCTTGAACCACCATCAAAAGCGCGGTTGTCCTAAAAGAAGTGCCGTAAACCGGTTATCTCCCATCGCGTGCCACAGGCGCAGGACGGACAGAAGAGTCGAACGAAAAGAAAAATGATACACAGAAAAGACCAACAAGAAAAGACCAGAGCGCCCGGAAAAAAACAGTCTAAGATGCGTGTGAGGAGGGAAGGAGATGGAGAATGATGTACGAGATGTCGTGCCGCCTTCCGTCTATGAAGAGATGACGATGAAGATACCGCTACGAATATCGCTGCTGCGTTGGCGTGACGTATAATATGGACCCCCCTGGGCGGGTGTGGAAGGGGAAAAATATAGCTTCCACAGGTCCGCGTCTTGAAGAAATATGTTGAAAAGGGGGTCCGCCGAATAGTGTACGATAATTTGCAAGGGTGGCGAGCAGGAGAGCCATCCAAGGCCCGTTCGTCCGAACCGAAGATCCCGATACCCGAACCGGGGAACACCCGGAAAAACCCAAAAGCAATGACAAAGAACAAGAGGCGTATACAGTGAAGGAGACACTAGGAGGATAATAACGATAGATCGAAGCCGAGGGTGATGCTTGGATTATAATACACTTGTGATTGTGATTGCGGAGGGTAATCATTGCTGATAGTAGTATAGGCTGGAGTGCGTGGAGTTCCGGGGTTCGGAGGGTATCGGGTGGGTCCAAAGGATCGGTGGCGAAAAGATTGGATGGCGGGAATGAGCGACGAACGACGATAAACGCGTGGAGGAGGGGAAGGCAAAATTTACATCTAAAAAAGAAATTTCCCGAGAGCTGATGTTGCCCGAGCGACAACTGTGAGTTAACGAAGACTGGATATGATAACAAATAACGTACCTCTAGGTCTTCTCTAACGATCGGTGTTGCAAGAAGGATCCTCCTCAGAGGCAAAGGGGGTCCGGCAGCTCATCCGGACTGGGCGAATTCTGGAACATAGAACTCGCGAACTTGTTGCTCGCCAGGGTACTCTCTGTTGGCAGGGAACCGTAGGAAGGTGACGATTCCCGTGAGGGGAAGAGGCGAGCTGAGGAGTGATTAGGTGTCACGAAAGGGGACTGCGACACCTTGGAGATCGGAGCAGGTGTCCTGAAGGGGAACAGGGAGCGGACATCTGGGTTCAGTACGACACCGCCTGGACCAGACGACATTTCCTCATCAGACGACATGTTGAAGACGCCTTCACTCGGCGCCCGGCGATGCTTCCTGTTGCCCTTTCGACTAGCCATGGGTGATGGTGGCGGAGCGGGCATGTTGAAAAAAGGGAATTCACCGGGAGAACGTGCCGAGATGGGTGCAGTAGAGGGTCCATTGTCGAATAGGCGCCGAGGAGTCGCTGGCGGGGTGGTAGGCGAGTCTAGCTGGGCGACTTCTACCATATCGTCACAGATAGGGAAATCCGGAATGATCGAAGAGCGCTTGGGAATGGGCCGGGGGCGTTGTTTGAGATGGGAGGGAAGGGGATCAGAGCGGGAGAGGTTCGATGTTTGGATGCGAGGTGCCGGGACGGGAATCGCCTTTGAGAGGGCAACTGGAGTACGACGGGTGGTCTTGGAACCAACGGTCGGAGATGGAGGTGTAAAATTAGCGGAAGAGTTGTCGAGGAAGGGGTCAAAATGGTTGATCGACTTTATAGGCGGAAATGTGGGAACCTCTGCCTGCGAGGGTAATGGAAGCAATTGTTCTGCGGTGGTGATCGGTGGAGAAGGTTGACGCCCGTGCTTGCCCCGAATTGAGGAATGAGACGCACTCCTGATCAATTGTGAGTGACACTTCCTGACAACGCCATTGTGCACAAATACCTGGGCAATTGGACCTTGTCCTTCAGGTTCTTCGCCTGGCTCCTGCCCCGAGGCTGCGGGGACGGAGTTGCAGGGTGAGTGGCTGCCACCGGCTTCTGTTTGTCCGTTATCTCGGCAGCGGGTGTGAGCAATTGCGCGCGGACCACCGGTGCTGGCTTGGGCGCCTTTGGGGTGAGCCGCGCGTTTTGGCGCTGCTGAGACGGAAGCTGGCGACTGGGCAATGGCCGCACGGGTTTTGAAAGCGTCAGGAGCCCCGGGGTGCGGGTGGGCTGCACCACGACAGGCGCGGACGGGTGCCTCCGGTGGGTGAAGGGTACCGGGGACGGCAGGAGGGCGGAATGGGGTTTGTGAACGAGGAGCATGGTGAGGAATGTCGGGGGTGGAGAGAAGGGGACAGGCAGGGGATCGATGGGACGGAGGCGGGCAAGAGGGAAAACGAGGTGATATAGGCGCGTGGGAATTGCCCAAAGCGCAATGTTCTGTATTTGCTGTTTTTGCGTGCTTGGTCCCGGTGGCGCTCCATTCTCTCCCCATATGGGCCTCGGTGACGCCACTTTCCAGATCGGGACGCCCCTGTATCAAATTTTCATTGTCCGACCACAGCCATGTCTCGCTTCGCTACGCCGAACGACCGGGATCCGGTGATCCGGCACGTCCGGCCATCACTCGCTTCTCCTGCGCCGTACAGCTTCCGAAGGGCAGCCAGCCTCCGTCTCCCAGATTAGACGCAATCTCACGAACCTGCGAGTCAGCTCTGCGAATCTGCGTTTCTACTGCCCCCAAAACCTTGTCCAGGCTATCTCCGTCCCACAATAGGCTCTGCCCTAGAACTCCTGCCCCTCCATCACACTTTTCGAAGTCGCCTTATCTGGTCTTGACAAGCCAAACTCTCATTGTAGCCTTCCCTGATCCACCTTCCAGCCGCAGTGCGTCCACCCCATTGTATACACGCGTGTATGTCGCCATACAATTGTCTGTATCATATATGGTCTACCTCCACAGTCATCGGCGAATCGCTTATGTGCTGGGCACGTCGCAGCGAACGCACCTCTTTCGTGCGTTCGTTCTGCCGCGACGCTTTCCGCAGACGCGTTAACAATAATTGAACGAACAAATCGCTGAACGCTTGCGATGAATGAACTCCGTGTCCGTGCCCGATCAAAGAATGCAATACCCTGTCGGATGAAGCGCTCGCGCAGTCTTCGACTCGGCGTTCGCCTTGTACTGCATGGCACCCGCCATGCTGCGCCACGCTTTTCACTCCAAGCTCCACCCCCAGCCTTCGTTTCAGCCGTCAAAACGACAACAACGAAGCATCGCCCAACGCTGAGCGCCTACTACGTCGTTACTCCTTATCAATCATCCGCAATCACACCATCAGCTCGACCATCACCGCCATCGCCTTCCCCCACGTTCTCCCCTCCCTCCCATCTTTCATAGCTCAACATCTTATGGATGCATAGCACCCCAATGCCATAATGAATCCCCTCCTTCCTCCCCGCATCGACAGTCAAATGCCCGTTGGGATCACACGAATCATTCACCACTATGAAGAGTCGCTATATCGACGCCCAACCCAGGGATAAGAATGCCCCGAGTCGGAGAGCGACACTCCTCTTTCTGGGACCCGGGAGTTCGATCAGCGCTCACCTCCTTCTCCTCATCCCAATTCCCCCTTCAGCAAGTGGCTTCACTACTTGCTCCAGTTAGAGGCTTCAATAAACCAATTCCACGTACGCTCAATTGATTCCTGAACCCTCCATCAAACTGCTCCTCATCAGCAGACCCTTCCTTGACACTCAGTGACGTCGGTGTCCATAGGACTCTATTCTGATTGCGTCTTCTTGGAAGGGGCGTGCACTTCTCTTCGTCTTCTGCCGGTTTTGCCACTCTAGACCCTGCACGGCCGCGACCTCTTCTGTTCTTCGAAGGGGATATTTGATACTACGACGACAGTGCAGAGGTACGGAATGTGTTAGAAGTCGTCCTCGAAGGAGGTAGGTTCTAGGTACTTACGGTATGTTTCGTGCAGCAGTGTACGACACGAGGCTGTATGTAGCCGTTACTGTTGGAGCGTTCATCCGCTGGGCCAGGTACCCAGGGTATTTTCTCGATGCCTCGTGTTCGCTATCGCCAATGACACTCGCGTAGAGAGAGGGGTCGAGGGTACGATCCGTAAAATCAATGAAATTCTTGTTTTCCTCTTGCGATGCGGGACGGTCATCGAACGCCTCGACGATAACGCTCGATACTCCGCAAGCTCGCCAACTCTCGTGCTGATATCCTCATGCCTGGAGTAATCCCCGCAACCCAGCAACGGCATCGACATCCAGCCAACCTCCCAACGACCGGACGATGTCCACCCACCCGTGCGCTTTCAAATTTAAACTTTGTGCCCACGCGTCCGGTCGTCGTTGTCGACGACCACAACACCTCCAAACCATAACTCAACTACTAGAAATAGACATAGACACCTCCGAACGAGCCTAGGGCATGGCGACACCGAGATAACGACAGAACGCAGCCCAGGCGTTTGAACCCCCGAACGCGGATCCCCGCGGAGACGCGGAGATCGACACGAGGAGGTGAACACAGAACACGAAGCTGTGCTGTAATAATACAGACATCCACATACGGTACAATTAGAACAGAGCTTGGGAAGGCACGGGAGGACGAGGAAGGGACGCACCCCGGGGCCATATTAAGCCACGATATAGAGTACACGACACGGAGGATGCAGCAGGAAAAGACACGACGCTGACACGCACAGCTGATCGTGCAGCATGACAGACAAATTAGCCAGAGCGTCTCCAGAGCAGAGCCCTAATTTTACCCCCAAGTACAGGTCCTCTGCGGAAGTGCTGTGTCATTTCAGGAGAGATGTCGGGCACGTTGAATTAATGCTACTGGCACTGGCACTCGTCAATGTCAGGGCTTAGGACAAATAGAATGGAATGGAATGATACATAGCATACCATGCAAATCGATTGAATGGGGCACGAAAGACTTCATGTCCAGATTTCATGATTTATTGAATTGGCTGAAATACTTACTCTCCGCGGTGCCCGTGACAGTTGATCGGTCCTACGATAAGACCATCCAACACTACCATACCAGAGAACACACCATAGGCCTCGTCGACCTCAAATTAAAGGGCGATCCCCATAAGAGAGCGTCCAAGCGCCCGACCCGAATGTTACAGGTGTCTGACGTGCTCGCTGACTAAGACAAATGAATAAGCGCCCGTATTTTCGAGGTGTGGCGCACAAGGCCGGGCCCGCGGTTCCGGATGCTTTGGTGCCACTTGAGGCTTACCGGGGCAGGGGGTTACTAATTTTAGAGGGGTGCGCAACTCTCTGTCTGATTTTTCCCAAAGGATCGACTCTAAAGCTCGCATAAAAAAGGTATGGGTACAAAACGACAAGTTTCTTCACGGCCAAAGGACTACTGTACATTCAATTCTTTTTCAACGCAAGCAGCACGAGCAAACGACTTTCTCTGCAATTTTGTTTCTAGCCTGGTCCAGCACACAAATTTCGATGTCTAGAACGTACAACGAGGCGATAAGAATCGGATCTTCAAGTTCTCTGCGAGAGAAGCTCGTACCTTGCAATTTCGGAAACTAAGCCAAGTCGGGGACGAGCGCTGCGAGGTTCGTGTAGGTGTTCGCCGCAACCATCGAGGAGAATAAGGGAGATTCGCCCTCGTCTACCTTGTACAAAAGGGTCGATGCCGGACCCGAGATCTGCTTGGCGTAATGAATGACCGTCTTCCCATTCAGCAGGACCTGATACTTGTCCCCATGGTCGAACACTGTTACGGAGGTGTTTCCGTTGGGCCCGGTGAAGTGATCGACGGCCGCCGACACAGATTTCTCCTGGAGCCATGTCCCATCAGGCTTGCGACTGTTGAAGACGATCGTGTTTGGTACGAGGCGGAACCCGATATGGAGGAGATAGGCGCCATCGTTGTTGAGCAGGTTGAGAGAGGTATTGTTGACTTTCATACCACTGCCTGGGTTCTGGTTGGTGTTGAGCCCGGCGGAGCGGAAAATCACAATGCCGTCGTTGGTGATGGGCGCGATGAGCTTCGCGGTGGAGTTGGTGCCGACCTGATAGAAGCGCGCAGAAGGGGTGGTTGTCATGTTCTATCGCAGTGAGCATAGGGAATCAGTTGCCTAGCGCTTGTGAGAAGCGGGAGACTTACGTTGAGCTTCGACTGTAGGCAGCTGCGCAAGTACTGGGGTTTGATACCTGCCCTAACAGACTTTATACCCCACGCCGCTCTATCTTAAGGTTTTCAGGAAGCAACAGAATCATTTCTGCTGTCGCGCAAACCCTCTGACTGCTGTGAATGATCACATCGACGAGGTGCGGTTCCTCCCAGTCATGGCATGCGGAAACGCGTCGTCTTGAAGACCAGAGTATAGTGTCTATTATAAATCCTATTTCGTTCGAATATATGAGAAATAAGATTTTTTTAAGGAGTTTTGGCGACTGGTCGTATGAACATGCACTCATCCCACTGTATGTAAATGCTAAGGACAGTCAGGCACGTTCGTGATTCAATCCTAGCATAGACTCAGGTCAATTGACGGAAATGAAAAGAATGAAGAAGGATGAGACGTGAGATTACGCCACCTCAAAGTCTCTTTCATAGTAGACCCCGGTCCGCCACCCTCTCTCCTCAGTCAGCGATCTCTTCTGGCCATAACGTTCCGAAAATTTGAGCTGGAAGACCGGCCAACGTGTGAAGTATATGCTGCTGAAATACATATGCACTACCACAGGACTGCACAGTGACGAATTTATGGAAGACCGCGACAAAGTTTAAGGAAGCGATCTGATTTGTTGCGACATGAAGTGCGCGTGTCACGTGCCCTCTTGCAACAACCATTTCCCGCTTGGCTCGACGACGACCTTCCCTCTCAAGACCGTACGCGCCGTCCTGGTGCGCCATATCACACGTCGGATTATTCTTCACTGACTATAGGGCACGAAAGGCTCCATGTCCAGGTTTCATGATTTATTGAAGATTGCACAGTGCCCATGACAGCTGATCAGTCCTCCGATATGTCCACGCAACTCCTCCATGCCAAACAATTCGCAAAAGCCCTCATCTACCTCAAATTAGAACGGGATCGACGAAGGACGGTGTCCAAGCGCTCGACCCGAACGTGCCACGCGTATCTAATATAATTGCTGACTAAGACAAATAAGCGCCCACACTCCTGTTCGAGTGTAGCACAGCATTCCGGGGCCTGCGGCTTCGACGGGTGCTTTTATGCCACTCGCTGCTAATCGTGTAGGGAGGTTACTAATTTTGGAGGGGTGCTCGGCTCTCGGCTGTCTCTCTCCGTGATTCTGCCTAAAGGATCAGCTCTAAAGCTCGCATGAAAAGAAGTATGGTTACAAAACAACAAACTTCTTCAGGGCTAAAGGACTACTGTACATTCAATTCTTTTTCAACGAAAGCGGTACAAACAAACGGCTTCTTCTGCATTTTTCGATAGCCCGGTCCAACGCAATTTCCGATGTCTAGAATATAAATGGACGCGATGAAAATCGGAGTGTCTTAGTGAGAAAAGAGCATACCTTGCGATTTAGGGAATTACCCCAAGTTAGGCTGGGGCGCCGCCAGGCTTGTGTAGGTCTTCGCTTCGACCTCCGGGGAGAATATGGAAGCGTTCCCCGGTGCTTCATAGGAGAGGCTCTTTGTCGGACCGGAGATCTGCTTGGTGTACTGAATCACCGTCTTCTCATTTATGACTACCTGATACTTGTCCCCGTGGTCGAATACCGTGACGCTTGCCTTCCCCGTGCGGCCGGTGAATTGATCTGCGACGTTGGACACTCGCTGCTCGACGAGCCAGGGCCCGTCAGGCTAGCGACTGTTGAAGACAATTACATTTTGTCCGATGCGGAAACCGATGGTGAGGAGGAATGCGCCATTTTCAGCGAGTAAGTTAAGCACGCTGTTGTTTACGCTGTTGCCAGTGCCCGGGTTAACGTTGAGGTTGACGTCTGTGGAGCGGAAAGTCACAATGTCGCCGGTGGTGACAGGATCGACAAGGGCGACGCTGGACCCGACGCTGATATCGTAGAGGTGCACGACAGAGGAGGTAGACATTTTACATCGCTGTGAGTGATGGTAAGGAATTAGTTGTAGGGCGTCTGTGCAAAGCGGAGGACTCACGTTGAGCTTCGACTGGGGGCCGCTGAGCACTGGGGTCTGAGACCTATCCCAGCAGGCTTTATACCCTTCGCTCTAGCTCAAGGTTCTCAGGAAGCAATAGAGTCTTTCTCTTTTCTCACAATTCGATTCACCGCGGTCGCGCCAACCATTCGACCACCATGGATATACGCGCCGAGTCGACGGGGTGCGGTCCCTCCCATTCATTGCGCACGCGCGAGTGCGTCGTCTTGAAGAGCAGTGTTCTCCTGTATAATTTCTATGGTATATTCTGTTGAGTGGTCGAATATGTAGCAAATATGATTTTTATGGCCTTTTAGTGACTGGTTGTATGAACGTGCACACTCTTCCTCCCGGGTGCAGCCACGAAGGATAGTCAGGCTGGCACGCTCGTGACTCCATTCTAGCATATACGGAGGTTAATTGACAGAAATGAAAAGAATAAGAGAAGGATAAGAAGGGAAATTACGCTTTTCCAAAGCTTCTTAAACATACCACCCTCGAAGTCTCTTTTATTATAGACCGCCCCCAGCAGCTACCCTCTCTCCTTCAGCCGTCTCTTCTGGACATAGCGTTTCCAAAATTTGAGCTGAGAGACCGACCAACGTGTGAAATATGTGCTGCTGATATGCATATGCATTGCCACGGGACGCACAAGTCTAAGATTGTGGAAGGCCGCGACAAAGTCTCGCAATGTGAAGTGCACGTGACACGTGCCGACTATGCAATTCTCATTAAAATTTCCCACTTGGCTTGACGACCTCAGTCCCTCTCAAGACCGTACGTGCGCTCGTGGTGCGCCATATCACAGGTCATATTATCTTTCACTGATCTTTCACTGATTGTTCTGCTTTCTTCCCGTCTCATTGTGACGTCGCACACTTCTGGCAACAATCCCCGCCACCTCGACCTCTGAGTCTCTTCGCCGATGGACCGGCTCGTGTTGCGCATGCCCTTGACGAGGCCCCAGTTTGATTCACTTCTCTGCTACATTTGCATTCCTTGCATTCATCCAGTCATACGCCTGATCCATCTTTCTTTCGCGTTTTTCTTTCGTCCTTGTTTGCTCTTCCGCTAATGCCTACACCTGAAGATCGACCGCACATTTTTTGGGGGATCAGCCGACGGCGTCCGTTGTCGTCTGGACCAGTACTTCGCCCTGGAGCAACGGCGTCGATATCCAGCCAACCTCTCAACGGGGAACGCTTTCAACTCTGAATCGTCGACAACGACAGCCAACTATTGCTCAATAACTGAATCACAACACCGTCGAACGAAGGTGGGTAATGCCACCTAGCCTTTGAGCCCTCAAAACGGATCGGTGAGATCTACACGAGGGTATGTGCACTACGACAGGACGCATAAGGAAATCTATCAAAGACGAAGAAAAGGGCACACACTGCGGCTATTAGTAGATTACGAGTCGTACGACACGCTGCGAAGTAGTATGACAATGATAGCACGGCATAGCACATCGCGAGACACGACACGGACACGCATGACTGATAGATTCGCTATACTTGGCCCACGCGTTTCCAGAGTGGGCAAAGAGCTAATTATACCCCAAGTACGGGTCCACTGCAGAAGTGCCGTGTCATTTGTGTTATATTTTAGGAGACATCGAGCACGTAATGTTAAGGGGCCATCGATTGGATATCGCAGTTCTAATCACAAGGGCCTAATTCGGGGGTTGAAGATTCCTATAATACTTCAAGGATGACAATAGATCGGCCGGGGGATAAGCTCGTCCGCCCCCTTCTATAGCACACACTGATAAACCTTTCCATGCCAGTGACATATGTCAGTCCGCTGAGAACGACCCAAACCCTACACGTGTCGACAAAGACGCACGTGAACGCTGATTATATGTATATGGAAGACGGAAATAAGCGCCCATGCATATGACGCCTATTCGAGGTGCGGGGCGCAACATTCCGGGCCCGGGCGTCTAACACTTTTGTGCCACTTGATTCGTCCGAGAGAGGGGACGCTTTTCCGGGTAGGGGAGTTGTTGGATGGAACGCGTGCTCGCAGTTCGATTCCGTACGTTCGTGCCATTCACTAATAACTAACTCCCTCACAAATTTCTTGGAAGCCACAAGCACGCAATTACACATTTCTGCACTGCTGAAAGGACTACTGTACATTCGACTCTTTTTCAACGCAAACTGTAGCAACGAACGTCATTTTCTCCGATTTTTGCCAGCCTAATCCAACACAATTTCTAATGTCTAGAACATAAATGGAGGTAATGAAAATTGGAGTGTCTTAGTGAGAAAAGAGCATACCTTGCATTTTAGTAGGGAATTACCCCAAGCTAGTAGGCAGGTTCGCCGCCAGGCTCGTGTAGGTCACCGCTTCGATCTCCGGGGAGAATATGGAAGTGCCTTCCCCTCCTTGATAGGAGAGGGTCTTTGTCGGACTGGTGATTTGTTTGACGTACTGAATCACCGTCGTCTCATTTATCACCACCTGATACTTGTCCCCGTGGTCGAACACCGTAACCATGGCCTTCCCATCGAGCCCGGTGAATTGATTTGCGACGTTGGACACTCGTTGCTCGACGAGCCAGGGCGCGTCAGGCTGGCGACTGTTGAAGACGATTACATTTTCTCCGAGGCGGAAAGCGATATGGAGGAGATATGCGCCATTTTCGGCGAGTAGGTTGAGCGAGCTGTTGTTAGGGGATCCTGCGCTCACGTTGAGGTTGAGCGCTGAGGAGATGAAAGTGACAATGTCGCCCGTGGTAGCAGAAGCAGCGAGGTCGACGCTGGACCCGGCGCTGATGGAGTAGATGTGCACGACAGAGGTGGTAGACATTTTCTATCGCCGTGAGGCGGGGAGGAATTAGTTGTATACCGCTTGTGTGAAGCGGAGGACTCACGTTGAGCTTTGACTGTGGGCAGCTGAGCACTGGGGTCTGAGACCTATCCCAGCAGGCTTTATACCCTCCGCTCTAGCTCAAGGTTTTCACGAAGTAACAGAGTCTTTTCATTTTATTACAATTTGACTCACCGCCGTCGCGCAAACACACCGACCGCCATGGATGTACGCGTCCACGACGTGCAGTCCCTCCTAACATTGCGCGCTGGAATGCATCATCTTGAAGAGCGAGCCGTTCCTGTATAATCTCTACAGTGAGTCCTATTGAGTGGTCGTATGGGTGGCAATTTTCTTTTAATGTCGTCCATTTTGGCGACTGGTCACATGAACGTGCCTCACACACCTCGAAGGATAGTCAAGCTCGCACGTTCGTGTTTCCGTCCGAGCATAGATGGAGGATGATTGGCAGCATAACGAAAATAAGAGAGAAGACAGGCAACGTTCTCTACGAGGTTCTTTCATGAATGACGCTCTTCCGAAGTCTCTTTCCTCGAAGTCTCTCCTTCATAGACCCCCAACACCCTCTTTCTTTCATCCTTCCCTCTGATAATAGCGCTTCGAAAGTTTGAGCGGGGACCGACCAACACGTGAAATATGTGCTGCTGAAATATACATGCAATGCTACGGGATTGCGTAAAACTTCAGCAACTTAGATCAACATCCATTCATTGTTGACGGAATAGGCGCCCAATCGTGACGTTATACCCATGACCGGAGGCCGAGTGGCCGAGTGCATTTCCAACTACATACGGTATACTTTCCCGGGTGCAAATAGAAGAGCCATGACGAAACCTGCATCCAGCCCTATGTGTGATAAGGAACAAAAATAGGAAAGGGAAAGAAGCACGAGAAAACGAATAGATATTGGAGTATCCCAGGCCCCAATTCCTAGGGTCCTCCACGCATCACTTCTTAAAACTTAGAGGGTGCCTCGGCTTCTTTCTGAACGCGTATTGTACTCCTGTTGTGCTGCGGGTGTTCGTATCGGAGGAAAGTTAGACAAGAGGAAGATCACGGCCGAAGATGTCGACAATCCGAAGGCTGGCTCAACTGTCGCCGAAGACCCACCCTTCATGCTTCTAAACTCTCGTCCAGATTGCTGACTGTCGGATGGAATACTTCACCGTTGAACACCTTAAACGAAGAGAACTGCGTCTGAGGGCACGACATCGCGCACATGCGCTGGCATTCTATGATATCAGGGACATACTTCACAACATGGACAGTAGGTTGATAACAGATATCTAAAACCCAATGCCCTGATTCTTCGTGCTCTAATCTTAGAGATCGCCGTGGAGTAATGGCTGCATACAAGTGGCTCTCTCGGGGAATTGAGATTCAGACCAATATAACAATCTATAGAAGCCTGAGAGCAACCGATCTAACCTTGACATCGTTCTAGCACATTCGATAAGTGGGTACTCTCCAGATCAGAGCTCTCAGATCCGGAGCCGTACTGCGGGCATGTGTAAGACTTCTAAACTGCGTTCAAATTCTTCAATGAGGCGGAGCCTGGTGGATTGCTGGAGTTCTCGGCCTCGAAAGCCGAGATAATGCTGAGGCTGGTGGATCTGGCGCTTGAACCCACCACCATTTTCCAGGTCATAAGACCTGTTTTCACGGGGCTATGCCGACGTACAGCTCCAAGCAGAGGTGCTAACTTGAGGTGTGGCACCGATGAGCGCCAAGCCCCTGACTGAATTAATTGGTAACACCGATCATCTATTCCTAATTTATCCTCCGCTGGCCCATGCGCCACATAAACGGACCAAACGCTCCTGGCCTACCCACTGCGCTATTTGAGCCTGAGGAGTCTCGTATTCATACGGTCTCCGTAGGTCCGGAGATTTCTGGATGGAAATTGATCTGACTGTACCATGAAGTCAATAATCAAGGCATAGTGGAAAATATGTCAAGAGGGGCACCTAAATTGACAGTACAGGATCCGAGCTCGGTTCTTGCCCTCCCAAAGCTACTGCTTTACACAATTGGTTGCGTAGTCGTTTGGGGGCAGTCGCCCTGAAACTGTCGTTTTCATTTGGCCGCAGCACCACCGCTTTTAACATCGGTTGAAACGTCAAACAAAAGCCCAGTTGTATACCGCGGATCGTGTTCTGGTCTCGTAGATCCATAGTGTAACTGCAATATAGTGGAATTCCAGAGCAAGTGCCACAACCATCCAATTATGAGTATCCTATTGTACGTATATGCGTTATAATATCGTGAAACTCACACTTTCGTGGAGGAATTGCGTGTAAATAGTTTTCGAGAATAAAGATTGCAATGCGATACGTCATTAGCATTTACCGCAGTCGATCAGTTGTGAATATCCAGGTGACGGGGATAGACAAGTGGTCGTTCAGAGTCAATGCCGAACCAACTAGACCCTGAGGAGCCAGTACGCGGTATGTCCCAATGGTAGAGACGTGAGACGTCCAGTAGGAGATGCTTTATCTTGTCAAGGGGTTCCTGGCTCGCATCTCCGCTCCTTTAAAGTAGATCCAGATGGGGAAAGGAATTCCAATGACGATCGCAAGGCCCGCCAGTAGCTACAAGGAGAGACAACGTCAGCAGAGTTGCTCAGCAGCTCAAACCTGGTCAATGCAAAGCCGCGTACCGAGTTGCCACCACCTTCTCCCAGCTTGTCAAACATCTGCTGACCGAACAAGGGAAATGCGAAACCGAGCATCGAGCGGAACACCTGACAATTGTGTTTAAATCATAATCCACGACCGTTAGGGCATGATCAACGTACGGCAGAAGCTGCTGTGGCACTCGCAGCGTAAGTGAAAGCATCCACCAGATATAGTTGTATGGGAAGGCTCGTTGAAAGTTAGATGACGTTGAGACTATCGACGCGATGCAGTTGACTCACAAGGTGGTCATCAACGCTAATTGAAAGAGAGTTAGCACAGTAGACTGCTACGACGGGTTCTAGTACTCACCGAAACCAAATATACCCGTGCCAATAATCGGCATAATCCAATGTAGTTTGGCTTGTGCCGACCACCCATACCAGCTACAACACGTCAACTGAACGTCACGTCACAGTATACTGCCATCCTATACTCACAAGAGCCCGATAGGAATGAAGAGCGAACCAAGGACGAGAGCAGGAATGCGCATTTCAGGCGTTCCTTTCCCGCCATTCCTTTCTGCGAGCTTTGGGAATAATTAATCAGCATCCATGAAATGTCAACATGCCAATTTGGTGCTTACCTTTTTATAAATTTGATCTGCTGTTCTAGCTCCAACGAAAGTAGCAACCATAAATCCGACACCCAGCCCGAGGTAAGCCAGGCCGCCAACGCCAGGCCTGAAGCCGTAGGTCTCGCCGAATAGGACTACATGGTCGAAACTCAGATGCTAATATTAGAGCATTGATAGGCTTTAGAACTTACCCGGAAAGGTGGAGAACATGAGGTAATAAACACCTGTCGCGCGCAGAGTGGGTCAATTCCCAGAAGAGCTAAAGGGAATGCGATCAGCAACGCACCGTACGTGCTGCAAAAATAAGTCGTAGGCGACGCAGTCACTGCTAGCGAGGCAGGGGATAATCAAGCTTACTCACAATGCCATGTATAAGCTCAGAATGAAGCAAATAAAACTCCTGAACAAGAGCTCAATAGGCCGCGAGAGGTTAATCCACATGATGTGCCACTTGTTGCCGTGTGCCGCTTGGAGGGCAGGATGCATTTTCGCAGCAGCCTCGGGATCTGAGGATTTCGCCGCTCGGCGCAGACGGATCACGGGCGCGTAAGTCTCTTGAAGGAGGGGGATGCCGACGAGGCTAGCCACGCCACATGTAACTGCGAGCCAAATTTATGAGTGTTTTTCTTTCACGAGGTGCTCACAAAACGTATGGACGCACTTGCGATGACAATGAAGACCCATCTAATGCCAATCTTTTGCGTAATGAAGCCTCCGGCAACGGGGCCGATGGCAGGACCTGCATGACACGGTGTCAATCTCGAAGCTATGGGTGATACGCCGGTTGGCTCACCGAGGAGGGGTCCTACGCTGTACAATGCCATCGCTGATGCGCGCTCGCGTTCTGAGAACAAATCGCTGACCGAACCTCCACCAATGGCAACTGGCGCGCTACCCGAAAAGCCGGCTGAAATGACGTTAAGAGTGATGGATAATGTAGAGGAGGTCTGACTCACAGAGGAAACGGAACGCAATGAAAGAGCCTGTGGTAGGTGCATAGGCGCAGCCTAAGCTGAACGCAAGGCTGATGAGATTGCCGATATGGAGGACCTTCAGAAATTGAGCCCAGAACATGGATTGACCCGCAATGCAGACATGCTTACCCATGTCCGTCCATACATTTCCGACAAGGGGGCGAGGACAAGGGGCTGGAGAAGGGAAACAGGTGAATTCGTCGAGAAGAGTAAGATCTTGGAAGCGCTCACTCCAAGGGCGAACGAAAGAAGGAAGATGCTCAGCGTCAGGGCGACGACGGTGGGGTTTGTGATTCCATATTTCGTCGCCAAATCCGGGAGGCCAGGAGCCATCATCGAACTTGCAAGAGGAGGGATTAGCGTGTAGAACGAGACCTGCAAGATTGTATTGTGGTAAGAAAACGGGGACATGGAAAGATTTAACGAACTATCAGCATCGCAGTCCATCGTTTGGTAGTTGACCAATTTCGAGCATTTTCTGGATCGTTTTCCCAGTCATCTTCCAAGTTCTCGAGAGCCTCTTCCTTTTTGTCCTGTGGCATAGCCGACTCCCCATGTCCAGCAGAGAGCGGCGGAGCAGCAGTGGTATCGGACACCCTGTCTGAACCTTCATTCGTGAGGGATGGGGCCATCGACGCTGTATGATTTGCGTCAGAGACGAGGAAGACCGCAGTACCAGTCTTCTCTTGTTTCTCTTGTTCAGCCATAGCGAGGGAAAAGCGAAAGAGACTGAAAGGCTGGCGATCAAAAATCTGCGGACATTTATGCGAATTTAAAAATAGCCTGCCTTCATTCACAGTCGGCGACATATCATCCTGCCGATAAGTCAGCAACCCTACAGAAACAGAGTTGGCGGTGATTTCCGACGGTGTTGTAGATGGGTATGACGCATATGCGATAGCGTACTATGTCATGAGCGCTGAGCGCAAGCTGAGGTGCTACAGAGGCGTGTAGCCGATCAGTCAACAGGAACATGAAAACTCCGAGGACAAATGGCGGTTTGAACTTTGAATGGCTTGGTTGTTCTTGCGCCTTGCTTCAATCGAAACTTAGCATTATTTGCTTGCGGTAAGAACTAACTGATCACATTTGTACACTTACTAGTTACGTTCATAGAGGCCGACTCGGAGATTCCAGTGTCCACAAACAACAAACTTGAGAAAACCAGCAGGGTGAATCTGCCTCCAGAACGATATGTTGGTCTACCCAAAACAATGTCGTCGGACTGTCCGTCTATCATCGGTGGCCGTAGTTAGCCTCGGTTGTCTATTCATGCACGTTTGGTGCCGTGGCGACGCGTCCTACTTTCGAAGACGGCCTCTCAGTTTTCGACATCCGAGATTGCCTCCTTGCCGGGTTCCGACCGTGTCGAAGCCCATAACCACAAAGCCGTTGAGAGGTCACTGAGGGGCAGCATGTCAAAGGGGACAAGCCGTGCGAAGAGTGATCCGAACTCTACTGCTTTCGGCCCGAAGCCCCTTTCGTTCGGACCTGAAAGTCAATTTCCAACGTTTCCTTGTATTCGACTGCTTTCAGCGAACTCCATCGCTTTCGACTTCAGCTTCTCATGATTCCGGCTCTCTATTCGAACGACATCGACAAATTTTCACTACAGGGGCGGCGATAAACATTTGCTATGAAGTTTGCACAGTAAGTGCGAATATACTTGTTTTCGTAACTAAACCTGAAACATCTCTAGATATCTACAGGATACTCAAGTGTGCTACCAGAATTTATGTAAAAACCGGTGTTCTGACGCGTTTAATAGACGCCTGAGTGGAAAAAGGCCTACATGTAAGCTCCACCTAGCTTTTGGTACGCCCATTCCTGAAGGCCGTCCAACAGTGATTATCGAGGGCTGAAGAAACGCATAACCGCCATCCGTAAGGCCCAACAGGGTCTCAATTTCCATATTGTCGAAACCGACACTCCAGAGGAACTTCCCTCCCCGCCAGCTGCTCCACGACCCTCTAACGCCAATTCTGACCTCACGAACTCGCTTAATGCTAAGAATTCAATTGACCAAGACAAATCAATTGTCGAACAAAATGCTACACCTCAGCCTCATTTCTCAATAGACGAGGGAAAGCGCCATGCTGCATCTTCAGCGCCATCTTTCGGTTTGGGGGAACGTGAGAAGGGCTCGTTTTCCTTGGGCGGGAAGAGGAATCGCGGCAGGAGCTTTTCAAGTCGATGTATGCCCCCTTTTATCTCTCCATAGGATATATCTAACTTTTCTCAGTAAATGGAACGGGAGGAAGTTTCCGTCGACAGCCTAATCCTTTGGCGGCTCTTCCCCTTCATGAACTACTCCATCAACTCTCGCCTCATGAAGTTTCATTTTTCACGATGCTCGACGCGCAACTGGACAAAGTAGAGTCATTCTACTTAGCAAGAGAGAAAGAAATGCTTGACCGTGGGCACCTGCTCCAGATTCAGTTAAACGAGCTGCATGATCATCGTAAATTGTTCTTGGTGAGTTCCGACGACTTTTATCCCTAAGAAATGACTCACGGCGTGGACGGTGTGTCTCCCTTGTATTAGAAAGCACACAACAGGCTTCCATGGGCCACCACTATTGCGTCAACGATAAAGAATAAGATCATCCATCCCGGTCCCATTCTCAAAGGCAAAGCCTCTGTGCGTTCTTGTCTCCTCTGATGACGTATAATTTAAAACGCTTACTTTCCGTTGTGCAAGTTGCCAAATGACACTGACATGTCTGAAAAGGACGAAAATAATGACGTATACGCAGGAACCCCAGCGCTACCCCACAGTCGCGAACGTCTATCACTCAGCCTCGAGGAGGTACCGCACACTGCGAACTCTCTCGGCAAGCAAAAGGACCTGGAGGAAGATCCTGGCCATACTGCCTCTGTGTTGCACGAAAATGCAGAGCCGACGAAGGAGGATGGAGATAGGGAGCATCCTTTGCCAATATCTGCCGACCCAGACAGCTATCTCTCTGCAAAGAGGAAGCTAAAAAGGGCGGTTTTAGAACACTATCGGTCAGTTAATTCGGGTGGCTTTTAACTCTGAAGTCGCCTTGGGATGGTTGTTCGCACTACGGTTGTCTGTCCTGGTATCCCCTCCTGTCTTCTCTTTCATGATCGCTCTAGTTCATGCTCCAGATGCGAATGATGAAGCTAACTTCGATTCCTTAGAGGTCTTGAAGTACTGCACAATTATCGGGTACGTGCATGCATCTGTCTCTATCCTACCTGCTTAACGTTTGCCGTCAATCAGGTCCTAAACATAACTGGATTTCGGAAGGCACTGAAAAAGTTTGAGAAAGTTACTCGAGTATGCTGTATGTCCTTAACGCCACAACTATTCGATTTGACCCTATGCTAGATCTCCGTCCAAAACCAGTACATGACGGAGAAGGTTGAGAAAAGTGCTTTCGCCTCGGACAAGGCGATAATGGACATGATGACCAGGATGGAGGATCTATATGCTTTGACGTTCTGTGAGTGCATCTCTTTTTGCCTGGGTAGTGGGCGCTGATGAAATTTGCTTCTAGCTCGTGGCGACAGGAAGAAAGCCATCCGGCGTCTTCGAGTCGGAAACACGTCGAAAAGCCATCATTTCAGCACTTTTCGATCCGGCCTCTATCTTGGAGTTGCTATACCTGCCTTAGTAAACGGCCTGGTCAAAGGTAGGCTACTGGATATATCTCCGCTCTATACAAGGCTCATTGCCTTCCTTAGTGTTCCAGGAGGATACGAGAGAGGACCTCCCAGAATGGAGCACGTTGCTCTACCTGTATGGTATCTTGCTCATTCCTATAGTGTTTTCTGTGTTGGTGGGCATCAACCTGTTGGTATGGGCCAGGGCAAGGATCAACTACGTCTTCATCTTCGGTGCGTCAGCGCTCTTAGCTCTGTCGACGGCGTGGTTCTCATCGACTTGACGTTGATAGAGCTGGAGGTCTTGAGTAGACTTGATTATCGAGAGTACTTCGAGGTGCTTACGTTATTTGTTCTCTCTGGAAATCTCGTTCTCATTGAATGTCGCAGATTCCTAGCATCCTCTTATCCACTCTGTGCTACGCTTTCTGGCTATCTTTCTCGATGATAGGATCCTCGACAATATCACCCACCATCTGGCCGCTTGTTTGGCTAGCATTCGCTGCTGTGGTCGTGTTTGATCCTCTACCTCTGATGTACCGGCCTTCGAGATTCTGGCTAATTAGGAAGCTTGGAAGACAGTTCATGTCGGGAATGCGGCACGTTGACTTCGCTGATTTCTGGATGGGGTAGGTCTTGTTCTTATCGGTAATCAGTTTTTTCGACATTCATGAACGTCATATTTGTGGTTTAGAGATCAGTTTTGCAGTCTCATATTCACGCTGTCAAACATCTATACCTTTATCTGTGTCTACGTCCACGACTTCCCCGGCGGCTTGGGCAAATGCTCCACGGCCCACACATGGGGCATCGCCTTCGCACTCGCGGCTATTCCATTGTTCATCCGTCTCGTGCAATCTATCAAACGTTATGTGGATTCTCGTCTTATTACCCATTTAATTAACGTAAGTCGTCGAAAAACTTTCTTTTTTCCTTGTTAAGATGAAACTTCTGTGTCTAGGGTGGGAAATATGGTTCTGGCATTGTCAGCTACTTCTTCTACTTCTACTGGCGACACAGGCGTGCGTGAACACTCTCGGCCAGCTTCATATCATTGCTTTGCTCATTTGCTAGCTTAGAGGATGACCGCGGCACAATCTTTGCCCTCTGGTGTCTCTTCAATTCATGTTATTCTATTTATGCCTGTGCTTGGGTTTGCAAGTTCATTTCAACTTCCGCGACGATCTTTTGACGTGATTGCGCCGATAGGATCTTTTAATGGATTGGTCCTTCATGCGCCTACATGTCAAATATCCCCTTCTTCGGCCTGAACTAGTCTATACCAATCAGATTTATGTGAGCGCTCTATCAATCTGTTGTTGGTTGTTGCTGAGCAGAGTTCATTTCAGGCCTATTATTTTGCTATCGTGAGTTACCAATGAAATTCGCTGATCACAGCTTCCTGACGAGTACTTCCAGTTCTCTAATATTATAATCCGATTCCTCTGGGTGATCCTGATTCCCCAGCGTGGGCCCAGTATCACATTACGATCTTTCATTATTGGTTTCCTGGAAATGCTGCGGAGGTGGCAATGGAATTTCTGTGAGTCACGAATCCCCCGTTCTCCACGGTCCAGTGACTGAAAGGGTCGTAACAACAGTTCGCTTGGAGAACGAACACCTAGGTAACATGGACCAGTACCGTGTTACTCGAGAAGTTCCGCTTCCGTATTCCTTTGACGATCGCAGCCAGGAAGACGATAATGACGACGAAGACCAGCATCTCAAGAAAAAACGACGGTAGCTTGGGAGACTCGTCACACCCCCCGATTCTTTTATTTATTCATCGATAGAACTAGAACGCACTCGTTACTTAGATATAATGCAATCCTGGATTATGACGAGGATTAGAGAGAGACGCATGGAGAGAGCATCTTCACCGTCACCGTCTACGACGCATCAGAACAAATCCGGTCGAGGAATTGGATTGGAGAGAGCACTTACAATATTTTTTTTCCACCTTCGCCACCTCGAAACCCAGAGTGTCGCGGTACAAGGCAATCGCAGCCTTGTTGGATTGGCGGACATGTAGGGATACGTACTCGGCTTTGTAGATTGAAGCCATTGCTTCCTCTGCGCGAACGTAGGCCTTGATCAAGGAATTATCATAAACTAACGTGAAAAACAGCATACGGGAGAGAAGCATGAGTTTTTTAGCCAGTCCTAGACGTCGGTAGGATCGCAACACCGATATGGAGTTGACATGGCCATGGATCTCTGGTTCTTTGTCGTCTTCTGCGGGGTCTTCTCTGCATAACGATGAGGGCCTCGGGTGAGTAAATGTCGGGTGTCGGGCTATCCAAGTCTCGGACCAACATTTTTGCGAGGACATATCCCACAATCCGGCCACGGTCTTCCGCGACGAAGGAGAGTTGGGGCCATGTCATAGCGTGATACATCCCTGGAAACCTCAATGAGACAATATACGCCACAACACGTGTTGAAATTACGAACAGAACTTCATGGTATAGTTCTCGGGCAGGTTCTGCAGATTGCAGGCCTGCATGCCCATGAGATCTTCAACCTGGATAGAATCATGGTGAGCTCATGTGCTTTCTTCGGGTCACGTCGTTATAGGCGCCACAACAAACCGTAGGATTTACCTGACATGAGATCGTACTCAAGGATTCCTTGATAAAGATTCGAAGGAACATACCTTGGCTAATCTAATATTCATTTCAGTGCTCTATGATAATGGCACCCGTTCCCCTGTTACTGGTGCCAATTGCAGCTAACTCAGATGCTCGGAGTATCGATCTTGCGAATCTTCGACTTGGGATACGTGAAGACTCCTGTACCTTTGCGAGAACAGGAGGTAGAGAATGACTATACTGACAGCGAGAAGCGAAGGCCAACAATGAATTGACTTGTGCCAGACGCCGGAGGAAGTCGGCGATCACGTGAAGTGCCGAGCAACAGCCAAGCGCTCTCGCATTTCCTCCGACGGCCAGAGAAATAATTATCTACGTATCACAGGAGTATGCCTCCAACCGAAAGGTCAATCTCATTCAGTTCCTTGAATTATGGGGCCTTTTTCTTGAAGTCATAAGGGCCACCGTGGGCTTCTTTGCGGCGCTAGTTGGACTTATGTAAGCATTGAGCCGATGTCATTTGCTCAGATGAGCCGTAGAAACCGTCATGAACAATTGTGGAATGCGAGTTTTCTCAGTCTGAGTTGGCATCAGAAACCGAGCCCAAATGGCGCTGGAGAAGTCGAGCCCGGCGCTGCCTCCGAGACCGGGGCATAAAAACGAATGGACGGTATTTCATTTAGGAGACTGAGATCCCGGAGAGTAGTACTGATAAGGAAACCATGCCTGGAAAAAGAAAGGGTCGAGTCGAGAACGTCCCGAACCCTCACTTCATTGTCGAAGCTATCTGATCCAGTTCTCTGGCAATCATCGAATTTGGGCACTTGCTCTTCAGCTCCCTGAATAGATTCAATATCGAAGTCAGCGACCCACAGTGCTAGACGGTGGCACTACGCACTCGAGCTTCGCTTTATCGTTGCGGTCTTTGCACTCTCTGGCGGCCAAACGCCATTCCCCACACTCGACATAGAGGTCAGCCCGCTTTGGTGAATCGCACTTGCCAACGTAGGCACTGGCCTCCTTGGTGTGTCCCTTCTCTACGAGGTGGTGCACGAACACCTCGTATCCTATTGGACTTCTCTTGGACTTCGCAAAAACCTCCAGGCTTTCGAAATCCCGCAATTCTGTGAGCGCATACAACTTGATGTACCAGAAACTGAACGGGGGTTAGCGCAACGGCCTATGGACATCTTTCTCTCACAAACCGTTTGTCCGGCACCTTGAACTCCGACTTGATCTTGTCCGCTCGCTTTGAAAGCCCGTTGAGCAGGCAGACACGCATCGTTTCATTGACACTCAAGCCGAAGAACTTAATTTTGTTATCCGTTTCGCTCTCGAGTTGTTGTTGGAATGTGAGCAAGCGGGCATTTTCATCCGTGATCTGAGAAGCTCGTCAAACATCTACCTCGAATGAACGAGGGAGACAGCTCACTCTCGCTTCGAAGGAGCGGTCTTTGTCTTCCGAGAAGAACTTCTGAGCTGTTTTCACGGCCGAAATCTTCGATGATTGGTCCTACAGCGAATAAGCAATTCTCGCTAAAGAGGCCAGCTGAACGCCCACTTACCATTAGACGGGATGCTTCATCCAACGACAACACTGCACTCTCAACACGCCGGTCATCGGAATAGTAGAAGTCGCGTAGCATTTCTCTGTTCTGTTCTCGTGCATAGACTTCCAGCAGCCTGGAGGCCGGGGCGAGCGTTTTACCTCCATCCTCGAGTAGATGGAAAAAGGAACCCAGGGGGAGTCGTTTGTGTAGATGCAACAGAACATGGTAGACTTGGGAAGCGAGAAAATTCAGCAAAGGTCTGGTAGGTAAAACATTTTTCCTCACCAAGATCAGTATCCCCACTGTCGACTGCTTTGACCAATGCCAACTTATCTTCCTTCATAGCAAGCAACAAAGGAACTTGATCGGAGCCTTTTGGTTCATGATCGAGTAGCTGCAAAGAAGTAGGGCTCAGTCTTCGTTTCCTTCGTAAAAGTATCTCGACCGGCACACCTTGGTCGCCAGACCACCTCTTCCAACTTCCCAAGCCTTTCTGGCGATCTCGGCGTAGCTCACATCAGCGCCACCTAACTCTTCGAATTTTTCGACGATCATGCGGCATATTTCATCATCCCCACTGAGCTCGGCGTCTTTGCCCGATCCCGTGGGGATTGGGCGGGATTTTAATATCTTCGCGCACGCCCAGTGTTTGAGGACGACGTCAGGTTTAAGCCCCAGAAATTCAGAAATCCGAAGGGCGAGTAGGTGCAGATTTCGTGAGGTGAGCCGAGAGATAAGGTGAGAAGGAGAAGCATAGTTATACCTAGGAAATGACGTTAGATGTACGCGACGGAACGCTCATGATCACATACTGAGAGTAAGTAAGGGGTATGCCGACTTCGTAGTATCGGACCGCATTCAGAACTTTCAGGGTCTGCCCCATGTGAACAAAGTCCGTTGGGTTATGGAAGTCCAAAAATCCGCGACCAAACTTGGCAGCCTGAATGAATTGAAACCATTGGCAAGAGTCAACGAGAGAAACGGCAACGAACGTTGAGGAGGCGTCGCTGCCAGTGGGGTTCCCATTCCTGACCAGCAGCGTCGATACATTCGTCGACGGCCTTTGCAAGTTCTGGTCGGATACTGCGGATGCTTTCGTCAGCTTTCGGTGATTTTCTCGTAAAGCTTTCCCAAGCATCAAACAAAATGGCTGCCGGAGATGTTGATCCTGGTCTGAACACAGATAACGTGGACGCTGAACGACGAAAAGATCAAACTAAATTCTCGAACACCACAACAGAAGAGCGATTACCGGGAACTTTCTGGATAAGATCACAGACATCTTGCCCTATGATACGCACTCCATCCATTTCAGTTATCGCGAAGGGAATACCGGAATAGGGATAGCTGATAAAAGATGGATGAGATTGATGAAAAAATATTTAACCCTTGAAAACTTACTGTAAAGTATCACCAAACGGACCAACGAGAACGACAAGCGAGTCCCAGGTGACTAGAATCGCGTCGTTGCCACACCATTCCACTTGCCGGACTGGCCCCTCCGCGCCCGAAACACTGGATGTATCGAACTCTGCCATACTTCGTTGAAAGTCGGCTGATACGGCCCAGAGTGTGCCATTGAATGTAAGAAGCGCCAATGCCTTGCCATTCGGCGAAGGAGAAACGTGAGTAAAGGGTCCTCGAGAAAGGCGTTGGTCGACACTCTCCAAGTTGTCGACACTGTGGATGGTGGCATCAACTGAAAGAAGGACTTCGACATGTCGCGATATGTTTAGATCCGGGGGAATTATAGCCCATGCATGGGGAGGCTCGGACAAGTCTGTCAAGAAGAGTTCAATACATTGCACAGTTTATGAATAGCAATTACTCACTGGGATTTGCTAAGGCCATAGGCCGAGCACCATCCCAGCCTTTGACTTCGAGAAGTGTGAGCGAACTGGTCAGCGCTACCAATCCTTTGTCGTGAATCTTCGCATCGATGATCCCAAGCTCGGCTGCTTCGGCTCCCAAAGAGAATTGCTGGTAGTCGCCTTGAAGGTCGTATAGTCGGTAGACGCCCTCTTCGTTCAGAACGGCCAATTTCTCGTCAATAGTCCATCCAAATCGAATGATTCTGCCTTGATCCCACTGCCGAGACGTTCATCAGTCATTGCAGATTCGAGCGTGCATAATATAAGGATCCACACTAAAGAGAAGGAGGCCCTCCCCTGCAGGAGAGTAGACGTGGAGTTGGGCCTTGGTAACTGCCGGGGTTGAGCGTCCCAAAGCTAGCAGTCTCGTATGATCCCGCATTAAAGCTAACGTTATCACGATGTCAGACAACTAACTTTTGAATGCATGAGAGAAGAACGCACCTATAGGGCCTCCATACCTACATCCAGCAATGACATAGTCTCCGAGCTCTGGGAGCTTGCCTGGTATTGAGTAACATGGTTGTCGTCTGTAGAAGACGTTGCCTTCTTGCATCGCCTGCCATGATGTTGTGGGATGGTCGACTGCAGTCATAGAGTTTCTTAGATGTACGGTCGAGGGAGTAGCGTAAAGAGATGTAGCAAGAGGGCAACGCGCCGCGTCGTGGTCGAGGACAAGTCGATGGCTGGTGCTGCTCGGCGTTTGCCGCTATGGAAGTACAGGCCATGTCTCGTTGGAAAGTTTCTTTCAAAGTCAAATCACTCGAAGTAAATGCAAATGCAAGTCAGGCTGGTATGTATTGAATTGCGCTGCAAAGGTATAGCGCGACTAGCGCTGGTCTCCATATTTGTCCCGCAAATCGAGAACTACTAAGCACACAGTACGCTTTAGTACGAATTGTATGCGATGGAGGAAATGATGCTGCATATGGTACAGAGCAAGAACGAACTCGATAACTTTACGATAATAACGATATGTAGATGCAAGGATGAGGGTCCAGAGATAGGTCGGCGTGCATGGATGGAGAAAAATAACGAAACAAGGAGCGTGGGGGTTGTATCTAGAATATCCGTATAGGGACTCGAGCACGAAAGTCGTCTGCTCCTATTAGCACAGAAACGTCCAGGTAATACTGCGAAAATAGAGTCATGCTTTGTTTGGAACAAGAGCAGAATGGGAACGTACCTTGACACTTATTCCTCCCCAGTCTATACATGGAAGCAGGTCCATGTCCAGGGGAATACGGGTTTTGTGCAAGCCGTCTGGAAGCGCGGCGATTGTTTCCAAAGACGGATGACTCTTGTTGGTGTCGCACTGCTGTCGTGGCCGCTTCGGGAAACCGATGCACATGTCGTTCGAGACCGTACGCATATCCGAAAACGTCGTCAACATGGGGGACAAGGGGATCTCAGGTAGAGGCTTGTCGCGCGTGAAAGGAACTGCCCCTTCTGATATTCTCCTGGGCCGGGGGAAATCACGAAATCGCGGGTGTGATTTCGCAACTCTTCGTAGCAGTCTCGTTGGGGGTTTCAACGCACTAGGTTCCGACTCCTCGCTTGTGGGCGTCAGCGGTGGTGTAGGTGGTAGGGAAGCGTGGTCATTGATGTTAAGTTGTCGAATGAGTGAAACAGAGATGGTTGCATCTGCAGCGATTTCCTTCGCCATTTCGGGGGAGCGTGGTGTCGTTGTAAAAACGACGAAGTAAGGTATTGATGAGGAGCGCGAAAAGGTAACCGAAGTTGGCAGCGTCATCTAGGCGTGCTGGTAAGAACAAGTCATCTGAAAGCGCTAAACCACGTACTGCACATCGGACAGGGATGGGCCGATCAGCCTTCAAGGGCATCTCCAGCCATGAACCTGAGGCGGTTGTTGATGCATCAACACACTGGAAATCATCCGGCTGCATCAAGAACGGTATCTCAAGACTAAAGAAGGGCACGAGTTCAGAACAAGGTCTCAACAGGATGAGCACGGAGGTGACGTACTGTGAAGGAGTGTCGAACGGGTCCTGCGGCTCCCAGTCAACAATAATCTTGTAGGTAATGTCGAAGTAGTCAGGCTCCGAGGGATCCTTTGTGGAGAGAAAGCTTGGAGGCATTTCCTCTCCTGGCCGTACGCTTTGAGGCAGGGAAAAGGTGAAGGAATGCGACCGCTCCGTGGAGGAGGACACGAAGCTAATTGCAGAGACACTTGGGCGTCGTCGGACGAACGCTTCTCGGAAGACAGATCGAGGCGAACTCGCTTCCGAGTTGGAGACAGAGATGGATGTCATCGAAGAGAGGAAGATGTGTTTTTGTGGGTCAGAAGTCGGGGCCCATGGGTCTTCGTAAGGTTTCGTTACTCGGTATGAGAAGGCCCCTTCAATCTTTCCGAAAGTTGTTTAGCCACCAGGCTTGTAGAAATGACGGCAAGGTTTACGCACAGAAATCGACAGACGCCCCGTATGATACGCGTCGGCGTCCAAGCAAACCCTGCCACCGACTTGGTCGTGCCCACTGAAGACTGCTACCGGTCCTCGTCCATCGTCATGGACCTTGAGCGACGGACTGTAGAGTTGGAGTTCAAGCTGTGATGAGCTACGGAGCAAAGATGGTTGAGCACGCCACTGACGATGGAAGAAAAAGTTGAACACACCGATACGTTGAAACATGAGAGTAGACCGAGGCGGGGACAAACTTGGAGGCAGGTCGTGGAGGAAGTGCCGAGGTCGTGTTAGTGTTGGCTCGGCGGCGCATGAGGTGCAAGTCAATGGAATCAACGTCGAACGACGAGGGGGGGATGAGACGTCAGACCGTAAAGCCTTGGGGAGATGACATATACTCCAGGGTACATATACCCGCATGAAGAACATCTTTTAGGCGACGCTAGAAGCTCAGCAGGTACAAGGAGGCTTTTGCCATAAAGTTGCGTATATCCCAAAAAGAAATTAATTCCAGGATATAGATCCAAATGAGGTGGTCAGATTCACTCCAGTGGTGTGGGTCCGATGGAGTTGTTGCCCTATTTCCGAACCCTGGAACAAATTTTGATTACGAATTAGAGTTTGGAAGCAAACACTAGGATTTCGTGGGCTCTCACGCTTTTGGTCCAATCCAAGGCGACTTCTTGATAGAAACAGCAAGAGAATGAGGGACTCTTCCATCGCATGAGTGAATCCCGTGTCATGTTACTAGGAGATGGTTGAATCCTGTCGAATGCGTGCATGGGATTGGACGCTTGGCTGGGATTCTTGTGTGACGAGACGGGACCAAATGGAACATTCTGCGACAAATCCCAGCTGGAGTTACGGACAGGTTACGGAACAAATGTGTGAGATCGTGACGAGATGCCCCATATGCACTCGAGTGTCATGGTTGTTGAGGAAAGGGAGATCTCCAACGGCGGTGAGTTGCCTACCAATTGCGGAAGCTGCACGTGGTTCGCACGATGATCCCAAAAACATTGGATGACGCGTATCGTCCCTGGTTTGTCGCCCCTACATCTACATACCTCCCTGACAACAGCAGATAGGAATGAAGACTATAGTCAATCATCTCTCAGTGTACCAAAGACGCGCGACCGCTCGTAGCCATATGTTCCAATTTCAACAATGCGACCGTGCTTCTTTCTGACCAAAAGAATAGGCGTTAAGAAGCTGTGAAGAGGCGAGAGAAGGGAAGAGGGACTCTGAAGGAGCGGTATCAAATACACTGGTGCATCAAAGATGATCGAGCAAGCAGGCCATGGTTGGCCCATGCGGCCCACCAGCGGATGCAGACATGCCACATCTCCGGGTTCAAGCTCGGACGATGGTTGGCCAACCACTGCGTTGGAACCGTCGGGGATGCCAAGTTTGAACACCAAGCCTGATTTTAGCGGTCTAGAGCGCTTGATGAGAGGGAGCGGCTCTTTTACGCTACGCGCCGGCAGCTTTTCGACTATCACTCTACTGGTCCCGCCCGCTTGTTTCATCAACGAGCTCGATTCCGGGGCATAAAACCGGCTGCCGACTCCGAAGAGAGGTCCACTCAAAGTTGAACAAGAAGAACAAATCTTCAAGATATGAGCAACATATTTGTGTCTGAAGGCAATGTTTGCTTAATTCTATTGGGAGAATTTTCTTTCGAATCATACCAGACCGCCAGAGCGCCTCCATTCAACGCTATGCCTCGCAACTGCCAACAAGGCAGGTTCGCGATGCCGTCGATTCAAGATACGCCGCAGTTTGACTGGGCACGCGATGTCCATTGGTTATACCCTGGCTTCACCGTATATCGCGTCGCAGGTCCCGCGTCGCTGTCAGGGTAGCAGAACAACCTGAACTTCAATGACGATGGCCGCAAACTATGGCATTCGCAACTCTTCGCACGTTTCTAAAAATATGCAGAAGTCCTGCAAGGCCGGAAGATCCTGTCATAGCATACACCATATGATACTTCGCGCTCCCACCGTAGGTAGTTTCAACGTCTTCGAACGGAACGGGAGAGAGGGTGATGACCATAGCTTGACACACTGGGCCCGAAGAAGCTGCCAAAGAGCTGTCGAGCATTGGCCCATACGTTGGCGCATAGACAGATTCGCTTTCTGACGGGACCGAGAGCATGCGAACAGAGGTGGTGGCGTTTGGGCAGCTGACAGGCCGGTGTGCATGATATTCTGGAACGGAAATAAGTTCTGCTGCCTGTCGTCCATATGACGACATCGACATCATCCTCGCCATAGTTATCTGAGACTCAGAGATGAGTTAAAAAGCATGCATCACAAGGAGAAGGACTGCTTGCCTTTGCTTGAATGTTATTCACTAGACAGAACAGAGACATACCGTTGATAAAAATGGATTTATTAGCTTCAACACGAAATTGGTTGGTATTTCCTCCATTGATTCCGATCTTTCGAAGAACGACCTATCAAACCCGTTCGAATCGACTCGAGCCCTCTGGGTTTACAGCCGAAAGTCTTCTTGAACAAGGGTCCAAAGAATCGGGTTTTTAGTGAAGCTTCACGCGTCAGCTGGGGGTGCTTCTAAAATCATGGCGTGAAGAGGAGTCGTGAAAGGGATACCGTTGATAACGACGGTTGAATGCCTAGTCGCAGGGGACTGTGGCTAACGACAGATAAGAAATAGTTGAAGGAGACGCCTTAGCCGCCGTGTCGCGACCACGATGTGCAGCAGGCTTTGTCTGTAACTGACAAGGGATATCGGACAGTGGGTTCGAGCGCAATTGCAAAGATGATTGGCTCCTACCGACATCGAATCTTGTCTAATCGGCCATTCCAGGTGACAAGCCGGCCATTCGCATCTATCGCGTTTCCCGACCGAAAGGCTTGGATATGTCCAATAGAGAGAGAAAAAGAGGAAGTCTCGGTTGCAATTGCGAGGAGCGGACATCCGTCAGAAAGATCCGTTCGAACATGCTGCCCCGAGAGGATAGAGATGTGAACACACACCGCTGTCCCCGCATCGAGCAGGGTCAAGATCTGAGATGGTTTTAAATCTTACATCCGTATGATAGGACGAGAAGATGGCGAGTTGATCATTGAAAACAGGAGGGCGCTCAGGTTTTTTTTGCAGTCTACACAGTCCGTTTGTCCGTGGAAGTGCCCCCTAGTCGAAGACGTCGAAAGAGCCGTAAGCATACGAGAAAACCGCTTTGTTGATGCAAGCACCTTGAAAAGAGGGACTCGTGAGCATGCTGTGAGAGTGAACTCGGGGTCTTTCCGTGGTGAAGCCTTCAACAGGCTAAGTTGAAGATGCAGAAAAGTCCAAAAAGGCGAATTTATCACAGGAACGCAGGGTGTCGTCCCCAGCAGACCTGAAGGCCAAACGTATTGAGATATTTCCCTGAGTAGGTCAGGTACGCTCTTCGAATTCCACGGAGAGGTTGGTGCTGGTCCAAGACTCCGTATGCGTTTTGTCCAAATCGGGTGTAAAAGCTCCGGGTACTGCCGAGCGGGCTGCGATTAGATCAGTGCTCCACCGAACCTTCATCACACTCTCATCTCCCAAGGACCGTTCCTTTGACTCACGCCGACTATTCGCATTCGTTCGATATGAAGGTTGCTGTTACAGGCTAGTAGATATACCACTCCTTGCATTCAAAAGGCATCTGATGAGAACGCGACGATAACAGGGGCCTCTGGAGTGTTGGGCTCAGCAGTGTTCGCTGCTTTCCAGAACGCTGGAGTCGACGTCGTTGGGTTTCGAAACTCGAGAGCTGTTGAGGGGCTCGTGAAGCTCGACCTATCAAATACGAAGGACGTGGAAGCGTACTTCACGGAGTTGAAACCCGACTGCAAGTCATCATCATTCTCTCAAATCATATTGGATGTTCAATGGCCTGGAATGCCTATCATATATCTATATCAGGGGTCATCCACTGCGCAGCAGAGAGGCGCCCAGATGTCGCTGAAAAAGTAGGCGCATGCTCTGCACATTATATTCCCCGCTCACTCGTGGCTAACTTGTGTTAAAGAATCCGAGTGCAGCGCAGAGGGTGAGCAATTTGAATTCTACCGCGATGTTCAGGCACCTACTCGGCACTCGGGCGCGATCACAAGTTGAATGCAGACGTTCCTGGCCATCTTGCATCGTTATCAAAGCCCTTGGGCTTCAAGCTGGTATACATCTCCACTGGTCTCCCTTTTTCCACCTGAGAGGACGACCCTTGAATTGACACCGATAATATCTCAGACTATGTTTTTGACGGCACCTCACCGCCGTACGGCCCGTCGTCGATGACGAACCCTTTGCAATTCTATGGAAAATCAAAGCGGGACGGAGAAATCGCCGTCCTGGGTGTGGAGGGGGCACAGGCAACAGTGCTTCGAGTTCCTGTACTGTCTGTCCTTTTCCTCTTTGCCGTGGTTCCGGCTTACTGACACATTGCACTAGGTATGGACCAGCCCCCAAGAATTCAGATTCAGCTATCAATATTCTGCTCGACGTGGTCCAAGATCAGTCAGGGAAGACATACAAGATGGACCACTACGCAACCCGTTATCCTACTAACGTGGTTGATATAGCCAACTTTTTGGTACGCCTGACAGGTAACTCCTCTTGACCTCTACATGAAGCCCTAGTCAACCCGATTTTAGACGTCAAGAAGCCCCTTCCTCCGATTATTCATTACTCTGGAGATGAACCGTACACGAAATACGAAATATGTCTCATATTTTCTAAAATTATTGGTCTCCCGCACACCCATATCATCCCAGATGCTGAGCCGCCTACCGGCGAAGGTGCGACGACTCGCCCTCGAGACTGCCGTCTAGACACGAGAGAAACGGAGGCTTTGGGCGTTGAAGGAGGGCTTAATTTATCCCTATTCGAGGAGTGGTGGACGGCTAGATCGAAGAAATGAAGCTTTCGTGTCATGTAATTCTTAGTTACAAAAAAGGAAGTCAAATTAACGATGCATTATGTAAACCCCGACTGTCGAACAGGTATGGCTCAGGCGAGCGTGGCGCGCATCTTGCCCAAGGAGGAAAGTGATGAACATAAATACCCACGGTGGCAGTGCCGACCCCCGCACTTTAGCGCTTCCATGACCCCGGTTCATTATACCACCTCGGCCCCGCCTCGTTCGATGGAGTGATCCGTCTGGAAATGAGGGCTATACTTATGGACGAAGTCTATCCAGAAAGCAGGTCCTATTACTTCGATTTAATTCGCTACATACGCCGGTGTGGGGGAAAACTCCACGCCTCGGGGCATTTGTGGCGGTGGAAGCAAGCGTTCTCGAGACAGCTCGGGGTTATTTAATTCTTGAGTCTGTAAAAGGCCTTAAGGACATATCTCCTTCTTGAGCCTTCTTTTAGGCCGGCACGGAGTCGATAAAGAATGGCTGCCAAATGTCAGCTGCACATATCCTTCTCGAAGTCCCACACACCGCACGACGCATATAATGACCTGTCATCTACCTCGGAGTTGAGTGTGAAAATTCCGTCGAGAATACCGGTGCTGCTTACACTTTCTCGCAGGCGGTACACCGACGGCACTCTCTAATTCAAGTTGCGTAGCCCGTCCGCCCATCACCAAGATTCGAACTCTTCAGCGCTTCCAATCCACGGCTCAAATGGACTTCTTCGTCGCTTGTAAACAGCGGCTAATCTCTCACATTGCCTGTCAACATCGCGAAGCGTCACTGTGCTGGGATTCCACGAAGAAACCACTTCATAACTTAGGTTTCTCCACTTCCGGTTCCAATCCTCCTGGTACGCGGCCGAGTCGCCCGAGGGTTCTGGTGCAACGGCCGGAGATACCTCACCTCCTCCGAAAGTGTGACATACTAGTAGTATCTCGAACAACTTATTTCCAGATCGAGGGAGTTCGCCTTCACCTCTTCCGTTTCTGAATCCCGGCTCATACAGCGATCGGGGGCTTCCGGCATCCAGCTTGGTTAGCAACGGCTGAGATACCAGTCGATCGGGACTATTGACATAGCGACGGCCCTGATCATGACCTTGCGCCACACGTCTTGAAGGGGACCTGCTCGGGTGCCCTCAGCGCCGTTATAACCGTAGCCGTCTGCTCGCGCCCCCTCCCCGCCTCCCCAACGCCCTCCGCACTGAACCCACCCGAGAAGTGTGGTCTGTCGGTGGGATCTTAGGTCGGGGCTCGGGAGCACAGAAATAGCGACCTGGTAACAGGGCTTCTAGGTTACCTTGGGAGGATTTGCGCTGTTTAGTGATGGCGGGATTCCACCTTCGAGATTAGATAGGATTCTTTGGCACCGCCGGATTTCTGGTTGGATTGACATTGTACCGTCTGAGTCCTCTACATGTGCACGTCTCGCGGCTTTAAAGTTATGATAAGCTTTCCGGGGCACTGCAGCAATTGAAACGCCAAAAATAATTGGAGAGCTGCGCAGGCCTTCTAATCTTGGTAAGTCCAGAAATTCCCGCTTTCGCTGGCCACCTTCTGAGAGTATATTTGCTCCACCAGACTCAGCTTCGCACAAGCCCAACATGCAGAACAGCGAAAAGGACGCGCAATCGCTGCTTACAGCGGAAGCAATGATGCCTTAATTTTGGAGGATGAAAAACGAGGAACCCATTGAAATTTGAGGAGGCACCCATGAGTGACCATGCTGCTCTACTGACGCCCCATCGCACTTTAAGTAATGTGAATTAGCAATGAGATGATCGTTGCAACGGGTGGGGAAGCCCCTAAGCTGGGTGCAGTCGCCAATGGACATCAGCTTCGGGATCGCCGACTACGCCAGGAGTACGGTTGCCGAGCTGCGTCAGGCAGGATTTCACAAGTGCGACGGACAGTGATGGATTGTGTCTTCTCCCCAGCTGCCTCAGCCAGACCACATGGACCCCCCGCGACCCTCTCGGGCCTCCCTTCGGTGGCATTGCTCCCCGGGCACGAGGCTTGGCAACGTCGTCTGCCATAAATAGCAAGTGTCGGCGCCGTGCCAAGCCCCCCTACTCATCGTCCGAGGCAGCGAGGAGGGTATGTTGGCACTCCAGGGTTATTCAAAATTTCTTGGCGCGCGTAGAAATACACCAAATACTTCTATTCTTTTCTTTTGGGTAGTCAATCTTCCATGAAATAGTTTACAATTATGCAAGTACCTTTCCAAAAGGCTCAGAAGTGGGAGACCGTGACCCGTTGGACAGATCGCTGGACAGGATGAATTCGAGACTTCATTGGAGTCCATGGCCAACAAAACGAGAGGAGGAGAATCAATGTAAACTCCCTCAGAAATTTTGTGGGGGTCACCGGTCAACTAGACTGAATGCGCCGCATGTCATCTTACCTATAGACAGATGTTGAAGGGGGTATTTCCTTGAATTTGAATCTGCCCAAAATTAAATTGGAACTTCGCGTAGGGGGTGGCAGGAAATTCTTAAGTAGACGGGATACAATATTTTTCAGGTATTGACACGACTTGGGCATACTTATAATTCAGTGGGATTACCCATTCGATGAGAATTCCATAAACCCAGAATTGAAGGCGATATTCGCGGCGTCACCGTCAGAACGTGGCCAGCAATCACGCCCGAGCGGCAAACCCCCTCCACTTACGGCACCGACGCTAAATACCGACATCGCGTCGTAGGCGCCACCACTTCCGTTCTCTTGATACTATACACTTTGCATCTCGTCATCCTGCATTATTCCCTATTCCATATTTTTATGCCATTTGTCCCGCTCATTCTCACTGTGGGCATTTGCGCATATAATCGACAGTGATATTTTGATTTTACACCGATTCTATTTGAAATTTAGTCCCAGTCACTTCGCCAAGAAAATCTCGATGGGATTCGAAATAAGATCTGCGATATGACTGTATTTTCTGCAGCGCTTTTATTTCAAATGTCACCTTGGCGCCACTTGTGGATTTTATTTCAAAAGTTGACAGGCAGATGTCATTAATTTTCCCCAGTAAGGTTTTTCACCGAAAGACAGAGCTCGATCCAGCAATTTGATTGGTCAATTCTACCCAATTTTTGGTTGTTCCGCCCCGAAACAATGGTCTTGAGGGCCTGTGACCACCGTAAAAGGAGCTTTTCCTATCTCTGGGTACTTGGACTCTTCACCATCTCCTTGACGAGAACATGAGGATAGAATTTGAAATAATTGTGGTGTCTAAAAGGCAGATTTTCTTGCATACTGTGAGCTGGAAGAAATTTGAAATTTAGCGACCGCTTTTGGGGATAATGTTATTTCTAATTTAAGATTGCAATTTCGACACCGCTTTTATGCGCAAATGCCCGTAGTGTCTGTCCCTTTTTAGTGCTGCTTTCCTTACTCATTTCACATTTTATTCTATGGCTATCGCTACTATAGTCCTTATAGTAGAGTTATGCCTCGATTGATAAAATGCAAATATAAATCCGCTTATGTAATTTGTCCACTCGCTGCCTCGGACGATGAGTAAGGGGGGCTTGGCACGGCGCCGACACTTGCTATTTATGGCAGACGACGTTGCCAAGCCTCGTGCCCGGGGAGCAATGCCACCGAAGGGAGGCCCGAGAGGGTCGCGGGGGGTCCATGTGGTCTGGCTGAGGCAGCTGGGGAGAAGACACAATCCATCACTGTCCGTCGCACTTGTGAAATCCTGCCTGACGCAGCTCGGCAACCGTACAAGACAGATATTGTGCTCTGATCCAGGTGATATGTATTATGGCCGGTGCACTTCCGTCTGAAGTCCACTGGTTTTGTCGCGTTTCCATGATGGGACTTTGCCAAGATCGACAGCCGTCATGGCAATCGAAGTTTGGCAAGGTGTATGAATAGAAACATTCACACGGTCTTGTGCGCCACACAAGCCCTTAGTTGAATTCAGCGAATGTTTTGTATTCCAACTGAAAGTAGAACAAGAAAGAAAGGGCGTTAGATATCCATTTGTGCAAACCCGTATTGGCAAAAAGATCATGCAACTGATGGCTCCGGGCTGAAAAACACGACACTTGCGGTTGACTTACCGAGAATTTCCAATCACCAGCCGCACAGATACATACATCCGTTATGTCTCAAATACCACAAATGTCTTGGAGAATGGACGGAATTGAAGTTTCGAGCAATTACAGTGTTCGGACCTGCCGTAAGCGAACTGAGCGCCTGGTATTGGCTCCGTAGGCAATTTAGTCACCGAGCCCGGATCACTGGACTCAATTAACCAATTATCCGTACCTTTGGCGTAGACCGAGCTGCCAACCGTCCCGATTCCGAGACTTTACCCTACTTACTGTTGCTGAACCCTGGCTGGACCACGGAGTCGATGCGAGACTAGTCCTCTTTGGAGGCCCCACACCGCAGATCTGCCTCGAGTCCCTGCACAGCTTTCAGCGCCTCGGTAGCACGTGGAGCTCTATAGGACCACAACGAGGATCATGATTTATGATTTATTGATCATCCTCGACTAACCTCAACCTGGATGTTTCTCTGAGCCGACCTTACAAAGAACGGTGTCTTCTGGTGTCTTCCGTTTCATGTGTGGAGCGCTCGCGGATCAGAGGCGGAGAACTGACGTCACAAACTCACCTCCTCTCGACAGCTGAGGTCACGAAAGCTACTTTAGGCTCCTTTTCTTAGACATTGGGTGCGGTATAAATCTCCCAGGTGACTGAAACGGAGGTCTTGAAACATGCAGTCTAACACCACAACCAAGCAAACGTTCTCCGGCACCCAGTCTCCCCCACTCGAGGCGACAGGTTCAGCAAAACCCCTGGGTGTCTCGTCGATCGACGGAACCCAGAAGGGCGGTTATGTGCTTGATGGGGAGCAGAGGAAAGGTGAGTGGTTGGAAACACTTCCAGTACGTGGAAAATACTGACGGTACTCCCTTCGCAGAGTACTTTGGCGGTTCGGTAAGACGATGTGTCGGGCGGTCATTAGACCAACGCTGATTGTAGTTGCCAGGATGAACAGCAAGCGTCGAAGAAGCCCGAGGTAACACAGACTAGAAAAGTCGGGCAGAGTCTTGCCCAGCAAGTTGAAGAGAGAGCCTGAGGGGGATATGCCAGGAACTACAACATTTGTAGCATTAGCCAGCCTTTTCCATGTTGATTGAACAGACTTTGTCTCATGGGGCTTCGTAAAACGAGTAATGATCGATGGAGAAATGGGCGTAGGTCCTGGAAATCGGTCGTTCATGTGAGATGACATAGAATTGATGAAGTGGAAACGAGCAAGTGTCGATGCTGTAGGGAGAAAGGATAACGACGAGCAGGACCATCGTACGCAAACACATACATATTAGAACGAGAACGAGGTTCCTCCGACTCGCCAGAACCCTTTTCGATCCGCTCGTTCCACATGGTCTTCCTTAACCCCATCTTCCTTTTTGCAGACTCCTCGACGTCGATCTGTAATGGATATTCGAAGAAATTTGACGCGCCGACGGAGTCGACGATGGGACATGTCATGGTCGCCTTTTTGGTTATCCATAACGAATGGGCGGGATAGGTTCCGCACGTATGGTCGAAAGATCAACTGATTTATCGATTTCCTCGTCAAGCTCGCCCACCAGAGATCTGCGAAAAGGAAAAACGCGTCCCACTATTGACATCTCGAGGGCAAGTAGGCAGGTTTTGCAACGTACATCATCTCTCCTTTCACGAGATATAGGCCAAGGGGGATCTCCTCCACGCCCTCATCAGTGCTGTAGACGCGTTCCTTCGAGTCCGACAGGACAATGTTGGACTTCTGATCAAAGCCAGCAAGGACGCCCTGGTGATTGAATGCTGATTAGGATGAGCTGGCTGCCACAGATGACGATACTGACCACGATTGCGCGCCCATCCTGGAGTATGAGCAAGACGCGACGGTCGACGTAGCCTTGGAGGGTTGACATGGGGCCACGAAGCGGCGATGGGACTGACAGGGAGAATGACGGGTCCGTGCATATATGTGCCAAGAATGGAATGGTCCCTGTCAATTTACGGTTTGTCACCGCTCTCGTCACTCTTGTTTCTCCTCCTCCATTCAAACTCGCAAGCTTCCAGCTGCAACACACGCTGTACGTCGTCTCCGAGATTCCAAGGCGTCAGCTAACAGCCTTCGCAGCCTTCAATGTCTTCCATTCACGACCAAGAGAAACAGGCCGCTGAGCAGGCTTTACTTGAAGTCAAGCTCCCGTCATCGTCATCCTCAGCGTCCCTGGAACTTCCCTCGCCCATTTCAGCACAGCAACCAAAGGCGACCCCTACTTCGGCCAAATACAAGCTCTCTGCAACAGCGGTGGTCCCGGTCTGGATTGTCCTGAGTTCGGCGGTTATCATATATAACAACTACTTGTACAACACTCGCGCATTCAAGTACCCAGTATTCCTGGTGACATGGCATCTCACGTTCGCCGCTATCGGAACCCGCGTCTTGCAACGTACGACGAACCTATTGGATGGCGCAAAGGATGTGCATATGTCGAAGGATATGTTTGTTCGCTCAATATTGCCTATTGGCCTTCTGTTCTCTGGCAGCTTGATCCTCAGCAATACCGCTTATCTCTACTTGAGCGTGTCATATATCCAAATGCTCAAGGTGCGGACATACCTGCGGGTTATCACTGCCGCTAGCTTCGAATGACCAATATTGATCTATTAATGTTTGCTGTGAATAGGCCTTCACACCTGTCGCAATCCTTCTCATTTCGTGGACCTTCCGCATTCAAGATCCTAACAAGAAGCTTGCCATTATCGTTCTTATGATCTCCTCTGGCGTCGCATTGGCCTCCCATGGAGAACTGCGTTTCAACCTCATTGGCTTTATCGTTCAAGCCGCTGCTGTTGCCGTAAGCATGCTTATCTTTGGCGTCGGAGAGGACAACGACTGACCATGTGTATTTTCCTCTAGTTTGAAGCCTCTCGCCTTGTCATGATCCAAATTCTCCTCCATAACCTCAAGATGGACCCGCTTGTATCACTCCACTACTACGCACCGGTGTGCGCAGCCATCAACCTCGTCTTCCTTCCATTCACAGAAGGTCTCGCCCCATTCTACGAGCTTCAAAACCTTGGTGTCTTCGTACTGTTCAGCAATGCCTCAGTGGCTTTCTTGCTGAATGTTGCGGCCGTTTTCCTTGTTGGCGTGGGCAGTGGACTTGTCCTCACCCTTGCTGGTGTCTTCAAGGTGAGACTTTGTTGTCCTATTGCGTTTCTCCCGCTCTTTGCCCTTTTTGGGATTTGTTTCCTTTCTGGTGTAAATCGACTCTTATTAAGCGGTCATCTAAACAACATTGGGGGCTAAGGTTACTTCTTGGCACTTTAATGTTCCTGGAACTTTCATTTTTACGTGCTGTGCGCTATCATCAGCTGCGCTTTCTGATCCCTTGTATCATATGCGCGTCTTCAATTCCTTGATGATTGCACCCGCGTCAAAATGTCTTTTTTTCCCCTTGCATGTGGTTTCAGTTTCAAAGTGCCTTTCCGTTCTCGCCTGCTCGTGGTCCACGCTGTCGTTTTCAATGATCAGCGGTCAGCACCGCATCGGTGGCCCTCAACGCCTTTCGGGATGTTGGGCCTCGGTAGGTTTTCACGGAGCTTCATCTGCTGTTGCGTTCCTTGATCACGGATGATCGTGTCGGAGGGAGCTTCTTTCCGTTGGTCATATGAAGGGGGTGTTGCAAAATTTCAATTTCAATTGCTGCCCATTGACACCTGTTGAAGTTTCTTCTACCACATTATCCACGGAGGAGACGGAGGCAAGCCACCTGACTGTCGAACTTGCTCCGTGTTATTTTATCACTTCCTCTTCGTTTCCTTATCTTTCCCGGGTTCGCCCCGGAGAAATATAGATCTTTTGCACTCCCACGTCATGGTCCGTGGAGTCATCGTTTTCCTTAAACGTTCTTTTGTTGTCTGCGCCTGACCGTCAGCGAACACCCTCTTCGCTACTTTTGGGCAGAACCAGAGTTCTTTTTCCTTGTCAATGCATCCCCCTCTCGCTTCGCTGGTCTCGCCGGTTGCCGATATCATTCTTGTGTCATTCGCATGCCCGGTGTTTATTTTCCCTTGATCATGTCGAATCCTTCTGACTTCTACCCTCGTGTGTCCTTTTGGATTGTGTTTTCTTTCGTGTGTTTCGTATCCGTTTGAACCTGTCTGCTGACGATCTTTCCGTTTGATTTTTCTTCTTTCACCCCTTTCCTCCTCAACCCCACTTTCTGCGCCTCCAAACCAACTGCCTCCGCATACACACCACTCGGTTCATGACATCAATCATACGATCTCTTTTGACAACTTGTCTTGGTTTTGTGGACGACTCCCTCGGTCATTACGACAATGCGTTTGCAACCAACCTTTGGATATATTCGGGCGACATGAATTGACATATTCCTGGAACGCCAACGTCGTCCACCCGATACACGAACTAACTACCGACGACGACATCAACGGCACACCTGGCGTTGACATCGGACACTCCACCCCACTATTCCTCGAATATACTTGTCTGTTTGCCTTCCATCCATCCTGTCCATCGAATCCTGGACTTCCGCGCTATTCTCTTCGCCGGGATTGGAACGATTTTTTTTTACAGGACATTCTGCTTATCACAGGATCAGTTCTCATATTTGGGTCAACGGTTACACCCCTGCAAGTGTTCGGTGAGTGCTCTGCTCCGCTTTTCAAGGACTCCTGTTAGTTGATGGTGTCACGGGCGCCGCGGTGTTTACGAGGCCGTATTCGGTGCCCGAGTGGGTTGATTTCGTATGGCATATGCCCCATTTTCCTTGACTGACACCATCAACCCTGTTCGTGCCGTCTTTTGAGATTCCGTCTTTGGGCCTTCCGTCCCCTATTGACCTAATGTGAAGTTCGAATGCTTCTTTCATGGAAGACCCACTCGTTGGTGGTTTTATTCGTTCGGATTTTCCCCTGGGTTTCAATCGAGGATTCGCTTGAACTTCTCTCGCGATTTCATCCCTTTCCTTGTGTTCGTGATCGGATTGCTCCCTTTCCGTGTATGTTCTTTTACCTCTCAATGTTCCACGTCCTAGTCCCGTTCCTCGTTCCCACTACCTTCGCCGCCGTCTCACCATGACCTTCTTTCATTCACTACACTTCCTGAGGCTTCCAGTTTCGTTTCTTCTTTCTGTTGTTTCTCGTTTCCTCCGACAGCCTTCCCAGAAACTGACATAAAGTTTCCTTTTCTCTTGTTCTCTTTTCTCGCAGGATACTCCATCGCCTTGGGAGGCCTCATCCTCTTCAAGACCTCAGGAGGCAAGTGATGTGAAATTGGACTGTCGAGTCTCACGGCCCGCCTTCCATGCATCCAATCTCCCGCGTACGATTTTGTCGAGCAACACATATCAGTATACAACGCATAGTCCGGTCTTGGAAATAGAATATCGTATTTAATGGTCGCAGATGGCTTTTTTCTTTCTCTTTCTTATTTTTATACTCTTGTCTTTCCGATATAGTGGCGATGCCGATGCGTCCCGTCCTCTCCTTCCCACCCGGAATCAAGAAACGATTTGGCAGTCCTCCAGTTCTGACCTGGAAGACTGCTGGATCCGCCTTCTTTGTACCACCATGCCAACCACATAGATAGATGCCTCTTTTCGCGCAACCTTTCAACTTGTCCTGCCTGTTCCTGGTTCACGCCTTCTAATTCCCTGTGCCACTTGTATGACAGACAATGTACCCTCCTGCACCTTTGAAAGACGCTGATATGTTTAGATCCCTCCATGGTGCACATCTATAGAGTAATGGAATGATCGACTGAGTCTTTCGGAAACTCCCTCGAGCTTGTTCCTGTCATGGTACAGTCATCCACTGGCCAATGAGACACCACCGGCCAATGATACACCTTGGAACACCATGAAGGACTCAACTGTTTGCTTTGAAAAAATAACCCCATTTTCTATAAGTCTTTCATACACTGTGTATAAGATTTTGTGGGTTTTGGTGAAGTCAATGCCTGGTAATAAAATCACCAAAATATTCATTTTGGTTGATTTCGTCACACCAGTCACTGGTACAGCATCTCTGGCTGTTTCTGCTCACGTTTGGTTGTTTTTATGGAATACAACCAGTATAAATTTATTTTAATGGCTCTATTACACTGATTCCAAGTGGTTTTATGAGAATCCATAGGCTGGTTGAGTTCTGGGATCAAATTTAAATTTCAGTGTATCAAATGATGGTGGATGACTGTAGCGCATTCAACATATTTTCCGACGGTGCCATCCTGCCAGAAATTTTGATTGATATATGATTACTTGTTCCTCCTGAAGTTGTGCACATACAACTGCATCTAAATAGCTGCTTACCTTTGCTGAACTACATGAAAGAGACCCTTGCCTAGCCGGTAATGATGACTGGTTGAGGTGCACTTATTTAAAGCCAGAGCATCTTCTAAATCCATTGCATTTGCCGAAGAAAAAGTGTCGGAGGCCCAGATAGAAATACAGGTAAGTACAAACTTCTTAACCTCGCATAAATCCCCATAAATCGTGATAATAAATCTACCGCGTATGTTCATCTCCTGGGCATGGCGTCATCGCAGTCATGAGTTTCATTTTTTTCCCCTTCTTCCATCACAGAACGCTATGGAAGTTAAGGGGACGGTCATGAGCTTGAGGGCTCGCTCCAGAGGCGCGTCTGGCTTCCAAACATCACAGATCGGTTCTCCGGAGAACTATCTTGCGTAACGCCTGATTGGAAATCCTCTAAGGAGAGCGAACTGCTGGACAAGTTGAGCTCTCCGTGATAAGGAGAATGCCTCAGGGCAAATTCGGTCACGTTCGTGGGCGTAGGCTCTCCTTCGTGATAGTCGTCGGGGTGGCGTGTCCAGATCCGCACACCACCATCGTGGCTGCCAGCAGCGAACATGAAAGGATCTTCGGCGGCGTGGTTCCAGGCAACACATGTCAAATCACCACCGTGTGCTTGAGCTCGAATAGAGTGGACAAGGGCACCAGATTCTTGGTCCCAGATATGAATGTCTCCAGCTGCAGATAAAAGGATAAGGATAAGGAATGATATATACAAGGATACCTTTGTGCATACCTTTGCCTGCGCACAGCACCAATTCGTTGTTCTTTCCTCCAAAGTAACTTGGACCGGCGAAGTCGACTGGCACCTTTGGCATGTATGTGTGGCTGGAAAGAAGTAAGACGATGGAGAAAAGGGTATAGAAGAACGGTTTACCGTAGTACAAGTTTTGACGTGACAACCGTATTCGTATCCCTGTCCTTTACCAGTTCGAGCTTCCAGAGCTGAGGCGGGGCCTAAGCGCACATGTGAACACTACTACACTTTCCGTTGTACTTACGAGCAAACATTGACGAACCTTGTGTTCGTAGCTGACCAGAGCGACCAGACCACTCCTTCCGGATTGAGCAAGCGTAATATCCCTCACATCCTCAAGAACAGGTGTAAGACTGCGCATATAGTCAGTGAAATGACCCAAACAAGGACAGACAAGTGCCTACCTTTCGATTTGTTTCGTATCCGTATTGTACACTGCACAACAAAAGAGGAGAACGAGATCAGAGAAAACACGAAGTAAAGGGTGTGGAGCTGTTCGTACCGATAATCCGTTTCTCCACTCGCGATTTACTAGGCTGCAAGCCGGTTGGAGAGCGTAGCAGTGGGCCAACTCCAAGCAGCCGTACGGAATCGGGCGTAATGGCCACGTCGTGCAGTTTCATGTTGCCAAACTCGTACTGATCCAAAACCTAGGGTACAGACACGTGTCAGAAATGAACTAACACAGAGGCTGTAAATAATCATACTTTGCCGGTCAAATCCTGAAAGTAATCATCAGTCAATCGTTGTTGAAAGGCCCAAATACTGCGTACCAACTTAGTCACTGAGGAATCTTCGATGGACAGGAAGGCTACGAAGAGGAAGGTGAGGAGGTGGCTACATCAGCATTGAAGGACTTGCCATCGCCGGATGGACACCAAGTTATCGCCTCGACCGAGGTGTTCCTATTGATGGTCTTTTTGCAGACGCCATCCTGGAAAGAAGGGCCATCAGCAACAAAAATATTGGGTCATAGCCCGCAACATATCGTACCTCTGCTGTCCAGACTTTGATCCCTCTGGCCATTTTCGTTAGGAGGATGTTGCCGTTTGGAGACCTAAGGATAAATCAAGGATGATTCAGAGACAGTTGCTAAAGAACGAAGAACAATATTACCAGGCAACCTGGCCGATGAAACCTTGTGCATGCGCCAGAGTTCGGTGGGAAGTGAATGGGTGCTATTGATGTTATATTAGTCTCTACTGCAGAAAATTTGACAATTAATCCAACGCGCCCCGACTTTAAAGGTCATTGCTGTTTTATCCCAGCTAACGGAACGAAAAAGTAAGATCGCAAACCCAGGATGCTACAAGGACAGTCCTTACCTCGACGTAGCCAAATACTTCCCATCTGGCGAGAACTGCATATGCCTCACGAGCGCATTATGGGCTGCCAAGTCGTGCGTAGCCTCCAGCTCCATTAATTTCGGCATTATTGTCCCCACCCTGGAGCGCGTAAATGCAACTGGCTCCGCTCCTGTACTCGTCGAGTTCTTCTTACCCAACATCCCCATACCGAGCCCGAGCTCGACTCCGGAGGACGTCGTCCGCTTCCGAACAGGAATACCACGTGGCTTACTTATGATGGTTGAGGGCGGTGGGGAGGTTCCAGCATCAGCTGCTGGGGCAGATGTAAGCGCACTCTGCATCTTGACGTTGCGCATGGCGTTCCTCCATAGCTGCTTACCGACGCTGGGCGGAGGCGGCGGTGTGATAGGAGGCGGGGCGGGAGGCGTGTCTTTCTCAGTGGGTGAATTCACTGGCGTTTGCGGCACAAGAGGCGAGCTCGGTTCATTGGTGTGGGTGACAGCAGTAGCATCTGAGGGCCGGTGCCTCGACGGGCTGCTCGAATCTTTTGGCTCGTAAGTCATGCTCGTCGGCAAGCCACTAGCCTCCAAATCATCCTCGACATCCGAGCGCCTCCAGCAGCCAACGCAGGCAGTGATGCATAAGGCATACGCACGGAGGAACAATCGGAGGAACTTCTTGCACTGCAGCATGACGATCCGCCAAGTCCTTCGCGACCATGCGACACCAGACAGGAGCAAAAACCTGTCCACAGCATCCGAAAGAATATCACTAAGCCATTTCTGGCCCTTGTGGCGAGCGAAGGCCCATCGTTCCGAGGCAAACCAAGCGGAGACTGCCGCAAGGCCGAAGGAAGTGAACGCGGTGAGGACAGTGGTGATAGTTGAGGTTACGTGTGCCTAGGTACAGGATAGTTGTCAGTACGAGCATAAATGAAGGTGTGCCATTTGGGAGGCAAGCCGCGATGCCCACCTGCTCCGAAGCGTAGGCGAAGCAGCACAGGCCAATCGAAAAGCATGCCACAGACAACACGAGGAACACCAGGGGTGAGCGTTTAATCCACATCATGACCCACCAAGGGACACGGTGTCCAGGAGACCGGCTAGCAATTAACTAATAAGAGGAAAGCCAAGACAGCAAGTGCGAGGAGAAAAGACGCACTACATCGCCTGCTTCCAGGTCAGCCCCAACAGACTGTTCACAGCGGCGGCGATACTGAACACGAGGGACGCAAACCAGAAAGAATTTACTGCATCAGATACGGGGCTCTTCTCGAGCTCGTATGAAAACTGCATGGTCGTAGCCGTAACGGCAGAGAAGAAGGTCGCGACGGTGGATAAGTTAAGCAGGTTGTTGGAGGCGTGCTCTTGGGCGAATCGGATGGTGGGTACGCCTAGAGGAGACAGTTATGAGGGCAAGAGAAGAAAGCACGACGAGTCCTAGAAATCGCACCAACTTCGATGAACATTGAAAGAGATGAGGTTAATTCGTCGATGTGCTCCCCCATTTCGGTCGAAAGATCGTGGATATATCTTTGTACTGCTGGATAACGGAATTGCCCTGGAATTGATGTTAAAAACACTGATCGCACGACAAAGATTTCAGCTTCCCTGCATATTCCTTTAAACAAGATGCCCAATACTAAAGGCAATATCAGGACCGACATTTAACTCCAGACTAGAAATCACACCCACCTTGAGGTCCCCTTCAAACGAAAGAATCGAAGCATTGACCGCCTCGTCCGTGAATTCGGGAAACTCGTTTAAGCATTTCAAAAAAATTGTGACTTCTACCGCGAGGAATTCTAGCTGGTTCGGAAACATTTCGGGGTCGAGGTTCTCCGAGACGGTGGGTCGTGGTACATGCAGCTGCGCCTTTCCTTTCAGTCTTTTCAGCCCCCACTTTCTTCTTCGACTTGCAGTGGGAGATTCCGCGTTGATGTCACGCGCAACGTGGTTGACCTTGCGAGGAAATAGGTCGGCGGCGTTTTCGTGGTATAGGAAAAGGAGTTGAGCAAGTCGTTCGCGCAAGCGGAAGGCTGATGAGAGGATGGCCACTGAACTACCCAGCTGGCGAGCAGCATTTGCAAAGTTGCGGAGCTTTCGAACGGAGGTTAGCTGAAAGACCGTGTAGGGTGCACGCAGCGAGGTCACCTCTTTGTCGAGATTGTTTATTCTTCTGCATGACATCGCTAAATTTAGAGTTGGACATAAGGCGATGAAGAAGAGTCCGGCGCTTGCCTCTGAAGTTTGTGGAATACTTCCGCTCCAGCGACTTGCAAATGCTCATCAACAGTCGCTGAAAGGACCATGAGGCAAACAGAAAAACCGGAAGTGCGAATTGACTCACGAACGTCCCTATCATCTTCGAAGGAGGGCAATTGGTTTTTTCCTGCAGAAGCACTGTCAGAAGGCACCCCATAAGAACTGTCGGGGCACACACCTTCACCCTTGCCTTCGGTTTGTTGCAACAGCATCTCCACGAGACTCAAGATGGTCTCTCGTCGGCCCTCTGGTGACTGCCGCCCAGAGGATGGAGAAGAGGGCAAAATTATCGCAGGATGGTGGATATCGGGCAAGTCAGACCCGGCGGCATTGGATGCAGACGACTTCATGTAGGTGTAAAGTTGGAATTTTAAGTTTCAGGTAGCTTCTGGGAGGTTTTAAGGTGGCGTAGGGTGTATATGATCTCGGCCAGCGCGTAGAACTCGTGTTCAAAATACTTATGACAGAAGGAATTGTTTGGAAGTAGGAGGTGTCGCTGGGGCGAAATTCGTATAGAGAGTTATAAACGTAAAGGAGGGGCGTCGCAGGTCGTGGATGTTGGGGATCAATAGAAGGAAAGAATCGTTTGTCCGGGCCATCGTGCCCTCGCGTTGACTGGCGTCGCCAAGGTTTGCCTAAATTTGGACAAACTCAGGCTCAACTGTCGGTCCTCGTGTAAGGTCACGTGGATAGACCCTTTCGGCACCGGCGGCCCGACCCTCAACAATGGTTTCCGAGTCCAACACCCTCCCTTCCGACCTTTGTGCACCTCGACAAACCCTCTCTATCGATGAATTTTACCTTCCTTATTCCTCACAGGCGCCCTGTATTAAGCCAAACCCATCAACTACAACGTTCAAATCACAACGAGGCGCACGGTACCCCACCCAAGCGACCGCCGATTGAACTCGAAGCTTCAGCATGCTTCCCGAATAGAGGAAGTGTCGATTGTGACCCGCCTGCAAGCTGATTTTTGTAGTGTAAGATTGACTGGAACTTTGAATATGTATGTTCTCAGAATCTTTCGTGGCTACGGTGTGTATCCCGTGTCATTGGAAATATTTAAATGTTCTGAACATTGTTATGGCCCCGCCCTCATATGTTATTATTACCGCACCCACTCACTTGTATCGGGGATCACTTCTAGGTATGGTCTGTTGGCTGAATGAGGTCTGCAAGCACGACTTGCTGTGCCCACTCCATTTTGGCGCCCGCACCTTTAGTACTGCCATCCCCCCACAAGTGTATACGGTACATTATCTGTCTTTTTATGTAAATTTACTCTCCGTGTCTCATCACATTCCATTTATTTGTGTACATACACTATTCCTCATTGCCCAATTTTCCTTCGTTTTATCCCTGGGATATTCAACCTCGATTTCCCCCTAATCTGCTTGTTCCTTTCGAGGAAGTACTTTACGGACACAGTAGCTACCCTGTATATAAACTGTGGACTCATTTGGACTCCCGTCAGCCGTTTACTTCCCAAAGACTGGATTTCTTATGCCAGGAGTCCTCCATGGTTTGCACCTCAGATTAATTTTTTATTTCGACACTCTGGTCCCCGCTACGCGCATTGACATCAGGCCACGGTCTGTCCGCAAACTGAATTCAGATGAAAGAATTTGCCTGATGCCGTCCTCAAAAATTCACGTTACTTGTAGAGTTGGTGAAAATTTCTGTATCTTGACGGGTTTCTGCTCGACGCTCGCCCTGCGCCCAATTTGAATGCTTGCCTAACGCGCACTACGCACCTTGGGCACGTGCTCATTGTGCGAGAACCTTTGGAAGCAAAGGAATCCCATTTTCCTACCCTTTCCTGCCTCCCATGAACTCTTTTATCTGGCAGACGGCCGAGTCCTCTCAAAGTAAACCGACTACTGACATTACCGCCCATCCTCATTGTCCCCGTGGCACCCTTTTTGTATCTCCTGCGGCAAGATATTTATGTGACTGCTGTACGGCATCTGGTACAACAAGGTTCCAGTGATGTATTCCTGAAGTGAAGATGCGACATTCGAAGCTATTTTTGCGTCCTTGCACAAGGTGGATACTTCAGGAGGTCCGAGGAAAAGCTGTGGTGGCAGAGTGCCAAGTACGCTGCCTCGTTGGAGCGAACCGACGAGCACGGCCACAGAGACATGTCTGCGCCCAGAGGCACCTAGTATGCTGTGATATGATACTGATCTTGATATATATAGGCTGTCCGCTTCTCAGGTGAGCCCTGCATTTCAGCACCTCTTTGCTCTCACCATCACCAAACCTCACTGAGGCCTATTACTATTAGCCTGTACAAACCTCGTCTTTTCTACGGGAGCTCCATTCGCCGACGCCAAGCCTGTGTAAAAACGTTGATGTTGATGTCTTCAAAAGAACAAGCGATGAACAGCCAGCTACCTCCTCCCTATCCTCCTCCTGATGGCGCCGCACCGTCCCAAGGAATGCCCATGCCTGCACCTCAAGCTCAACGCCAACCGATTCCTCCTCAATCACCAGGCCAGCCGATTACGATGACTCCTCCTGTTCAAGCCCAACCGATGGGTGTCCCTGGATCAATGGACCCCACAGCTGTAGCAGCCTTGGGACAACAATACCGCGACCAACGTGCGTTGCCAACGTGTCTCTTCGATTTGAGGACATCCTGGCGCTTCCCATTAACCGCATCCCAACAGTTTTCGCCCAGTGCGCAATCGGGAACCACGAAAGGACGACGACCTATGGGGTTTGTGGGATCATAACTGCCATTGTGAGTCAAAATCCTCGAGGTCGAAAATGACACTGTTTCAACAAGTTCTTTTCGACGTACAGGTGTGCTTCCCATGTGGTTTAATTTGCCTCTTGTGAGTGAACCTTGTAGAAGTTGCTCTCGGCCGTAGGCAGCTGACCACCGTTTTCCAGCACCGATACTGAGGAGAAGTGCGCGCGTTGCGGCGTCAATTTGGAGAAGAGATAAGATTTCACCTCCCATAGCACCGTACCGGTGTGTCCGATGCTCTGTTTCACCTTCATACTAGTCTCCCATTTCTTTTCCATTGTTACTGCATGTCCTGTCGTGCTGCACCTGGGTCCGATAATAACCATACCATCGTGTACTTTAATTACACCCGTTCTCGATTCTGTACGTCGTTGTCGTCGTCGTCGTAGTAGTAGGTGTACCTACATGGCCCAAACGCCGAACACCGCGAGTGTCAGTACGTCTATCGCATAGCGTGCTCTGTGCACTTATAAATACCTCACAACCCGAATCGCGTTCAAGACTTACCTCACGGTATAGTAAGCTCGGCAACAAAGAGACTCGAATATTTGGCTTAGAATATCTGGGGTGCGACATGCATGATGCCAATCTCTGATGCACGCGAGGCCCGTATCAATAGTAGTCTTCTGAAGCGATTCCAGCATTTTAGCTCCCCTTAGCTCCCCTCACCACCACTAAACTTCATTAGAGGCCCATTAGCCCTGATAAACCTCGACTTTCACGACTAGGGCGACCCACAATCTTCTATAACCTGTTGATGTCTGGAAAAGAACGAGAAGCAATTGGAATGAACGACCAGCTCCCTCCTCCCTATGTACCCTACGGACCCATTGTCGACGCCCCACCACCCCAACAAATACCTGTGCCAACACCTGCTCAATCCCAAGAGCCTCCAATGCCTCAAGCTCAAGCGCCAACGCCTCCTATACCTCCTCAACAGCAAGACCGGCCAAGTACGATGACTCCTCCCGTTCAAACCCAACCGACAGCAACCCCTGGCCCCATGGACCCCGCATCGTTAGCAGCCTTAGGACGACAATACCGTGACCAACGTGCGTCGCCAACGCGTCTCTTCGATTTAGGAGTAGCCTAATATGATCCAAACAGTTTTTGCTCAGTGTGCAATCGGAAACCACGAAAGGACGACTACCTATGGGGTTTGCGGGATTGTCACGGCGATTGTAAGCACCTCGACGTCGAAGGTGATGGGATTCTAACACGTTTTGCGTTCTTTTCCGACCTCTAGTTCTGCTTCCCGTGTGGCTTGATATGCCTCTTGTGAGTCGACTTTCTGAGCAATTCTCTCTGTTGCCAGTCTGACCACCGTGTTTAGCAATGACGTCGAGGAGAAGTGCGCGCGTTGCGGCGTCAATTTGGAGAAGAAATGAAGTCACTCCTCTTACAGCACCTTGCCCTTGTGTCCGATGTTCCGCATCACCTCCGAGTCCGTCCTGCTCTCCCCAATTACTGCATGTCGCTTTGCATTTTAGGACCAATAATATTCATACCGTCGTGTAAGTCCTCTATGCATTCCTGTTCTCGATTCCGCACGAATACAGATGTCCTATTACTTTTGCACAGATGACATATTTTTGGCGTAGTGCAGTGTGGACTGTCCTTGCCGGTCATGAGTTGGCCTATGCTAGTCCTGGCCTGAGCCGCTGTGCACTTGTCGGGTCATCAGTGCTTCAGGTTCTGTCTAGCATGCCAATCTCTCCTTTTATGCCTCCTGCAACGAACGACGCCTACTTCGCCCAATCGCCTTGACTGAGCAAGAATGTTCCCAGAACCGCATGCGATTTCCATTGCCTGAGAAGTTATCAGATCCTCCGCCGTTCTGGCGAGCTCGTAGCCCATCCAACTCGAGCCCTACTCTAGAAGGTCCTCTCAAAAGTCCGCCTCCTTCCGTTTGACAATTTTCTCTCAAGCCGACGACTGGTACTCCAGCATGCCGGAATTACACACAGTTCATAAGGACTTAGTTTCCCGGACCTTAACGAGAGTCTGTCGAGCCTGGCGTGTGGCTGCGCTGCTGGTGAGCTCGTTCCAGATGTCTTCGTGCCACCGTCATTCATCAATGCAAACCTAAGCAGGCTGCGGGTCCACATCTCTTCCTCTGCTGCTTTGAACAGCCTCTTCGCTCATACAACCCTTCCTTCTCGCCGCCTTGAGTCTTGACATTGGACCTCTCCTCGCCTTCGTTTACCGAAGCTCCTGCACGATAACCTTCATCTAGCATAGGACACACGCAACGGAGTCTTGCTGCTGGTTTTCCATCAGAAACTGATCCGGGTATAGGACGAGAGTGTCGCTACTTGCCATGCGCACGTCGGAGGCTGGTCCCACTCGCCTAACTGACGATCACAAAAGGGCGGGACTTGGGTCCTTCGAAACGCCAACCCTCGACCGCGTTTTAGTTAATCGTAAGGACCGCCTTTTCCTAACGTGCCATAATATAGAGAAATTGAGGCTCTCAACGCTAATATCAACGACGTCTGTTACAATTTGATAGTAATACTGGAACTACAGACACAAAGTTGTTTTTTGTTTTTATTTAGTAGCTAAAACTTGGAGACTGGCGTGCGTTCGATGAGCACTGCTTTGGAATTGGTTCTTTGAATTTGCAAGTCAACGACGCCTCCAAACGCTATCCGAACTAAAATCTCACCTAGTCGCCTAAGCTTGGGCGCCGCGGACGATTCCAAGGTCCTGGTTGAACCCAGCGAAGGTAATAGCAACGGTATCATTTCCGCAGTTCAAGTACCATCCGCGCCTGACTCCCGTGGCGGGGTCCTTGAAAGCGACGATCTCCCAACCGTTGCGGTCCCAGTGGTATTGACCAGCGCTGGTGAAGTCGTTTGGGACCTGGTACCATTCGTCGCTCCCGTTGGTGTATTTGGAGACGAAAACCTGGAGGCCGACGACATCGGATTGGTTGCGGATGTTGAAGCCGGTCATTGTGGGAGATGCGATACCGTCTGCGAGTGAAGCAGGTCAGATTCATAGGTAGGAAGGTGCAGATGAGAGACTACGCACTTGCCTTGAGGTCAAGTGGGGACGATGAGGAAAGACAGAGAATGACCGCCTCATTTTATAGTATTCCCCTCAGTCCTACCTGTGCAGTTTTGGTGTTCGGTCAACCTAGTGTCCAGTCAGATGACAACCTAGTATGTCGGTGAAATACACCCCTGACCTTCTTCTTTTTAATTTCCGCTCTGTCTAGAGAGCTGCGTTGTGACACAGGTGGCGACAGGTCCAATAGCCTTGCCATATGCCAGAAAGCGGAGTACTAAGAGAGGTTACTTGTAAGGCAAAAGACCACCAATTTACTCCTTATGTGGGATGTTCTCGCTAGGGAGCATGGGAGGCTTCAGTCGGCCATTGTGACGGAATTTCGAAACAATGCCTTCGAAATCAGCCCATCTGTTAGCCACTACGTACCACGGAGGCTTATGTCTCTTTCATTAATGAGCTGACACATGAAGTTTGGGCCATCAATCGACGTGACTTCGGAACGACACAAAGGCTTGACCGTGATAGCGAAGGAAAACCTTTGGATGGAGTTGCCGGATTTAATACTCTGTACACGGGTTAACGAGGATATATGTAATCGTTGTTTCTACCACCACCAGTACGCGGGAATGTGGAAGAGGGACGAATCGCTGATATAGTATGTATTCGACAAATTTGGAAAGTGACGCCACACGGCATCAGCATCGAGTGATGGCGCCGATCACGATGGTAATACTATATACCTATGCACGAATCAACTTTGGAATAAAATTTTTGCTTCGATCGGTGAAACTCGAACACCATATATTCATCCTGACATGCTAGATCGGGATAATGGTAAATTGCAGCCCGACATGGAACCTATCACTTCATTTGTAAGCCTACCGTCTTTACGCAGAAGCCTCGAGGTACCTGAAGAAGGGAGAAAACTCCATGTACTCCCTCACATCTGCTATCCTGCCCTCCTTCACCGTAAATTTGATGATCGCGCTATTCTCGTAGATTTTCCCCTTCTCTCCCTCTGCCCATACGCCGATTTACAATGCGGCCGACTCTGCACCAAATTTCGGGCTTCTTCTGTCGACATGATAATCCATCCGAGAAAAGACGCAAATTAGTTGGTTAGGTGGGAAATGTTGTGGAAACACTACGAACCTTCCTAGTTACGTTTCTTCTGCTGTTGTACTAAAAGAAGGTTCTATGCAAGCCCGTCCTTATATCGTTTCGATAGATGATCGGTATCGAGTGGAAGATGCATAAGCAAGCACGATAAGGATTAAAAGGAGTCCCGACCGCGGTGTTCGACCATGCCAAAGACATCCGTGTCCCATTGGCAAAAGACCCACGGAAAGCTATCCGATATTTGAGGTTCCAAGATAGTAAGACGGGAAGAACACCAACGAAATCTTGTACGAATCCTATATAGTGAGATGGGGAGAGAACCTTTGTGCCTGAAAAGGCGAGCCTTGGCATGTCTATGATTGGCGGGTTAACAAGCGCCCAACAAGCGCCGTGTGGTACCAAGGTTAATCCCGGCCATGCGTGGAGTCGAAACACCCTGGAATTTGTCTTGCATCTCTGCTCATCCCCAGTTAAGCATCCCAGTTTATGCACGAAACAGGATCAGGTGGAGATTCCCCAAGAATACGAGAGCCGTGGTATATGGGCAAAGGCGAGGTTCACTCACCGTGAAAGGTCTCGTTCTGCGCCATGACTCGTCCGCTTCGTTCAAGGGAGAAAATGGTTTTGTTGTGATTCCGACTTCGTCATGGTAACGTGGAGGACGCTGCACGGGGTCCACGCGAGGCAGAACCCGCACTTCAGGCGGCCGCTGAGGAAGAGAGTAAGCTCAAGGTGGCGGAGGGATAGAGAAGAAGGCCAGCGATAAAGCGTTGTTCGTCAACGAGGTGGGAGGACGGCGCGTCAAAGTCCGAAGGAGATGGGCGATTGCAGGAGGAAACGTTCTTGGCGCGCGTTGGAGGCGTCAGTGAGCAGAGTGGCAGTATTTATACATAATCTACTATATCAGAGTTAAAGGAATCTTTGTACAATTTTACACGATTACACACGAACTTTGCACTTTAGGTTAGAGTGGTTCAAAAAGGAAAGCCTTGGCAGTGCCCGGCCGGCGCCTCGCAATTGATGTCATAATCTTGATTGCTCAGAACAAGCCTCTGCTCAAAAAACTGCTTCCGTGGCTTATGTCGGCTTCCTTATTCCGCACGTTCGCCCCGATATCGAGTCGAGCCGTCCAACCTATGTATCATTTCAGCATTCAAATCGTAACAGGCGCCGGCCCTTCGGTCATGAATGGATAGGAGTCCTCTTGAGCTCTGGAAACAATCTCCGCCTCTCCTCGAGTCTCAAGAAGCGTGGCTCGGCAGACGCTGTGTTAGCAGACTGCCAAGCCCCATGTCGAATTCACAAACACGGCCACAGATCTAGAAGCGCGATGCACGCGAAATCCTTCACTATGATTGGTAACCGATCTCTGAGGCACACGAGACGAGGATATACATAGGCTCTTCACATCCCTCGGAAGTCCTGCATTTCAACTTCCCCCCGTCACCACCACCACTCTCAGACCCCGCTACGCGAAATCCTCCAGTAAAGGCGTTGATGTTGATGTCTAGAAAAGAACGAGAAGCGATGGACGACCTGGCCCCGCCTCCCTATCCCCCTCCTGACAGAGCTCTACCACTTCAAGTAATTCCTATGCCTTCACCTGCTCAGCTTCAAGGCGGACAAATGTCTCGACAAACCACGTCGCTTTACACACAAGACCAGCTGTCTCCAATAACTTCACCTATTGAAGCCCAACCGACGTCTATCCACGATACAATGAGCCCCACATCTGCAGCTACCCTAGGACAACAATACCGCGACCAACGTACGTTTCCAACCTCGCTCTTCGTCCTCAGGAACGTCTAAGGCACAGGCCTGACTACCTTCAAACAGTTTTCGCCCAGTGTGCTCTCGGAAACCATGAGAAGACGACGCGCTACGGGATTTGTGGAATCATCTCTTCCATTGTGGGTCGAAATCCTTTCTCAAGATGATGAGGCTTTAATACACGCCTTTTGTTTCATGTATAGGTGTTATTCCCGTTGGGTTTGATTTGCCTCTTGTGCGTCGACCTTCCAATGCTCTTTGCGCCGCGAGGCTGACCGTCCTATTTTAGCATCGATAAGGAGAAGAAGTGCGCGCGTTGCGGTGTCAGTCTGAAGACGAAGTGAAACCTCCGTCGCACCACCTGTCCATGTCCTCGCTTTTCCACGAACATTCGAACTTTACTACACACTGTCCTAGAGTAGTTGTAGCTTGTATCTCTAAGTACACTACGGGTCGGTCGTTCCTCATTAACATTGGGACCTCGCCAGTAATCAATTCTTCCTTCCTTCCGTTGCTGCGCTTATATTTACTCTACTATTAAATTTATGGCTAGTCGTTGTGTATTCTAACTACATACTCCTGTTCTCGATTTGTACGCGACAGAGTAAACAGGTGTCCTCAGTTGTTATCAGGAATTCCAATAAGTACGAAGGATTGACCTGGGCCGGGTGAAATGGCGCTTCTCCCGGGGCCAATTATTTTGGAAGGAAGGAAGGCAGGAAGGAAGGTTGGATTACCGGCGAGGAGTTTGTTTGGAGTTCAAACGTCGTGCTCATTTGTCTCAATGAAATCCTTCAAAGTGTGGGTACCTACCAGGAGTGCTTGCCACCAGATTCAAAAAAATCCTTGTTCCTACTGTAGGTGATTTTCTTTCTCAATATCTCATTGAACAGGGCGGCCACCTGCGAGATGAAGGGCACTTGAAGATCCCAGGTCAAGTATAGTAGAAACATTGAATATAGCATGAAATCCTTCATGACGACACACTTATACGTGGAATGCAACTTGCCATGCCCGTACAACACCATCGAAACCGGTCGAGACCAGCTTGCCGCCCTTCCCGCCGTCCAACCAAAGTACTCCATTTATGCCTCCAGGACCGGCATTCCTGATAGGAATATTCTTCATCAGCTTTGCCACACTCCAGACGTACACATGCGTGTCCAGTGATCCTGACGCGCAATGAGCCGAGTCGGCAGTCCACGAGAGGGAGTTAATTCGTGCTGAATGATGTGCCCAACGCGAGGTAAGGAGCTATGCCATTGCTATGTCAGATAGACATAAAGTCATGCTAAAAAATATGTACCTTTCGCTCCTTCGCATCGAAAAGGATAAGCTTTCCTGACGACTACAGAGCCGGTGTTAATGAAGGTTGGAGATGAAAAGGGTCGACTCACATCTCCGGCAGCAAGATATTTGCCATCTGGCGAGAACGCAAGGACCGACACGACACCTTGATTTCCTTCTAGTACCGCAACCTCTTTCAGGGCCTTGCCATCCCATTCGTTCAAGCGAACTTTCCTATCCTATAAATCCCTAGCATTAGCATAAAATAGCAATCCCGCAGGGAAGACTAGAAACCTCTCCACCAATGGCAACAAGGGTACCGAGGGCACCCGCAGCGCTCGGCTGGTACGAAGGCTTCAGTTCAAAGACCTTCTGGTTGGAACGGAAAGCTTCGACAACACCGATCTCAGCAACAAAAACTGTCGAATCGCCGGCCACTGTGATGTTCTTGGGCTGCGACGAAGTAGGTACCGACGCAGGTCTGCAATGGGAAAAAATAAGTCGCATGTACTTTCACGAAAACACTGATCTCATACAAGAAGCTCGAACCGTCGGCCTGTATTTCTCTCACGCGGTCGTCAAAACCAATTGAGTAGACTGTACCGTCTGTGCCGGAAGTTGCGAGACCAGAGACGTTATTCGAGTGTGCTTCGCCTTCTAGCACCGTAGTCTCTGTAGTCTCAGTAGAGTAAGAGTAGACTCGACCATCCGCTGTCCCAGTCAAGAAAGTAGTTGAAGACGTCGGGGCGATGGCGTTGATTGACCTTTGGGGAGCCTGTGACAAGGAAATTTGAGCGTGATCAAGTTAGTTTGAAAAGAAGAGGTGCATACGCTGAAGACGCGAACAGGGTTGTCGCCTGTTCTAGGGTCGAAGAGGTTGAGATCCCCCGACATCGACAACGACACAAGATCGGTTTCTCCAACCCAAGTACTACCAACTTGTTGGTGGTCGACTCCGGAACCGACGGTCCAGGTCGTCACTGCCTTCTGCGTCTGTGCGTCCCCTTCTCAAGTCGTCAATGTAAGTGTTGACACAAAGGAGAACACCTCGTACAAAGCTTAACCGTGCGATCAGCAGAAGACGTGAAAAGAGATTTGCCATCAGGGCTCCACGAACAAGCTGTCTAAAGATAGGAATTAGAAAGAGGAGCTCGTATCTATCCTAGGATACACAGATAACTCACGATGCTACCCTTATGTGGGCTATCCGTAATTTCCGCAATAGTATCGCCTGTCTTGCCGTCGTAGAGGAATATCTTCGCATCGGAGCCAACGCTGGCGAACTGATCTCCAGAGGCAGCATACTGGACATCTTGAACAAACTTCGTGTGCGTTTTAATCGTCTTTTGAGAAGACAGTGATGAGCTAAACATCGAAGGTTAGGAGGAAAGAACCGTACCTTCTCATATTTGTAGGGAGCACCAGAATGGAAGACGATTAGGTTGTCATCACCAGCAGTAGCTGCTCTGAACGGTCGCTGGTGCCTGATAGAGACGGCATTGATAACCTAATTTCTCGTCGGCGAACGGGTTTTATTGCTTGACCCACCCCAAAACAAACCTTTGAGTGCCCCAGGATCTCCCCAGTGGCTGAGCCAGTATCCATCATGAAAGCATGCCCAAACCTATATCAACGTGTCAATCACGTTGCGAATGGCGGAGGGTAATCGTTGACGAACTTTTCCTTCCCGTCTCCAACTGCAATGATTCGTTTGCTTTCACCGTCCCAAGCGAGGTCGTTTCTGCGCATCAGGAATGATTCAATCGGAACGAGGGACACAGAAATTTTCGAGAATACGTACACCCGGCCAGAAATCACTTTGTATTCCCCCTTCAGCACCTGATCTTCTCCAACGGTATCCCAGACGTTCACTGGGAAACGCAAGCTCAACAGGGACGTCCTCGCGCGTTATAGCGGATGGCCTACCCTTGCCAGTGATATCGGCAGAGGCGCAGTAGTATCCAGAGGGAGATATACGAGCTACGGTTGCATTCTGAATATGGCCAGAATAGACTGCTGTAAGGCTAGGGTTCTGCAGCCATGTTCAACATTGAGCGCTGTTGTCATTGCTGTCAGATCGGCCCAACCTTGAGATCACGGATCTAGTTGTATACACTGAGCTTTATCTAACAACCAGACGACGGCATAGCTCACGATGACAGTCCTCCCAGAGGTATAGACAATCTTACCCTTGCTCGAGCTGAGCTTGGTAGAGACACCCCTAGCAGTGACGGGGTTCGGAGGATAGATCTCGGCTTTCTTGAAAGACATTCGAGTTCAATCTTGCGTCGAATGGCGATATGCAAAGTGTAGAAATGCAGGTGACAGAGGATGGCACCGCGATGGAAGGGAGAGGTCGTCGTGGTTTAAGTTCAAGTTGCTGCGCGACGCGATTGATCGTGATGCTCATAGGGGCTCCTTCCCCAAAAGGCAAGTAGCGCTGAGAACAATTCACGCGGGACTTGATTCAAGACTATGCCTTGAAAGTAGATGAAATATAGCAGAGGGTATATACTTAATCAATGGCATCCAATACTATATCTTTCTCAGTTCTGAGGTCGATCAAAACTCCTACTCCTCTGAGGTTACATAAAGCATTTCACAATAATAAATACACTCAATTGCTGACAATTTAAATATATGTAATTATTGGACCAGGGGTTTTGGGGTAGTATCCCAATAGCACTAGTGTTACGTTGATTTTGTTATTACCGTCCACATTTATTGCAGTGCTTTTTCACCATCAAACTCCAAGAGGAAGGCAGGTGGTGCTCTATAATTGTCTTTCGATCACCTCCCAACTTAAAGGTCAAAAAAGGTTGCAGTCCTGAGCTGGTCCCACGCCTGGAGGATATCACAAGGCCTCGATGGAAATCTTCGCACGATTCACTTGGGCCAAAAGACAAATCTCGTGTATTTTGACTCTACGCATAACCGGGATTATTGACCTTGGTGCCGCACGGCGCTTGTTGAACGTTGAGCGCTTGTTCGTCAATCAATCATAGACATACCGAGCGCGATACTTCTCACCTTTTCATACAAAACGCGCTCGCAAAGCTGGTGGTGGTTATCTTTAGGACGCGAACAATTGCAAGGTCACGTCGGTGTCTTTCCTATCTTCGGAATAGTAAACCTCAAATCTCGGATTGATTTCCGTAGGCACGAGTCTTCCAATGGGACACGTAATGCCTGCGGCATCGTCGGACGCCTCGGTTGGGCTTTTTGAGTCATATTATCGTGCTTGCTTATTCATCTTCGACTCGGTACCGACTAGCTTTCGAAACGATATAAGGACAAGCTTGCATTGAGACCTCCCGTAGTACAACAGCAGAAGGAACGCGACTAGGAAGGGTTCGTACGTTTCCGATTACAATATTTGCCACTGAACCGACTTATTTGCCTCTTTTCTCAAATAGACTATTATGTCGACAGAAGAGACCAGAAATACTGTACAGAAGTGGTTTGAGGCCCTGAACTCTCTGGATTACGCCACGCTCGAGAATATCGCAACCTCAGACGCGATGTACTGGACTTCCGGGCCTGCTGACAAGCTCCCTTTCTGCGGCTCGATCGCGTACAAGGAGCGCATTGCAGTTATGCGGTCATCTCTCGGACAGATGCGTACACTGAAGTTTACGAACATGGGAATCATAGCCGACGGAGAGTCAGCGGCGTTGGAAATTGGAGTATGGGCGGAAGGAGAGAAGGGGAAAATCTATGAGAACAATGCGGTCATCAAGTTTACGGTGAAGGAGGGCAAGATCGTAGGTGTGAGGGAGTACATGGAGTTTACTCCCTTCTTCAAGTACCTCGAGGCTTCTGCGTAGAAGACGGTGGGCTTACAAATGAAGTGGTGTGTTCCGACTCTCTAGGCTGGAATTTACCGTTATCCTGACCTGACATATAATCAGCACGAATAGACTGCGGCCCTTGAGTTTCACCGACAGAAGCAATTTTATCTCCAGGCCTAGGGAAAAGAATATCCTGATTCACGATTTACTCTAGAGTTGGCCCCATTTATGTACATGATGAATCATGATCGGCCGCTATCAGCCGCTGATGGAGTGTGGCGCTGCTTTCCAATTTTGTACATACCCTCTCCCTTGCCCTGCTTCCTCCTCCCAATGGCTCCTACTGGCGGTACTGGTCCTGGTGATAGAGAGTAGAAAGCAACAATTCACACCTTCGTCAACTTGGTCAACCCATCTTCACAATATTACCCCCTCAGCAACTCCACTCAGCCTGATGTTTCCATACTTCCTGTCGTGTTCCTTTATCGATGCGAAGTCGTGTCAATATGTCAGACTCTAGGCATCATTACAATATTAAAACTACATGGGAGTTTATGGTGATAGGCAAATAGTGGGCCAAAATCTCAAAGCGTCGTCTTTACAGCCCTGTCACGTTGGCTGAGCGAAGCTCCCTTCTTTACAGACGAGTTTCCAAGGTTATTCGCGGCCTATAAAAGTGCGAAACTACCAGATTACCACTTATTCTAGGGAAGTTAAATGTACACGGGTACACCTTCGATGATAACATCGAATAATGTCTCCTAGGATCCCACCTTCTAATTATGACTAGGCAAATGAACCCTGTCGCCATCTGCCCACAGGACAATACTCGTGGACAGAGCGGAAATTAGAAAGTAGGATGTCGGAGGTCCATTTCACCGGATTCCTAAAACGCCATCCAAATGTCGAATACCGGAGGGGCAGGTTCACCGAATGCCTAATACGCGTTGGTAGGACTGAGGAGAACGCTATAAAACGATGCCCATTTCTCCCTGTTTCCCCATCACCTCCTCGAGCTCAAACCAAGGTAGAGTACACACACTCTCCTCAACATTTACCACTTGAATATCTTAGTCTTTTCCCGTAGATAACTCGAAAGATCGTCTATATTCACAATGACTGGCTTCAACATCCGCAACCAGTCCAACGTCGTCGGCCTCCAGGTTTTCGTCTCCAAGTACACCAACGAGAACGGGAACGACAAATGGTACCAGGTCCCAAACGACTTCACCAGCGCCGGTCAGTACCACTGGAACCGCAATGGCTGGGAGGTCGTCGCTTTCAAGGACCCCGAGACGGGAGTCAGGCGCGGATGGTACTTGAACTGCGGAAACGACACCGTCGCTATTACCTTCGCTGGGTTCAACCAGGACCTTGGGATCGTCCGCGGTGCCAGTGCTTAGGTGACCACTAGGTGAGGTTTTATTTCAGGTCGCGGTGGGAGGTGTCACTTACTTTGAGTTTAAGGAGCAAACTCCAAACCTGCGCTAGTCTCTAAGTTTCTACTAAATGAACAAAAAACCCTTTCTGTCTGAATCTGTAGTTCGAGTGCTCCTGTCAACTTGTAATACACGTCGTTGATCTTACGAATCGATTGGCGAGCTGTTCGAGGCGAAGCAGACGGTCCGAGCAACTGGCCTTCCCCATTCCCAGTCCCTCAGTTGCACTACGCATATGATCTAGAACTGGGAGTGTGATAGCTGCTACACTACAGACGAATTTATGGATACAAATAAAGTATATAAAAGGCGTTCTATAGTATATCTATAAGACGGGAGATGCCTTATTATCCAGCGAACGTGGCTTCACCCATCTCGAGCCCAAAGTTATCTTTCGCGAAACCCCTCATTGTCCTTTCCAGCTCTTCCTCAAAGCCGCCATTCTCCTTCGTACCACCTCCACCAAGACGGAACTTCGCCCTCGTCTCCCTCAGCCAGAAGACGAACCTCGTCCTCCAAAAGACGATATCAATCGTGAACATCGCGAACCGGAACACGACGTGCTGCCACCATTCTCTAATGCGCTCGACCACACCCAAACTCGCATGGCGTGTCCCCGCACGCGACGCCCAGTAGCCTGTGATCTTGACGCGGTTCACGGGAGAGCCGAACGACTGGTTGTTCCCCTGCACCATGCGCATGTTCCGCGTGAGGAAGATGAGCACCTTGGGCATCCGGTCCGTGTCCGTCAGGAACTCCTTCAGCTTCTGCTTCATCTTCACGCTCATTTCGTACTGCGTCAGCGGCGTGTGCTCCTTCTGTGCCTCCTCGTCCGGTTGACGCGGTTTCGGCTTCCGGCCTTTCCGGAGGATTGTAGGGCGCATGAGGGTGAAGCTTGCGACGAGATCGGGGAGCCCCATTCCCCATGAGTTCGTGACCTCTTCGACGCCCTTGTAGTCGCCGACGAGCATCGCACGCCAGAGCCTGACCCACTCCCGTTTGAAGTCCTCCGGCACCCGCACGTACAGCCCATGGTCGAGGAGGACAAGTTGTGCACGCTTAGGGTTTGACGGTGACGGGCGAACAAGCACATTCCCTGGGTGAGGGTCGCAGTGTACCCAGCCCCAGTCGAACATCTGCGCAGAGAAAAGCTCGACCATCGTTTGCATGATCGACTTGACGCCACCTTTAAGAGGCTTGGCGGGCATCTGGAGTGACGAGACGGACGCGGAGGCAGGGGTAGCGGGTGAGGCGACCAAGGAAAGCAGCGGACATTGGGTCGATAAAAGGCAGAGGTGCCGAGGTGGGATGCTCGCCCATAAGCCGGAAAACGCCCTCGCGGTCGCTCAGTCGGACACCGTCGATCCATTCGGCGGTCATAACCTTCTTCGTCGAGTACTCCGGGTAGACCTTTGGTATGTAGACCTTATCACGTAGCAGAGGCTCGTTGGCGACAAACTCGGCCGTCTGGCGAGCATTATCGGCCTCCCGAATAAAGTCGAGTTCCTGGCGTAGGTGGTCAGATACGAAGTCTACCGGCGTGTCAAAAACTGTAGAAAAGGATAGATGAAGGGCAACGCACCAACGACGAAGTAAACTGGTAAGTCAAACGCCCAGTGCTCGAACATCCACATGACCATCCTGTATGCTCCCAGGTCCCACTCCATCTGCGTGCTGACGTCTGGCTTCTGGATCTTCACCGCCACCCATCGCTCTTCCTTCTCTGGCTGTCCATCGGTTCCTATGCGTGGCCAAAGCTTCGCCTTGTGGACCTGAGCGATGCTAGCACTCGCCACCGCCTGTTCTTCGAAAATTTCGAAGACACCGCCAGGGCCGCTCGGAGGTCGTCCAAGCTCCTTCACGAAAACATCGTGAACGACAGAGTAGGGTATTTGCGGTGCGTCATCGAATAGGCTCGCAAATCTAACCTGCATGGGCTTCGGTAAAAGGGCTGCATTGGCTCCTATGGCTTGACTAATCCACGATGAGCGATGCACAAGAGAGGATTCCAGAGGACGTACCCGATTTTGATGTAGAGCCCTCCGTTGGACGTCAGCAGGTTGAAGACGCGATCTGCGACGCGTTCATGCAGCTGGGGTATTTGCTTGGTCTTTTCTGGAGTGAAATTCCACTTGTAGTCGGCAGTGATCATAGCACACTATTGAAACGATAAGCAAGCGTTCTTTGGGTGACGTGCTGGCACGCACCGTCCAGAGTGTTCGAAAGTTCCGGATTATCGATGAAGCATTGTAGTACTTGTCCACACCGTATAGGACACCGAGTCCGAGGGCCAGGTATCCAGTTCGCTTCACGTACTTGCGAAGACGTCGAGGGGGATGCAAGGGCTCCGAAATGGTTGCAAATTGTCGAAGGCGAGGGTACCGCTTTAGTGCGGAAAGATTAGGATGCAGACATCGTAAGGAATGAGGACGGTAGAAGGGCATAAGTGCATGAAGCAGTCGCGGTTTGGAACCGACGTGGGGAAGAAAAGACTTGGTTTTGACTGACAAAATTCGTGATGACGCACCAAGTCGGCGGTCCGGCATTCTCCGCTTCTTCGGCAAGGTGACGCCTCACTGGGCAAGGTCGTGAAAGCCTGAGTCTCCGGTAGGGCCCAGTTTGCACTTCTGGTTCGGGGCAAGATGACGAACGGAGGCGGAAACGGCAAGGGACATCTGGAAGAACAGATGGTGGGGGGAAGAAAGAAATGATGGGATTCCAACGAAAGACGCACGGACCATGTTCGTACGAAGTTGTCTTAAGCTTCTTCCTATCCACACAAATCACACATCAGTTTGTGCCGAACTACCCTCGCCACGCTCAACGTTTTTACCTGCACTCTCTTTTCTCCCGCGGCTTAGTTCATCGGGCCAAAAGACAAGTCAGTCAAGTGCTCACCCAGTCAAGTTTTGCATAGGCTCCCAATCGTTTCACCGGAGAGGGCCGACTTACAGGTATTTCGGAAATTCTTGTCCACGGTGTTTTCCGAAACTGGAAATTCAAGAAAATTCAAAAAAATCGAGAATATTCAAAAATTCATATGCAACGGAGAGCGCGCGTTCTGGGGCTATTCAACTGGTTGGAAACGTCGGTGGACCTATGGCAATATGTAAAGTCGAACAAGAATGGCACATTTTGTACAAGAGAGAGGTCCTGGGCAGCAACAGGGTCACTGACGTGGCTGGTAGAATTGCGAACGACACAATGACAATTGCACGCTATGTACGGGAAGGAGAAAGCATAGTGGATTCTGATAGGTATGAGGCAGATATTGTGGGGAAGATAGACGGACAAAAGGCAGAGTGACGATGACATGGCCAACACGGCCTGTGCCCTCATAGTACCCGTAAGCCGAATGGAAAGACACCATCACTTGCGGACAAGGACTTGGAGGGCAGAGGGTGCTTGAGGATATTCTCGCCTTCAACGAAGGGTGCCGAGATGTGAAACGGCGGTCAAGGGATCTAGAAACCGGGGAAGGGGGAAGGAG